AAAATATCGAAATGTATAATATTCTCATTGTTAAATTCGATAATAGCTCAATGTATTCTAATATTTGTATGCTAACGTTATTTCTGCTGCAAGTAAATAATTTAATATGTCGTAAATCGGTAAAACAGAGACGGTGCATACGGATATTACGTCTTCATAATGAGCATAAGAAAAAGGGAAGAAAAAAAAAGGGTGAAATTTGTTGAGTTGTTAAAATATTTTAATCGCTTAATTGAAAATATTCTCAAACAGCAACTGAAGAAGATTCGTGTGGGAACAAAAAAAAAATCAAACTGTGACTATTTTAACAATAAATATCTATTATTATGACTATTCAAAATTCAAGTAGTTGCATTCGCTATTTACATAACGTTATCGACAGAACTTATTTTGAATTCAATGTTAGTTTTCACTTCAATTTTAAATAAGATAAAGTTTGTTTATATCCCGACGTGCGACATTTCATTTTATTTTTTTTTTCACACTAAACACTATTTAAATAACACTTACTAAAAACGCAATAAACACACATAAATTACTGGCCCCGGGGAATTCGTACATTTCGTGAAAGCAACAACGTATATTGTGGGAATGACCATAAGGTTTCTCTATTGAGAAGATATAAAAGTGTGGTTTTTCATTTGAATATTTCTTTTTAGATAAATACAAATATGTAATTATTTTGTAAGTATTATCAATCACATGTATTTATGAAGTAACAACCGTTTCTATCTGATTTTTTTTTTTTTTTTTGAAAATATACCGCTATATGAACACATTGATGGCGTATCACGATTTTATTAAAATACGAGTTTTACAGCATATTCTGTATTTTCATATGAGTGGGGGGATATGTGTGGCATAAATCTAAATATAACTAGTAACAGGAGGGAGAAAGCAATGAGTATATGTATAATACCATCATCCCCCTCCCCCGTGAGTACAGCCATAGAGCTTTGTTGTATATCTCGACGTTATTTGACAACAACAAACAAACAAAATTAAAACAGATACTAAATGTATAGGTATCTAATATTTTCTAAAAATATGAGGTATCAGTCAGAAGTTAATTTTAAGATCTGCTCAGAGTTGTTTTCAGATGCAACGAATCTTTTTCAATTTCAAAAAAATAATAATAAAAACGTTTTTTTCCTACATGAAACAATATGATATATATTCGAAATGCAAAACCCGTAGGCTGGTTTAAATCTCCTCTTCTATATTCAAAAGCTAAACGGTCACTCACACCTTCGCACTAACGCATTTCGTTTCAGTTCTCCATAAACTCTGGCTCTCGCGTCCTCTTCTTATTTTGTTCGACAAAAGTTTTACAAGATCAACCAAGTAGTTGTTTTTCTTCTATAATACATTATATTTTTATGGTGTGTAGCTCTTCTGGGTGTCTTTAGTATACAGGGTGATTTTTTTATCATAAACCAGCAATTATCTTAGAGGATTTTAAGTGAATTTTATTTCTTTTTTTTCTAATATTTATGGAATCGTTTAAATTTTATTTCAAAACCATTTTCAATATTTTACCCTTACTCCATACACCTTATATAGGTGTATACTTTTGATTTTCAAATAGGAACCACCACCACCCCCCTTTTTGAACACAGATTTGAATAAAGAATTTTTCTAGAAATTTTGATATGCAAAAACTAATATCAAATTTACCGTTTATGAGTTATAACAGTTTAAAGTTTAGATCGGAGAAGTAGAGAATGATCATAAATAGACAATTTATTATCCAAGGCAAGGCATATAGAGTAGGGGTAAAAATTAAAAATGATTTTAAAATAAAGCTTAAACGATTCCATAATGATTAGAAAAAAAAGAAATCAAATTCACTTAAATACTCTAAGATAATTGCTGGTTCATGATAAAAATATCACCCTGTATATTCTACCACTTTTTTGTCGTTTCACTTTAATGGAATCTATCATGGAGCATTTCTCATTGATTATTCTAAGCGCCTACCTTCGTGGTTGCTTTTTCGCTCTATTCAGCTAATCCATCGCATACGTTTCAGTATCACATCGTCTATAGTACATTTCTCTTAGTCGTATTCACGACCCACGCCTCATACCCATATTACAATGACATGCTCCAAAAAAAAAAATAATAATAACCAACCCAATAAATATACGTCTCCTCTTGTACACGCGTTTCTCGAGACTCTGTTTCGTTGTTTCGTATATATATTATAACGAATATAAATATGCACACAATATCGGTAAAATAAAATTGGGAACGGTACGATTAAAAATGTGATTTGTACGATTTTGAATGATCATTTTTTTTTTTTTAAACGCCATAATTAAATCATTTTAATGATTTAAAATTCAAAATTCGTCGAATGATTAGTAAAAATGTAAATATATTGATTATTTATATTACTTATTTTGTTATTTTACATAGGTATATGGCATTTTATTTATATTGACAGGTCAGTCATTTAGAGTTTTATAAACATTATTATATTTATTTTCTATTTTTTTATTATTTTTAACTTGTTTAATTTTAATTTGTTTTATAATCGACAGGTCAGTCAATTTTTTTTTAAGTTTTCTGGCTTATAATAAAAAAAAATTAAAAAATACAATTTCATATTCTATCATTTTTATGACATTCCTATATTTAATAAATAACATTGTACGTAAATGCATAGTGTTGCACAGAAGTAACAATGTACAAAATAACAGATTTAGGGGTAAAAATTAAATATATTTTTAAAAAAATCATGCATTGTAGAGTTAAATTATTCTTAATTATTCGATAACCCAAAAAACTTATGAAGATAATACGACTACATTGATTTAATAATTAATTGTTTACTATATTTTAAGTCAGCCTTATCCGTAAGTATATGAAGGAAAAGGAGGATCAAAAAAAGACATTTGTCTCCGGGCTTTTTGAAAAACATTAAAAATCGAAAGTGGTTGTACACTAAAAAAAATCAACATTATAAACTTGCCTTCCTAGAGATTTCTGCAAACTTGCTCCCTTCTAATCTAATTTCTATGGGTTGCTTCCGTCTTTTCACAATCTTTATCACATGTCAATTGTCCACGCAGACAAGTATTGTTTGCTTATACTTGTAAATTTAATTTAATGTTTTTCATTTATTTACAATATTATACAAAAACGGTTTTCAAACGTAAGGAGATTTTTTTATTAAATTTATAAATGTTATGTTGTTATTTTATGTTGATCGGAAGAATGATAGTATAAAAGTATTTTCTTTGCAAAGTTTTAAGAACTTTTAAAATTATCCAAATGAAAATATTTTGGGATAAAAGGTTTTTTCCAAAACGTCTATAAAATATTAAAAAACTTTCTGATAACTTTTTTTTTTTTTAACAGTTTTGATGTAAAACGTTAATTTTTTCTCCGGGTAGAAATAATTTTTTCATTATAATAAATGTCAGACATCACTTTTTAATAAGTAAATACATAAAGAGTGTAATATTGTATTAATGGATGTAAATAGAAATATATATATATATGTACCTAAAATTAATTTCATATTGTATTTCACACATTTTTAAAGTTTGTGAGTGAATATTTTTCATCTGAATCGTTTTAAAGTAATCCGTATAGTACCATAACCATCGACTTGTTGCTAGACGATTTCGTATAACTGTTTGACATGAACCGAGAATTTTGAAGTCCTATCGTGCATTCATAACCAGTAAAACACTTTTAAGACACATCCCTCAAGCGTGATTACATAGCTATGAATCACACATCACTAAGCAATCAGGGATCGGTTGTAGGACAAATAAAAAAAACTGAGCTCGAGCTGAGAAAAACAAAAAAAAAAAATTAACAGTGTACCCTAGTGCTGGAAACAGAGTTTAAAACCGTGTAAATTTAAATATTTTCTACTAACATTTGTATACCCACTAGGAATATTGATTTTATTTATACGAAAAAACAAATGTTAAAAATAAATTGTTATTGGACGATATCGATATTTATTATACTTATTTTAGCTTTATACAGCTCGTAGCTAATATTCTCGGAGACCTTAACGAATCTAATGATACCTCATTTATTTAAACCTATCCAGCCGTTTGGATGTCATGAAGTTATAAAAGTATATAGAGCATATACATGATACATATAGATAGGTTGTTTCAAATATATATATATATACAAAGTATATCGGGTAGTAAAAATATATTGTATCGAATCAATATTATCACCGGATATTTTTGCACTGAAATTAAAATGCCATGGATTATTTGTCGTCGAATATTTATTGCACTGGATATTTTTGCACCGGATAAAATGTCTGGGGTCATGTGTCGCCGGACATTATTTACCGGATCCTAAACATGCTACTGAGTTGAATATGAAATGATATTATTATTTTGTGGTCCGACTTCCAATTGTTTTGAATTATTGTAGGTAAATGTACACCACGATTGTTGTTATACGTATAAAAACGGGGGTGCGAAGGACACCACGTATAACGACAGTCTTGGTACTGATAGTTGACTGACAGTAACCCATCTGTTATTTAATGGTTACCTAACTATAGTACATTTTTATTTGCGCATGGCATATAAATATTACAATATAAAATTTATTGAACCAAAAAAAAAAGTATTTGTGTTTATATTAAACATTTTTAATAGGAAATATTAAATACAAATGGCACTAAGATTTTAAATACATTTTAAAATTATTCTTAACAAGACTGCTTAATACTACATGATAAATATTTGAGATAATAAACGAGCTAACGAAAAAACGTAAACCTAGAACATTGATAATGAAGAACAGCAAAGCCATACTTATAAAAGAAGAAAAAAAAATCGTGGAAGAATTTAAAAAAGTATTTAAAGAGATATTAGGAAAGTCAGTGGATACCATGGAAAAGAGTGAAATATCTAACTGCAGAGCCAGAAGATAAAATTCCAAGTGAGGAAGAATTAGAAGAGGCCATTAAAATGCTTAAAAATAATAAGGTTTCAGAAGAAAACTCGATCATGGCTGAACTTTTGAAGAACGGTGGACAAAAACTAACGCAAGAATTATGGAAACTAAAAAAAGAAGTATGTATAACTAAAAGGGTTCCACCTTAATGGAATCTATCGACAATATGCCCTGTGTATACGAAAGGAGAGACCCCACGAACGCCAAAAACTGTAGGAAGATCCCTATGGTTTTTGATAGGGATATATATTCCTACTTAACACCACTTACAAGATTCAATCAAATATCTTACTAAACCGATTAAGATTATACGCGAATAATATTATAGGAAAATACCATTGTACGAGTAGTTACATGTCAAGTAGATCAACAATGTACCATATATTCACGCTGAAACAAGTAATAAAAAATTACTACGCATTTAACAAACCGATATACTTAATCTTCATAGACTTATCATAGACTTATTTATAAATTAATATTCATAAGCATACGATTCAATAAAGAGATTAGAAATATGGAGACATTTAAAGCTGTTTGAGGTCCTCTCAAGATTAATATTAATGATAAGAGTGGGCATGGAAGGATCGAGTTTCGCGATTAAATTTGGTCATGAAAAACCAGAAGAATTCCAACCAATAACAGGATTAAAACAATGTGATGCACTTTTACCGTTACTCTTTACGGAGTACTAGAGGTAGCAGTAAGGGAAGTACAAGAAGAATATTAAGGAATCAACTGTGGCCGAAATATTATCCGATACTAGCTTATGCTGATGGCGTTTTAAAAAAAGTGCAAAAGAACTGAGATTAATGAAAGCAGAACTAAATACATGCGAGTCGGCAGGAACGGATTTCAGATGCAACAGGCAGCTGGATTATAGGTTGGCAGGTATATGTTTGAGGAAGTAAATAATTTGAAGGTTGAACACAAGGTTAGGTAAATATTATAACGTTTAGAAAACGATATTTACCTGAACAACTTTACTCAGATTCTTGAACGATGAGTTATCGTTGTATAGAGATAGCGATAGAATAATATTATCTATCTTCCAATATCATAGTCAGGGAATAACGTGCGCCATGGCCCCTTCTATTCTACTAAGGAAATAACAAACGTGTCATGTTTTTTTTTTGTTTTTTTTTTTTATTTATTTATTTGCCCCTCCGTTGAGAAATCCTGCCACCACTGCTACCTTCCCAATTTCCTACATCAGCAGTATCGGTCCCCCCCTCCCACATCCTTTTGATCATAAGGACCCACGATTTTTACTGCGAATGTATTTGCACAACGTGATGGTTGGGGGGGAAGGTTATTATTATCGTTATAGTACTACAAAAGTTAATAAAAACCCAGAGAAAAACTAATTAAAAACTATGCTCTCGGCCATAACGGCCGAGTACGACGATTTTAACCGCTATCTCTCATTGAGTCTCTGTCCAGTCCGCTTACATCTACATTATTATGTATCTTGCACAGAATATAAATATTATCTTACCCGTCATTGTCATGAATAACAATGTATGAAAACAATAATAATTACATTTTTGAAAATTTCTCGATTTTGCGTTAACTAAATAATTAAATAATGTATTTGTTCTGTGTAGGTATAATAGTCTGTAATAATGGCCGAATACACGAATGATCAAAAACAAAAATAGCCAGATAAAAAAATTAATCATTTTTTCCGTAGCTATTTTTGATATAACCATCATAAGATTACTTTCAATTAAATTGATTTAATTATCATGTGTGCGCTTTTCTTTTGATTTTTTTTGTTTTGCATGTCTGTTAATAACTTTTCTACCAACAATTTTGCTTTAATCAAAAATTAATTTTTGTAGCATTTCAGGTATAGTTGGTTTTTAGCTTTCCTTGCAGTTTTCTTAAAAACTTGGAAAAACCGAGAAAAACGTAGCAAATTGTAATATATTTAATACAATTAGTTGTATTTACTAATTGAGCTATAAGAGGTTGAGCTTAAAGCTCCCACACATCTGTGCAGTGCTCGAATGGGGGGGGGAGACGTGGAAAGAGCTCCTCTTCAATTTTTTCATATTTTGAAAGCACACCATCAAATTATTTTCTTTAGGACGTGGGAAACGAAATGTGTTATTTTGTTAAGATAATATTGAATAATACTGAACACTCAATCAACCGCCATGGCGTGCCATTAACACGATCGCAATTTCATCGAGTGTGAACGTGCGTTTAGTTCTATGAACAATTTAGTGTCTAGCTACCAAAAGAAATGCATTAAGTTCTTCTACTCATAATTCTTCTGTTATGTTTATAAATTGTATTGGACCTCCAGTACAAACTTGTAAACCCTTCTAATGTATTGTCTTGGGTACGCAGAAGAAAAACCTCTGCTGGAGAAGAATATTTTCCTAAAAGGAAAAATACAGAAGTAAATCAGAGTTTCCAATAGTTGTGGAATGTTATTTAAAATTAATTTTGTTTGTATACAATCTTGTTAGTAACGTCAAAATCAAACACGGCTCTGTGGTACCTAGCTACAGTAGCTCATATAATCTCTCTTATAACACCGTATGAAACCGAAAGTATATTAGTATTGGAGTCCGTCTGAAAGATTAAAGACTGTTTCGCGCCACGAAATTCGCATATAACAATATCATTAAACGAGCATTCCGTCGGCTGTAAGACCGGATTTGAACAGATCAATAATATCGCTTTAAATATAAATGTTATGTCGCAAATTGGTTATTTAATCTCTAATAAATTGCGTTTCGCTCTCGTGTTACCGGTCCGCAGTACTTGTGGATATGCGATCTCCTAGAAGAGAAGGCGTAACACACGCATACCGAATGACGACGGATAATTTCGTTCATCTGACACGGAATTTATTCCATGGTCTTATTTATAATGTTAACGAATATCCCGGCGATTAGTAGAATGATATTTTATTTTAGAGTTGAATTTTCGGAGATGGAAAATTTGAAACGAATAGTAGGCATACGTCTTCGCCCCGCACGGTTGTCCACAATAAAAATATAGCGCGCGTCGAAATTAAAATCTATAGGCTTAAAATTAAAAACAAACGGACATACTTAGCACGATGAGTGGGCCACTGTTGTAGATGATAAATTGGGAAGACAGAGAGGAAATTTAATCTGTACGTATATCTCTACGCAACGGTTAACCATTGCTAACGAAAAACGATACTGAACCGAGTTCACTTATACATGTTTTGAAAGGCAGTAATATTTACGTAAATTTTCCCGTTTTTCCTGTTTTTTCCATTTATTATAAATAATTCAAAATATGGCATCTTTAAAGTGTCGCCCCAATCAAATTTCCTATCAGAAAAAGTATTAGGGTATTATGCTCGAAGCGTATGCTCTACCACTTTTTCTGGCTCTACAAACGCACACACGCGAATTAATTTTTATTAGCATAAAAATAAAAGAGCTGATAGAACTTGATCTGCACTGTTATTTGGGAAGGTAGGATACACGGAGTCAAATAATTCATATCTGTACGCAGTGATAGTCATTGCTAACGAAGTATAATTATACGCAAAGTTCGGCCAAATTAAGTGATTTTTATAATTAAATTGTTGTGAAATGATTCTGTAATAATTTCAAGACTTCACGATTATTTTTAACCATATTACAACAAAACAAGCTAAATAAAGTAATCATTTCCTTAAACTTTTTCGTTTTTATTACGTGAATACGTTTTGTCAAGAAATTCACTAAATACAATTGTCATTCAGAAAAAAAATCTTCATATCATAATCATAGCAATATTTCTGGTAGAAAATGTGTGAACAGACACTCGCTAATCGCAAAATGTAACATTTTCGTTAAAAAATAACAATCAAATTATATACACAGTTAAAACCATGCTAATTCGTAGGTAAACTAATACGATTACAAAAAACTAACAACCTATAATAATCATAGGTGCCAATTTTTCAAAAGAGTATCTCGTTTTTTGAGCCTTCCATTTTAAAATACAGTATGTATAGACTGGAACCATCAATGTATAATTAGAGATATGAATTTAAAGCACTACAAAACCTTAAAAATTCATTTATATCCAAACTAACCTAAAATAACAAATGGTCTACAGATTCTGAAAATCCACTACTGATATGCCATAATTAATTACCATGATTAGCATTATCTATCGAATCATGACAAACCAAACATTTTACTTGCATACTTAGTAGTTACTTGTATACACTATACACTGTATAGTATACAGCTTGTATAAAATATGTTAAAACACCAATATAATATTATGTAAGTATAATGTGTATACGACTTGTATAAATTAAAATACACCAATATACTTCTTTTAAAAATGTATACAAATATCGTAAAATGATATAAACAGGAAAAATGGCCCTAAAAGATAAAAAATCTACCTAAATTTAAAAACGTCAATAAATCAAAATAAAAGTTTCACAATATTGAATTCATTGTTACATATGAGTTCAAACATTGACCATTGTGTTCAGAAAGATACGCTTTAAAATCAGCTACAAAAATGCATTTTCTTGCAAATTTACAGCCCTAATTATAATTTATTCACTCGAGAGGAAACCCAACAAAAAAACGACCAAGGGTAAACCTCCGCAGCGATGGTTAGACAAAGCGAAGAAAGATATTTCAGATACCGATGAGTCAAATTGATTGGCGGATGCAATGGACCGGAATATATGGAGAAGTTTAAAAGAAGCGTACAAAAGCTCTTAATGGCCTGTATAGCACTAGGAAAAAAAATTATAATTTATAATGCATACCTACCTATTTAAATGGTCTAACTAATGTTATATATTAAGAATATATTAAGAAAAATTCTAGGAGAAGAGGAAGCTACTAACTGCAAATTTGGCCAAATACAGAAAAATAGACCACCTACTGAAATGCCCTCTAATAGGAACCAAATACAATAAAAACGACTACTCTTGGACATGACAAAGCGGCAGCAGTCACGACCGAAATCTGAACGATTGCTTTTTTTTATAAAAATAAAATGATTAGTTATTATCAAAATTCGATCCAAACTTTTATAGAACGCTTAGCGACCTGTACTCATTTCCATCGGTGCTCGAGCATCCGAACACCGGTTTACATGGCCCCTATGCCTACAATATAAATAGATGATCGCCTTGCCAAATTATGCCATTTGTCCTTAAATACTTAAATTCTTAAATACAGTATTTCTGCCACATGTCTATAAGAAATTAAAATTGCGAATCATTATTTTTCCCCCGAACTTACTGAGATATTAGAGAAAAGTATTGTGTGTATAGATATTAATTATCGTTAACTGCGGCGCGGTTGTATAGTCATAATAACGGATTTTTTTTTTATTATTATTATTCAAATGATTAATACGAACCTAAATTTGTTTTTCCAGCCCCGTTTAAACAATTAATTCGCCGTAAATCGTAGCATAAAATCTCTTCATATTTATTATATTGTTTATTTCTGTTTTTATTTTATAACAGCGGTACGATTGATTACAAACAATAAAAAACAAAAAAAAATTATCCATTCGGAATACATTTTAAACACACGAAAGCATATTATTGACATCGGCTCAAATGAAAATAATAATTATTGTTGTTGTATACAACGTACACCGTATGTATTTTTGAACTATTACGGGTTACGGTAAACAATTTTATTTCGTTTTTCTTATGCATAAAGGCAAAATAAATCCTACAATAATTATTGGCGATATACAGAGTGTCCCACGAAGCGATGTACCCATTGCGATATCTTAGTATCTTAGGTACCTATTAACTTGATTCGATTTTTTTTTTTTTTTATTGTTTAATAAGAGCACCTCGTTACATAAATAATTGTCAGAAAAAAAAAATCCGAAAAAAGCAGACAGAAAAATACAAACGGATATACTTCGCACGATGGGTGGGCCACTGTTGTAGATGAAAAGTTGGAAAAGTATAGGTATATTATATAATGTATATCTGTACGCAACGATTAATCATTGTTCGTACATTTTCCCGTTTTTCCTAAATATTTTTCCATTTATTATTAAAACCCCTGGGAAATTTAAAAAAATGACCTGTTTAAAGTAACACTCCAATCAAATTTCTTTTCAGAAAAAGTGCTACACTTGAAAATCTTTTTTTTTAAATTTTTTTAAGCAACATTGTTAAACCAATACATTCCTGGCTCCGTTCAAAATCTAAAATATTTATTTAAATATATAAAATATTATTTATTTTATAGATATATTTATGTGTATGTGACCGTACATTTATCCCCCGACGGATATTTTATAACGGAACAGATCATTTATCAATGCCGCGCGCCGCAATAAATACTTAGTATATAATCTGTTGTACATCTATACAGATCAATAGACTTTGGCAAGGATGGAAAAAAACGTCCCTGAAGTGTCCCCATCAATATCTTGTAACGCGTCTCGTTCCAGGTCAACAGAGTACTATATCGCGCACAAGCACATACACTGACACGTATATAATATACAGAGTGAGTATTTCATCATAAACCGTCGATTATATCTACGAAGATTTTAAGTAGGTAAATTTGATTTTTTGTTTTATTATGCGTATAAATCATAATAGGTACTCGTACTACAGAAGATGATTTAAATTATCTTAAATATTTTTGGCATTTCACTGTTATTCTACGGGGTAAATAAATACCATAAAAATACATATCAACAATTATTAATGTTCAATAATCTACACATATGTTTAATATTAAGCGCATTTTCAAAATGAAAAAAATATTTTAAAACAAATTTCGAATGACCCGATAATGAAGTGTATTATAAATTAGAATCAACAAATACAGGGTCGGGTAACAAATTACATATCCATGTTTAAAGACAAACAGGGGCGGAGTGGCTTGGAAATTACACCGGGCTAATATATGTGTCTAGGTCATTTTTACCATTTCTTGATACCATATTGTTAGCTGTATACCTAAGCATAATTTTTGTTGAGAAAAGTTTTTATTATTGTTATTATTATTTTAAAATAATCTATAGTCTATACAGGTTTGTACAATAAGCAGGTTTGATAGGAGACAACGAAAAATACAATTAATGGTGAATCTTAAGATTGGGGAGGTTACCCGGTGGTAACACCCAGCAGAGAAATATAAAAGCACAGTAATAAAATTGTACTGTACGGCATTGTTTTTATAATTCCGATGGTCAGTGACGAACTGACGAATCCAGGATTTTTGAATCGAGACTTGAAAAAAAAAAAAAAATAGAAGTTGTACAAAAATACATAATTTTGTAGTACAATTCTTTGTACTTGGTAAATAAGTAGTCCAAATGTTTAATGATTATTGTGTATTTGATTAACAACTATAGTTGAATCACTCGGTATTTCTCGGGCTCATCTTACCCTTTAATCCTTGCCATTTCACTAATATAATACGATATTATACTAATAATTATACTCAACACACTATATACATATACTACATATCATTTGTTGCTCGGTAATTTATCTGTTGAGGGAGGTTGTTCCTTGATCATGACAACCAAATTAATTAATAGTAACTGGTTACTTCCATCCTTGTCACCGAGGTAATTCGTAAATCAACAAAAAAAAAAAAAAAAAAAAAAAAAAAAATGATATACCTCTATATATAGGTATATTAATATTTTCATTTCAAAAATACCAATAACTTTGTATCAGCCACTCTAGAGTTGCTGAATTTCGTTAACACTCACATTAATAACATTTAATTTTGAACACTTCGGGCCACTCATAAACCGGGCCATCATCGGGCAATTACACTCATAACCCAAACATATCGGAGTAAATACTTGTCAAGTATAAATAATCATGTATTAATTTTATTTTGTATTAATATTTAATTAGCCAAAAAAAAAAAAAATGGCGTAAAAACAGCTAAAATTGTCATGTATTATACAATTTGAATACTCACTACTTATTGATATTGAATATTTTTTTTCCCATACTCCATTATTATTGTCATTATTATTATTATTGATGCCGCGTTATTCTGATCACCTTCATTCTCATTTTTTTTTAATTCAATACTCCATAGGCTTGAACGTATTCCGTTACACAAACATAATTTTCAACGCGAATTCAATATTAGGCACCGTCATATGGCGTAAGTTCGGACGTGGTGTAACGTCGGACATTAAATGCTTTTTTTTTTTTGTTCAATAGTTTTGTTCATAACACATAGAAAAAAATGTTTTTCGATTATCAACAAATTTCTTCACACATGTTCAAATAATAATCCTCAATGGGGTTGATAAATTGTTAAGAAAATATATTACATTTGTATGCATGTTTGTTGGTTGATTCAAAGAAAAATAATATTTGTGATAGGTAAAATGTGTCGTAAAGTTACACAGTGGACAGCACCTGAGAGCTCGTATCACTTTACTCCACATCATTCACAATTGACTTTAAAACGTTAAACATTAAAAAAAAGTACTATAGGCACGCGTGTTATTGATTTTCAATCAATTTTTTTTATTTATTGTTGTAAATTCGGACATAGGTACTCATGGGTAATTCGGAAAAACGGAATCGTGCGAGGAAATGTACATACACGTGATCATAAATTATTGATGCTGCGTTATTGGCGATCGCCAAAGGTACGTCTGTCAGAAAAGCTGCATCTATGTATGGAATTTCCTAATCAACTTTAAATGACAAAAAAATCAGGCGACCAACAACGAACACAAAAGGACGGGAAAAAATGCATCTGCAGGAAATTCTAAAAGTACAGATTTTTGAAATCAGTTGCTAAAAATAGTGTAACCAGTACATCCGAATCGTTTAGTTCGAATTCAGAAGATGAACAGGATAGTATTGATTTGATACAAACTTACCATATGGAGATTGTGTTGAAAATTTAAATCATTTAGAAATAGCCGATTTTGTTATTGCGGAATACAAAATAAGCGAATTAACACCGGAATAATTCAAATTAAGCTAAAAATGAATTTTTTGTGAATAGAATAACTTAAAAATCGTCCGAACTTATGTCATGTGATAGTATCTGTAGTATAGCCCGAAGAAATAATTTCAATTTAAATACTATTAAAAAAATTCATAAACGTAATAAAGAAAAAATAAAACACAACATACCAAATAAAGCTGTTAACTAGTTATTGTAACTATCATAGTATGAAATATCGAAATAATGTGTCTAACAAATTTAGCTAAAATTTTGAAAAATACTACAAATAATGTAAAAATCACTTTTAAGATTAATAATAATTTAATCAAACATAAACCATAGTACTACAAACTTCACGAAAAATCCTCCTTTTTTTGACAATGCTGGTATATATAATACTTAAATGTAACTGTAATAATTTGTATATACATAGGTAAGACAAATATAAATTTCAAAATAAGATATAAAGTACACATTTCTGTAATAAAATTAAAAAAGGCTGCCTCTAATTTAAATTTAACTATACATGTTTTAGAAAATAACCATAATAAATATAAGTTTAATAATATTAATACAGAGTTAGAAATATTAAATACCCTAAATAACATTTACATTAATTCAGTTTTAAAAGAATTGCACATACACAATGAAATAAAGAAAAATAATTTTAATATTTTAAATTTACAAAACCGATTTTAAAAATAATATCTTATATCAATACATTTTAGATGATGAAAAATAATAACCAAATAATTACATTTTTTTAATATACAGAGGTGGCCAAAAGTCGCGCAACAAATTTGCAACACAGTTTTTATAAAACTGTTGTGTTAAATATGTTGTTTTCTTATAAACCTTGCTGTTGTTGTACGTAAACAAGATAACGAGACCAAAGTTGCAATATGACGTAACGGAAACTACGTGGAGGGAGAAACTGCACCGTAACGCGCGTTCCATGCAAGACGGTAGGCGTTGCGCGACTTTTGGCCACCTATGTATTTATGTCTAATAACTCATTTTAAATAATCTCTCTTAATTGTTAAATATTCAAATAAATTATTTCCATATAAAATGATCTATTTTTATATTTTTTTTCTATACATTCCTTCATTTATTTGTTCATATTCAATTGCGTTTTTACATTTTTGATTTTGTGATTTCCTGATGAATTTTTAATTTGAAACCGATCGTACAATACACATATCTTGATACTCCAGGCGACATAATTATTCATTTATATATTTATTTACGAGTATTAACAATTTAATAATTTTGTTTTTACTTTATTATTTTATTATTTTACTGAATTATATACAGTCACAGTTTGAGATAAACATTCAGACAAAAATTTTAAAAAGTTATGACTTATAAACCGTATTAGTGTACGTTATATTCGTCCATTAAGTCTAGTGAAAATAATAGTAGCATTGTGGTATTTCAGAAATAGAGCAATCATCTGGCAAGTGAGTGAATCTTGTCAGATTCCAAACCTGGCCTCCTAATTTTGAGCTCTGTCAACCTGATAGGTATTATCATTATATACATTCGGTATTGTCATTATAGTAAGGTTTTAATATTGTTCCATATTTTGTATACTTTTGTACTAATAAAATAAGTTTTGTAGAACAATATTTATTTTTACAATTTTATAACTTTTTATCGAAATTAATAATTTCTGAAAAATAAAATTATACAAAGTTATATTATATTAATAATCTGATCAAAATCATAATTTAAATTTATTAATTTTCAATACTCATATAAAACAATTTAAACCCGAGGTTTTCAAACATTATTTTTTCATGAACCACTTATGTGTATTATAGATCTGTCAAGTACTTGAACTATTCAACATTTCAATTCATTTATTTAAAAATCAAAATAATACAGTAAAATACAATATAATTATGTATAAAGAATTTTTTTAATTTTTAAACAAAATGTATACAAAATATAAATATTTAATTCATTAAAAACATTATTACAAATATGTATTTATTCATTTTCCATACTACCAGCCATGTGGCCTGCATGCCATCATGTTGCCTACCATGATCACCAGTGGTATATATACTACAGTTTAAAAACTGCTGATTTAAAGTTTACATATATTATATTAAATACTTTTATAAGAAAACAAACTAAGCAATGTGTTCACCTTGTATACAATTTCATATCAGTGATTATCAAAATAAATATGTGTATTATCATAGACATATAATAATATATTATATGTCCATGCGTATTATTCTAATTAATTAATAATCATATATATATATATATATATATATATATATATATATAATATTAGGATAGTATTATTAATACGCATCTAAAAAAGTTTATTAAATTTATTTTTAATGCTTGATTGTAGTTTTGGAAATTTATTTAAATTTCTTAACAATAATTTATAAAATTTGACAAAAACTGAATTTACAGTGTTATCTATTCCGCGAAATGAATATCCTTTTTTTTAATCAGTACATACCATACAATTATACAAATTTGATACTTAACGCTACACATAACATTAAATTAACAAAATGAGTATTCAAAGTCATAATTTAGAACCCATATAGATATCAGAAAAATACTCTTAAAAAAAATATATATATATATATATATTAAGGTCAATCTATTTTATTTTAACAGTATTATTAACTTAATAGCTAATTGTGCATAGGCATCAGGATGGCAAAATAACAGATGTTATTCTATGAATTAGAATAACAATAAAATTGTTGACAAATAATATATATATATAATAGACGTATTGCTTAAACAGTCAAGTATCTACCTACTCGATTGGTCTAGCCGTTTTGGCCGCAGATAGCATAGATAATCTATGGTGGCCAGAAACTATTTCAGCTATTTAAACACCGCGCCTAATACTATATAATATGAACAAATACCAGCACCTTAGATGACAATCAAAATAAAACATTAAGATAATAATGAAACAATTGGTACACAAAAAACAGAAAAACAAATTTAAATATTTAGAGGGATAAATAATATTAATGTAATTATTAATGACGAGTGTTAAAATATAAATAAAAATAAAATAATTCAACTTGGACATCAACATGTTAATTTAAAATATATGTCGGGCAATTATAGTTCAATACGCCACATAGTATCGTTGAGCTATAATTCGTCTCTTAATAATGTGTAACGATTCTTTGATGGTGCTAGGTTCTTGAAAGTAGATTCAGGTGGCAATGTTTGTGCAACAGGTTGGTTATTGTTTTCTTGACTAGATTCTTGATTAGAAATGTCCTGAGGACCTAAATGATACTCTCTATGTAGTTTACCTGAGTACAAGTCATCAATAAATTTTTTCAGATGCTCATGATTTTTGTAATCGCTTTTCGCTGGGAATTGATACATATGCTTGAAACTATCAATGACAACTACAGGTAAATCAGTATGTTGTTTCCCGAGATGCTGTAATGGATGTGCAAACTTAATACCATCAGCCGTCAAAAAATTTACACGCTCTGTGAAATATTATCATATAGTAACAAAATAAACATACAATGGTATATTAACACTTACGTTTTTCACTTATTAAATGCATTCCAACAATATCTTTAAATAGCTTAACAGATTCAACATGATCAGGATGATAAAAAAATATCAAGAACGGTAGTCCTTCTTCTGTGATTTCTTCAGCATTCTCAAATGTTATTTCACGTACCAATGGTAAGCAATTATCTGTTGCCCATATATTTAACGAATCATAATCAGATGCATTACCTTTGAATGTATGATGTTCACTTTCTGGAGATGCCCGGTCTGGTCTAAATACAATTATAGTTTCACCAGGCGGATGCATAGCACGGAATGATTCACTAACAATAAAAGTATGTTAGTAAAAATATTTTAAAATAATAAAAAACACGTTTTAGTACCCAACTCCAGCAAAGAAACGACAATCATCTTTGAGATTAGTAGCTACTTTTCTAAATATTTGGTAATCTGAAACATCTTTATTTTCAAAGTATCCAATTATAACTCTTGCCTTTTCCTACAAATACAAAACTAAATTTTCATAAATTGTTTAAAAAGAGGTTTACTAACTGGCAATAAATCAAAATTACATAACTTAGAACATAAATTGATGCATTTATATTGAAATTAGAATTTAAACAAGAATAATACAATTTTTCAAAGACAATTTTCTGTCTAAATTATGGTCAAACAAAAAAGTTAATCATGTTAGTTCATTTATTTATTTTATTTTTTTTTTTTTTTGTGAAAAAACATTTTTTAAAAAAAATAGTGACATATTCTCCTTTTAACGTGTAATTTGTGCTTAAACTCAAATTTCAATCTAAACGCCACAATTTATGTTCTAAGTAAAGTAATAATTTTGCTATGATGCATTAATGCCCGTTAATTAGACAATAAATGCAGATATAGTTTCATATAAAAATAATTAAACTTACATCTACAGAGCCAGCTGAAACAGCTAGATTAGCTACTTCTTGTATAGGATCTTCAAGCTGTTTTTGCACAAAAGAAACAAAAGCTTCAACAGATCGCTTCCCCCTATATTCTCTCTTGGCTGGTTGTCCATTAATCAACACTTTTAATGTAGGATATTTAGTAATTTGAAATCTAGATGCGATGGAAGCTAAAAACAAAATCAATAAAATATTATTGTTATGCAAATGTTTCAAGAATAATCACATAAGTATAAATATAACCTAATTACCTAACTTTTTTTTTTTTCTTATTTTTTTTAAAATTACTAACAGACCAGAAGGGACTTCATCCCCCCCAGTCTGATATTAAACACCCTAACTGCCATCCAACAGTCATGGGAGTCTTGTCTATACCAGTCGCAATAGCGGTGGCATCACCAGTGGCTAACATCTGAGTCATTAGCTTGTCTCACCCTCTTCTATACTTCCTTACTCGCCATTATTACCTAGAGGCACGTCTTCTGTGTGTGTATGGATATTTAGTATATTTACTAATCATAGATATTTAAATGATTATATGCATACATATAATTAAATAATTTATATAAATAAAGTTAATTCCATTCAATATCACCATATGGACTGAAAAACAATGGAGACTTTCTTTAAAATCTAACTAATCGTTTAGGGAAAACATATTCTAAAATGTGCGAACGTATGAGATACAGCGCATATGGACAAACAGGCAGACAGATTCATTAAGTAGTTTACACTACTAAATAAAAAAATAAATAACTTTCTTAATACACTTTTATTTGGTTGAAAATTTATTAGATATTATAAATAAGAAATATAATATCAAACAAATTGTAAAACAATACATTTACTATTATTAGTAATAACAAATTGAAATCATTATTTGTATACTAATAAATACCTATAATTTACCAAATATATATAAATTTTATATTTCTCTATAATACTGATATAGATTGATGGATTGAAAAGACAAGAGGTTTATATAATATAATTTATACAAAAAGAAAGTTACAGTCATAGATTCCTAGATGGTTACTTAGAAGAGGTGAATATTAAACAAGGAGAGAGACAAGAATGTTTGCTCTCACCCTATTTATTCCACCTGTTTATCGAAGCTGCTATAAATGAGATGAAAATCAACTCAAATAGCATATATATACGGCTACGAAATACACTCAATCCGTTTTTCCAACGACATTAAGTTAATAGTCTGAAGAAGATTAAGACCTCATGCAGAATTGCTTGGACACAACACTAACAAAGTCATATCTCAAGATCAATGCAACAACAAATTTGCTTATAGTTAACAAATCAAACCAACAAAATACATCTAATATCAAGATTAAGGATAAAGTAATTGAGCAATAAAAAATATTTTTCAATGTAGGAATTCTAATTACAAAAAAATAATAATTCAACAAAAGAAGTAAAGAGAAGAATAGCCTCAGCAAAACAAGCATTCAACAAAATAAATCTTTACTGATAAACAAAGACTTAAACAATAAAACTAGGAAGAGCTTCATTAAATTGTATATCTGGTGTATTTTACTGTATGGATATAAAACATGAACCATAGAGAAGTATGAGAAAGATAGGTTGAAAGTGATAGTGATGTGATTGTGGAGAAGAATGGCGAAGATGAGCTAGTCAAAGAGAAAAAGAAAAGACACCATCTTACAGGAAATGAGTGAAAAGCATAATTTTTTCTATATTTAAAGGAAAAGTGAAACTAGTTGAGCATATACTAGGACACAACATATTTGTCACCAACATATTGGAGGGAAGTTATGGGGAAACGACCTGACGAAAAACCAAGACAATTCTTCAGTGACATCTATCAATTAATATATTTCACTTCACTTGATGAAAGCAGAGTGTGATAGAGTGTTTTGATTACAACAACAAGGCACTGATGATAATAATGTGTACAATTATTTTAAAATGTATTTTAAATACTGAAGTACTTTATTATTATAAACTATTGTGCTTATACAATTTAAAATGGCATATGTTGTATTAATTCAATTTCTAGTTATGAATAGGTACCTACATAAATGTACAAAAATGACTAGTTACATTTTATATGATATAGTTTAAAATTTTTATATAAGATAAATATATATATATATATATATTAATTATAATTAATTACGAAATAATGTTTACTCACTTTCAGTATCACAGTCGACTTTTCCCATCACAACTCTACCCGGATTTGGATAAAGTGTAGAAACTTTTCCAGCAGCTTCATCAAATATTGGTGCGAGAATACCACTGAACCGACACCAATCAGCATAAAAGTTAATTATAACCAACTCATTTGATGCTAAAAATAAAGTAAATTAAAAAAAATTTTAAAAAAAATTTAATTATCTACTAATAAAAATTATGTATTAAAATTATAATATTAAATTTTTTTTTTTTTTTAATTTTTAAAGTTACCTAGTACTAATCATTACATTTGCACCATAATTAAAAATATAAATAATTTCACTGTAAGAAAACAAATATTATAAGTGTACTTAAAGATTTAAAGAAAATAATTATCTATAATATCTAAATTAAATTACCCAATGTCATGTCAATATTTTGGCTATTAAGTTGAACAGCATTTCCACTTGCTAAGTTACTGAACAAATAAACCTTTATTTCAAAACATAAAAAATAATTTAATTATTTAAATTATAATAGATAATTCAACTTTGATGAAATGTAGGTAGGTATACTCACATAAGAAAAAAGTAGTAAAAATAATTTATTAGTAAATATCTTCCGGTACTTTTGATTCATTATACTATAAATGCTATGCTGAATGTAACATCAGGATACGATAACTGGTAAGAAAAAGACCAAAAATTTAAATTGTAAGTGCACACTAAAAAAAACGAAATTTCTTGAAGACTACTGAACAATCGACGCCAAACTATTAGCGCAACAATTATATCAAATAACTTCGTTTAGTATCGAAAAATTTAAAGATTATTATAATTATTAATTTATAAAACCATTACGACGTCATCCGGCGAATATCTACTGATTACACACGTCGAGTCGTTCCATGAAACTGATAATAATATCATGGAAAATAAATGTATGATAAAGTGTTAATGTAGAAATTTTGTTATAGGTAAATCAGTAATCAAAGTTTACACATAAATGCACAATAAATACATACTTAATATATGAGATTAAAATATGTAGTATTTTGAATTTCTGAAATCATTTTATAAAAATATAGACTTTTGAAAGTTCGATGTCATTTTGTCACTATCACAGTTATCTGCCGTAGATAACTGAGGTCACAATAAAATATAAGCTGCAATCATGAACTAAGATAATTTTAATTCGTGCCGTTCATAGCCGCAATTTATCAAAATATTATTTCTTTTGCTAGGTATGGTGTATAAATATTACCACAGAATAATAATAAATATAATACAGTATTTGAATTTAGCCACAGTCTCATCGAAATTATGGCGCTGTATTCTATGGCCAGGATTTTGGTAATGAATGTGTCGATTTGTTAGAAAGTCACAAAGAAACAATTTTGTCCATCAATTAAATTAAAAAAGTATTTGCGTCGCATAGCAAACTATATATCTTTAAGCGTTGGTCATGGGACTATGGCACAACGGTCTAAACGAGACCAGCTATCCAAGATCTTCATACATCTTTGTACTATCTTCGTACAATTGCTAATTTACCTACGTAGATATGTGTTAAATAATAAATGTTAACTTGGCGAACTTGTGAACCAAAATGTATGCAGATAAGTACAATATTGTTAATAAGTTATTACTATAAGATTATAGACTATAGTAGATAAGTAAATAATTTTTGCTTCATACCATATGTCGCTGATGAAAAATACAACTGGTGACGCATTGATTAGTGATTATAGGTATCTATAATACGGCACAAATTACCTTTATTTTAATAATACTATAGCTACAGGTACTATCCTATGCAGTGTAAAACAGACAAGCAGGCAGCAGCTGTTTGTAAGTAAATTATTCGACAGTATCCTAATATTGACACGTTTCATATTGTAAATATCCTCAATAAGTTATACTATAATTTACGTATAAACATGAAATATGAACTATAAATTAGGTAGATAGGTAGACCACATAATATTAAATTTGTGGATACCTATTTTGAAAAATAATTAAATGTTTTCAGCACATGGTTTCATGTATAGATAACCTTTACTTTAACCTCCACCACCTCCAGTCAAAGCCATGAAGGAGCATTACCCTTCTGATATTTTGTTCATTTAAAATAAATATATTTTTCAAGGCATTTTGGGTTTTTGTAGAAATTATACACTTATAAGTTATAATAAATATAAATCATAATTTTGATATAAATAAGTAAAAGGTTACTGAAGACCGAATCAGTGAGCCACTTTTTTGTACCCTATACTTAGTTAATAGTTTCATAGATAATTCCAAGGACTCTATTATGATTGATACAATACATAAAACGAACAGAGCTGAAGTGGACCACTATACGTTTTTTTTTTTTTTTTTTCATAGATTATAATTATATACTATATATATTAAAAAGCTAGTAAAGGTGTTTTGAACACTTTCACTATGTTCCTACTCTACTTATATAGTATACTGCAAAGCCGTGTTAAGGAGGACATTGGGTACATTTGCCCCGGGGTCTCATTTTGGTAAAATAATCGACCACCTAAATATTAATTATCTCGTAGATTATTATTACTGTAATATATTATAATGATTTAATCTATTCTGTGGTAATTGTTTGTGAAGTTGTGCGAGTTTTTGTTTATTGAAATTGAAATGAGTTAAAATAATAAAATATTATAAAGTTGTATTATGAAAATATTGAATTTTAATATTCCACATAAATAATATATTTTCAAAATTCAATTTTTCTGGGGGTAGAAAACAAAATACTCTTGATATCACTTAGTGGCGCCTATGAGCTATGATACTATGTTTATAGCTATAATTAGTATCATACCTATCGAGTTGATAAATGATTTCCTAAGAAAAATAAACATATAGTATTGCTAAAAATAAAATAATTTTGAGTTATTATATTTATATGTTCAAATTCAATTTAGTCAAAAATTATATTTTTTTAGAAATTATTCAAAGGTAGGGTGGCTATTAATTGTCAACCCCCCCCCCTCCCAATAAAAATGGTGATGTAAAAATCGATACCTCTGACCTACATAGTATCAAATACTGTATAGTATATAAATGTAATATTTGCTACTCTATGTACGACTAGGACTAGTAATTTAGTACCTAATATATTTATTAAATAATATAAATGTTATATAGGTAGTCATATGGTAGCAATGACTATGAATACCAATAAATAATTATAATAAACGACAATCGGTAAAGTATGCTTTTCAACCATTATTTATATTTAAACGTGGAACTTTAGTACCTAATATGCATAAATTATAATATTACACAATTAGGGCAAATTCAATCTGTACCATATGCTGTCATACTGATAGTAAAAAAACATTTATATTAAAATTAGAGTAAACCGAATTTTAATAACTCATAAAATGCATATGAATATATGATTTGAATTAACTCGTTGAATGCGTACTGACGCCAATTGGCGTTACAAGAATTGTTCAGCAACGCATTCGACGCCATTTGTCGTCCAATATACATTTTATTTAAGTAGTTTAGTAAGTATTCCATACGCGTGACTTAATGATAATTGATCATTGAATCATTGATTAGCGTTATTAAAAGGATATAACCATATAGGTAGATTAAAAAATTATGAATGTACTGGAGTTTGGAGTGAATACAAACATATGAAGTCAACGTGTTAATTAATTAAAATTGCCTATCAAAACATTGAGTATCCAATTGTGTGCGTTGTTGATAACTTAATCATCAGAAACCACAATATTATAAAGTACTATATTTTTTAATGGGTTTGTAAGGGCCCTTATAAGGATTTGTATTAGTTCTGTGGTGTGACGTCTTGCTAATTGCATCTTTTTGATACACTTTTTGTATAAAATTTACTATTGAATTTAATTGATATTATTTAAAACGAATTAAAATAATAAAATCAAATTATACACCAAACATTGTAAAATTAACATGAGTATTATATAATTAATTAGTATTATACCTATTAGATTTTACTAATAACATATTTGTCACAAATGCAAACAAGTAAAACCACTATTATAAATAAAATGCTATTAAGATAATCCGTAATTGATATTTCTCTGAAACAATGTAAACAAATTTTATATCCAGTCAAATTAAATTGTTATTGTTATCTTTAGATTAATGATATAACTCCAAAATTACCACACTAAATATATAATAAATACCATTTACCTCAAATCCTGTGCTAAATAATTTGTTTTTGTTTTATATATTACTGCGTGTAAATTTGTTACCTAATGATAAAACTTAGAAGTGTATGCAAAACCTGATAAATTTGCATAGATAAAACCTTTGTTCTTCAATAATTAAACTATATGCACCATAAATTAGTCATCAGGGGAAACTTTGAGACGTCTGGCAAAAAAAATAATAATTTAAAGATTTTCAATTATTTGTGTAATCTATGTGTAAATCTACTTTTTTCACCTATATTCACTATTTACATATATTCTCTCCAATGGTGAAATGTGCGTGTACGTATGAATTAGGTACGTTCTGAGCTATTTTCGGAATTGGCGATAACAACAGACGACATGGTCCTAGACCGAATGGAACGGTCGATCGACACCATGGACCTTATAAGGTCAATGAATCTATGACGGACAGTCTCTAATCTAATAGATAAGTGGTAAATAAAAGTTCGGGGTTGGGAATCACAGCGACAATGATTTTTGTACGGGGTATTGGAGTTCGTGAGACTAGTCTCTGCCACCGAATAGCACGTTATTCTGTATTCGTTGCGTACACGTTTGTGTAATGCGTCGTAAACTTGCCGCGTTTTTTATTAAATATAAAAAATACGAAATTAAAACATTGTAAATTAGATGGATTGACATCGATTTTTATTCATTTACGTATGATGAAAAATGTAACTTGAAAATATCTAAAAAGCTGTCCTGGAACGGGTACAGCCACTGTTGTAGGTAGGAAGTTAGGATATAAAAGAGAATTTAATGCACATATATCTGTAAACAACAATAAGCCATTGCTAACAAACAAACGATTCTGAGCGGAGTTCAGTTGATAGTGATGCTTTGTCAACAATATTTATGTCATACTATGGTAAAATAATGAAATAGACATATTATATTTTCTTTAATATTGATCCGATTTTCCCAAGTTTTTTCTCGGTTTTTCGTATTTGCTCAAAAAACTCTTGGGAAATCGAAAAATGACATCCCATGAGTACCTTCCCAGTCAGATTTCCTTTCAAAAAATAGTCTGCATTGTATTAATTGGAGTAAGCTTTCTGGTAAAAAAAAGTGTTCACATAAAAAAAAAAAATAATAATAAAAATAAACAATTTTGTAAAACCAATACATTCTCCGCTCCACTCGGAATCTAAAAACTAAGTTAATCGGATACGCCATTGAATAAATACAAATATTTCCAGTAGTAATGTATATAAACAACCAATAGTTGCACAAAAGTTAAGTCTTCCCGTAAATTGTATTCACCAATCATTACTAGTTATACTGATTATATATTATAGATAAAAACGAATGTTCGTTTATTATAACAATTATCCCTTAGCACAATTCATTTTAATAATTGAGTTACAAACAAAATTGCAACTAAATCTAAAGAGTAATTAAAATACATTTTAAAATATACAAAATTTTAATTACTATCCAGATCTATTTTGCATCTTTTAAAGCTTTCATAATCAAAAACTTTGAAGCTCCTTTAAGTTGTGCACATATAGTGGTCATTTCTGGACGGAATTTGGTAATGTCGACAGCTCCGATCACGGCTGTTAAGAATAAAGCAAATTCTCTATTTGCAGAGTGTTCGTGGACTGCATTTCTGCACAATAAAACCAGTTTTTTAGCTTCATTTTCATCCAAACTTTTCTGACAATTTTTCACCAAATGTAATAAAACCATAATTTCATGTTGTCCTAGACTATCACAGCTTTTCATGTATTCACTATGGATATGTTGTAAAATTATTTTATAATTTATAAAAACAATAACAAATTATAATTTTTAATTGTTTTTACTTTAACAGATTACACCAGTTTTGCTGATCAAGAGATTTCATAATTTCTACAAGCCAATCTATGTGTTTGACTAGAATCGAATCTTTGTCGTTCAGCAGCTTGACAATAAAACACTTACAAGCATATTCCGGAAAATGGATAATTAATTTAGACAAACTCTCAATGAACCCAGTCAAATTTGATTCACATATTTTTAACTGAAAAATGGAAACATGAGATAGTTAGGTATGCACCTTAAAAGATAATTCAAAATTTAAATCTAAACGCTTTCTTACTTAAATAAATTTGCAAAATCAATTAAATTTGAGCCCTATTTAATGTTTATCACACTATTAGCCACTTACCCAAGGCGTGTAGATTTGTTCGCAAATGATGTGAGGTCTTACATTGGTTTTGACTAGTAATTCACACAGACCGTGGCGAGCTTTGTCCGTGACCAATTCTGGCCATATGTTTCGGATAATTTCCGACACATCTTTTCGGTTCTTCTGCTCAGTCGTCAACAATGAACACAATTCTTGTAAATTGCAGCAGTTTCCGTTGTTTAAGAGCTCGATAATGACTTTTGTTATATTTTCATGATTTTGCTCTAAAAAAAAAATTGGAAATACGATAAAATATTAGATAAGTACCTAAGTAGGTATCAACTAATTATTATTTTACATATTGATCCGATAGACAGGTATAACTGTATAAGTAGGTACCTACCAAATTAAAATTTACATTATTATATGATGTATTATGGTAGCAGGTAAACACTCACTACTCGGCTGCTGACGCTGACTTAAGAAAGATGATTCGCCATCAAATGTGTCGAAATCGGTGTGGACAATAGTCTCATCAGTTTTAAAAATTGGTTCTTCGTTTTCAACAGTGCAATTCTTCGGCATACATGTTAAAACGGCATTAAAGTCGTTGTCAACATCGCTATCGTCGGTGCTGCTACTAGAGATTTCAACTCGCGTCTACGGGAAATTAACAGCAAATAACTGTTTGTTTAAAATTTTATTAACGGTAAAACTCCGTACACAGTACAACGATAATTGGTCCCTAGAGACCTATATAGACTCCCCGTAATAACTTCATATGTACAAGGACAACATTGATTGCCAATCGGTTTTTAATGCAACTCATAATATAAAAACGTAGTCACTATAAAGTGCTTAATATTAACTTTTCAAAATATGAAATTTTAAATTAGGTTGGTACCAATATGTGTATTTTTTATTTTTATTAAATATTTTATACATATGAGATGCAATTTTCTACCCATTAGTGAGATTATTATAATATATAAAAGACAATTTAAAAATATATAGGTAGTGTATAGGTACTAGTATACGACTCATTCGTTCATTTATTGAGAAAACAATTGGAGATTAGGTAATAAATTACTGTGTAAGAAATTATTGAAATTACCATATTAGATATAAGTATACATACCTTCGAATTAGCGGCCAAAGAAGACAAAACAGCTTTTCTCGACGAGTCTAAATTGCTCTGATCCGTTTCGAATTTGTTCAATACTTCTGATAACAAACGTTCGTTTTCTTTATGGAACGTCCAACTACCCCAGGTTTCCATAAATATTCTAAATTTGTAATTAATTTAAATAATGAATACTTTGTGAATGAAAAATAAGGTACACTCAATTACCAATGATTTAATAAAATCGTGTCTGAAACAAGTTGGAAACAGACGGTTTTAAAAATTTTGATTACTTATTATGTAAGTACCTCTACTTCTAACATTTTATTTTTTACATTAACTTTCAAACGTTTTTTTGGTTAGACCGCAAATCCATTCATTGGAATTTATTAATCAAAATATTTATATATGTATAACTATTAAATAAACAAGAACATAATATAAATATGACGTGTATATAAATTAGAGTATTTTAACAAGGTAATCTAATTTGTTAGTAATTTCTTGTATAATTATTTTCGGTAAAGTACGTAATTGATTCGTTTTCGTTTCACACTATTATTACCAACTATAATAGTATTTTGAACAGACATTTTGGTGTCTATGTGAATACATACCTAATTACCTGATTCTTTTAAAAAACGTATGGTGAACTTAAATTGTTCATTATTTTTCTGTAGATGAATTATTGACGTATTTCCGTCCATTCCCCCCCCTCCACTTTACAGATTTTTATTTAACTTAATATTTTAAATTATTTTTACCAATAATAATTGATTTTTTTAACCTAAAGCGGGAGCATATAATGCTACTGGTTTAGTGAACCTGGTACCCCGAGCTCCTTCTGATAGAAAGCCCAGCTTGGTGATTGCAATAGACATAATATGGTGTTGTTTCTGTAGGGAGGAGAAATTCATCAAGTTCATATAGTTGACAATATCTACTATTCTCCATGTAGGAGTGACTCAGAATCCTAATATATACTTAAAAATAATTGAGAAATAAATAAATAATACATTTTATTGGGATTTTTCTTATTTAGATAATATTTGCTGAGACCAATCTTGTGGTCCTGTACTTATTATTGATCATCTTGCGTATGGTAATAATAGATAGATAACGTTTTCACTTCGAATAGAGGAATAATTATGTAAAAAACACCAGTTTCAAATATCACATTCAGAAATTTGTAACCTTATAATTCATATAACTCATATTTGATAAATACAATATAAATGGCAATATGTATATTCATTAGTATTTATTTATTTAAGCGTGCCGTGAAAATGTATAAAATAATCAATTGCGTTGTTAAAAAAAAAGGCTGGAAATCCCTGTTTTAGGGGTACCTACATCTCATTATTAAATTAATCGATTCAACAGATTTAGACAGTTAGATTATTAGGTATAATCATTGTTATTATCTTCTATTAATTAATTGTTGAGGTTATATATTTTTCTTTTACCAAAACTTTTTATACAAATATTTAGGAAAGAGATACCACCTGTCAGCCATCTTAAGAATTTATTTCAATTGATATTTAATTAAATTTATTTAAGGGTTATTAAAAATGGTTCAAAACTAAAGCATATAAATAAATACATAATAAATTTACCAAGTTTACATAGTTAAAATTTTAAAGTCTCGAGAACATTAGGGAATGAAGAATTAAAATTAATCTATCTCAACATAGTTAACCATTAATTAAAACTTGATAATTTAAATTACTTTGTATTAAAATATGTTATTTTAATTATTATTGTAAATTTACGGATATAAATATAAAATAAACTAAAATTGAAATACCAAGTATAGGTATAACTTATAACTAGGACAAAAGACTTGTAGCTATAAAAAGTCACCAAATATACACTTAAATACTATTTAACCATTTATATGCAAAATGAAATAACTCAAACAAGTATCAGAAATATGCAATCTAAAATAAAAAATAAGATTTATTTTTAATCAAGCTAAGTGTCGTCAATGGGTGGCTTCTTATTCAGCATTTCATTTCTATGTTATTACCTTTATCACTTAAACTTATTGTGCATAAACTGTATACCTAGATTGTTTATTTACAATAAAAATTTAAAAAGAAAGTTATTTTACTTAAGTATTTAATAATTACAACTTGCAACCCTACCTTTGTCTTAGCATAAAATGTATTAGTTTCTTATTATGCTATTTACTTAATACTGAAAAACAAATATACAATTAATGCTACAAGTTATCTGTCCTATTTATAATTATAAGGTATGTATTAAGTATACCTATACATTATTATCGCTATTTTATTATTATTAATTAATTAATTTAATAAACTAATTAAGTAAAGTTATGTCTATTGGCTTTTGAATACAATAATACATACTTAACAGTACAATGCCAATAATAACATATATTATACTATAATAATAGTTCCAGTATTCCAATACTATAATATATGATATTACTGTCATTGTTTATGTAATAATGTATAATATTATAAATGTTAAATATTAGTCAATACCTATGTTAATAAAGTAGGTATACTAAACTTTGAATTAATTATTTAGCAGTACTATTATAAATCATATATATTATTATTATTAAACAACTTACATTAATGGTGATACAATATAGAGATTAATAAAAAAAAGAAAGTATAAAGGAACACAAATTTGATGTATAAAACATAATTTATTTAATTAAATTATGTAGGTATTATTCACATGTTTACAATATACAAATAATAGAGATCATGAAGTCAAAAAGAAAGAATAAGATCTATATATACATTTTAAATACAACTTTATTATTTTTATATCTTACATTATTTATTTGTCGTGAAATTTAATGACAGTTAATGGAAAATTTAGTTATTTGATTCCATTAAAATGCTTTACATATTACATTAAAATAAAATCCATTTTATTAATTCAAATCTTTATTCAGATTTGAATCAAACTAAGTATAATCATACAAAAGTATAGAGTTATTATATTTTGATAAAATTACATTTTTATGAAATGAACAAATTATATTCTTTAAAAGGTTCATATATATATCTAAGGAATATGAGTTTCTAATTGTAAAAGATTACCTTTTAAAAACTCATTAGGATTTAAATTGTTTACAACAAACTCAATATGACTTTTTAAGAACTTTGCATCATCACTATTACCCCGGCAATATATGGTATTTAATAAGACTGTCCAAAGTTCAGATGATGTAGGATATAAATGAATTCCTTTCATAACATTCCTGAGACATGTTTTTAAATCCCCTTCAAATAAGTTACAAATAGTAGTTAGAACTAAGGCATTTTTAAGTTCCCAATTTTTGTTACTGATAACTGTGGCACATGTGAAAATATGAGAAACTAGTCCTTTTTGACGTTTTGATTCATTGGCCATGTAGTAATTTAACAATATGAAACCAAAGTTTAGCCACAGATGAGCATTATTTGGATGACTGTGTACAAAACGACTGATTAATTTTAAAGATAATGCCGGCTGACGATTTAAATAATAGAAATATGTTTCAAAACGAACAATGTCTACCATGTAAACAGAATCATTCCTATGTGATATTAATTCATGTAAGATAGTTCTAGATAAATTACTTTTTCTTGTTACAATTCCTAGTGCAAATGTGGCCAAAAGGGCCTGTACATTGGCGGTATTACTTTGTATACTCTTTAAGAACAATGTTGTGGCTTTATCATAGTCTTCATAATTGCTAAAAGCTATTGCAGCCATAGCAAGGAACGCAATGGACACAATATTTATATCAGATTTATTTTCAGTCAATGATGTATAAGTATCATATGCTTCTTGAATCTGACCTGTTTTATAAAGTGCCAATGCAATTCCAAACTTGTCATATACATTCATAGTCGTCATTTGTTGGTATTTGCTAATAGCTTCAGAATATTGTTTTGCTTTTAAAAGACTGAATGCTAAGTTTCTCTGCATGCCTATTTGTGTTTCAGGTGTACAATATTTTTCAGCTATTTCCGCAGTTTCAATTGCACTTTTATACAAACCACTATATGTATATAATATTGAAAGTGCATTTTGTGCCCAACTATTTTTGTGATCTTTAGATGTAAGCCAAATAAGTAGATCAATATTATGTTGAATTTTATGATTTGGCGTTAACATCTCTGTATGAAAATCAATATGTTTGTAGTTTGCTTCAGTATAGTTGCAAATGCTTTCTTCATGGTATCCTAAAGTGGTTGAATGATAAAACACAGACTCTACAGAATCTTCAAATCTAGTAATTAACCCTTGTCCAAGCCAACTGTTAATCAGAGTTGGATCAATGGATTGACACAAAGTAAATGCTTCTTGAGCAAGATTTACATCATTTTGAATCATACATTTGACACCTAAATTATTATAAGCAAAAGCACTCATTTCTATTTTTAAAGAATTAACAAAACAATAATAACTCAAATGCTGTTTTTTCGTTTCATCAATTGCCTCGATAATTCCCATAGTGTTCCAAAAATGTATATTTATTGGATCCAATAACAAACATTTTTTAATGCCTTGTTCTGCTTTTGATTTATACTCTAATTTTTCATTATTATCAATATCTGAACTCAAAGCATTTTTTAAATAGCATTTGGTTATATCATACCAAATATACTTTTGAGCAGAGTTTAATGATATTTTTTTAGATGTCAGATGTAATGCTTGTGAATAACATCTCCTAGAAAAAGTATAAAGTTGCAAGCCTTTTATTATATAATCTTCTTGATTTCTGTTAAATATATTAGATGGCAAACTGATAAAAGATAATTTTTCAGGCATCATTGCAATAAATATACACAAATCTCCAAATAATTTCCAAATGAATGTATTTCGGTTGTCAATCAATAATGCATTGTACAAATATATACTAGCATCTTTACATAAATTATAACTCGTAAGTACTTGACAGTCAAAAATAGACTTTGCATGTTCTATAAATGCTTTACCAGTTTCCAATAATGCTTGGAAATTATTAGAATAAGAATTTGCAATATTATAAAATAACTGAATACTTGAATCTACTTGACCAATGCGATACTCAATTTTAGCAGTTTGTAATTTTGGATATAGAAGATTTGGATTAAGTTCTATACATTTAGAATATGTAAGTTTTGCACCAATAAGTGATCCTCTTTCTAAAAGAGCATCACCAAGACATTCATAACAGTTGGTATTTTTTGGGTCATATTTAACAGCAATTTGAAAACTGTTAACAGCATTTTCAAATTTCTTTAATTTCAAATAGTGCAAACCTAATCTTAAAGAAGCCCACTTGATATTTTTTGTTGTCATAAGATAATTTAATAATGCTTCTTGCTCATTTGATTTTGATAAAATTATATATAAATCTGATAGAGCAAGTCCATTTTCTTCATTATCTGGATTTAATAAAATGGATTTTTCATAGCAGGTTATAGCAATAGGTAAGTGTTTTATTTCTCTATAATAATGCCCTAATTTTGTAATTAAATCACATCTATGAGGAGAAATTCGAGAAGCTTCCAAATATAGTTTACCGGCCTCAGAAACTTTTTGTTGGTTCCACATAATATTACCTAGTAATAATAATGAATCTACATCCGCTGACAAATTATTAATACTTTTCAAAGAATACAAAGCATCATCAAATTGACCAAATTGGTTAAAATAAAATGCTTCCAAATATTTATAGCGATCGTTTTTATCACATTTGTTTTGTAAAGTGTTCAAATAGTTTTTTGCAGTTTTTTGATCATTTAAATTACAACTAGCTATAATAATATATTCAATCAGTTTGTTATATAAATGTTCATTAAACATATCAATAGCTAACTGACGTCCTGCTATAGTACAGCATTGACTGGAGCAACAATAAGCTTCAATTTCCCACATAAGCATAGTCTGATAACAAGAAAATGTAGGTTTCATAATTTTCTTTGCTTGGTTAACACATTGTATAACATCATCATAACAATGAATATTGATTTGAATTTCTGTAAGTAAAAACCATGACTGCCAGGATCGATTAGTAACTTGAAGAACTTTTCGTAACAGTTTACGGCTTTCTTCAAATTCATTTTGTCTTCTCAAAGCAATACTTTTAGCAATTAATGAATTTGGATTTGTTGGTTGGGCTATTAATAAAATCTCACATCTTTCTAAAATAACTAAACTCATTTTTTCAATTAATATGAGTACATCATCTTCAGGATCAGTTATAGTTTTTATATAATTGCTGATAAATGATTCACAAAAAAAATTAATAGCCACAGCATTGTCAATATAGAGAGATAACATTTTTTCACATGTGTCAACAAGTTGTTGCCTTTTCCCTTTAGATTTTAATACAGGAATAAGTTTGCAATAAATTTCAAATCTTTGATCAAAATTATCATCATTACATAATGCCAAATATATTTTTTCTAAATAATCATCCAAAGGAGAAGTATCTTCTGTAAATGGAAATTCTACTAAAATTCTACATAAAGCCAAGTATTGAGGTGTTATTTCTTCGTTTTTAAGTTTTGGTAATACAGTTGCCACAAAAGGTCCTAAATCCAATTTTGTTTTGAAATTTTTCCAAAGCTCAATACATTTTTTAGCACGTGCTCTGCATTTAATTTCATCAATTTCCAAGCATAACAAATTAGCATATGTGTAAAATAACTGTTGACAAACTGTAAGTTTGTCACATTTTTCATAATACTGCTCAATACCTTGCCATGCAAATAAATTATAAGGAGATAAATCAATGACTTTTTGGAATTGTTGAATGGATTCGTCTTTTTTGGATGGTATTTCTAATAGACTGGCACCATAAAGAATTAGACTAGAAATATTATTAGGATCAACTGATAAAATAGTTTTGCACAATTTAATTGAATCGGAAAAGTTTTTCTTCATAAATTCTTCTTTTGCAAGTTTCAACTGTTGTTTAATTTTGTTCTTATCCATCTTGTTTTATATGTATAAAATGTTGTATTATCTAAAAACACATATAGCACGAGTCAAAAGAGTACATTGCTTTAAGTTTAATAATACATAATAGCTAGATGAATAAATTGTATAGTGGGTATAAATTCAGCTTCAACATCTATATTTTACCAAAAATTAATTTCAGAAATTTACAATACCATTATTTCATAAATTAATTTTTTTATTCATTTTGAAAAATTAATAATATTATATTCGTAAACAATTTTTCATATTTAATAATATTTATTTTACTTTAAATTTGTTGGTTAAATATTCGGAAACTCTACTAAAAATTAGGCAGCCTGACCAGTATTAGAACCCAAGTTTCTTGTTTGTTGGGGTGATTGTTTTACCAACTGAGCTAATTAATGAAATGGAAAATGTTAGTTCCAGAAATAATAATTACAATTATAAAATAGAAATTGAATAATTTCCATACAATTTCTATTAAGTATGAACATTGAACAATTTAGTAGAACATAGATGATTGATTATTTAGTAATATTCACAAACACTAAGTATATAATGAATTCAATAAATATTAATTTTAAACTATAAGCATTAATAAATGTATACTTGATAAATCAGATATATCTTAATTTCTTTAATATATAATGTATCTACATTGTACCTTCCGGTTTATTCCTTATTTATTTAAAATACACATTTTAATCATTACATCACACCATTAGTGTTACAAATCAAATAATCAATAGATACTTTACTTCGTTCTAAATCTAAAACTATGCTTTGAGAAAAATTAGTTAAAGGATTTTTTTTTTGCATTGTTTAATACCCGTAAAACAAAAATCATTTTAACTATCATCAAATTTTGGATATATGTTATTTATTATAAATACAATTATTACATTTAAACTATTATCATAAAATCTCTCATTACCTATTTGACAACCAATTTTACCAATTTTTTTTTTTTTGTTAATACACTACAGTAAACTAAAACAATATTTAAATGAATTGCAATATAATAGTGAATTATTTTTAGATAACTATGTTATTGCATATTATAAAATAACCTATTATTTTCCATGATATCTATGATATATCCTCGTTTAACTTATATTTCATAAATACAAGAAAATACAGTAGTGCATTGGAAAAAACTGCACTTTTACCAAAGAAAGTAAATTCAGGATTGGAACGTGTAATACAGTAAAGTATATAACACATACTGTACAAAAATTTGTTTATTTTAGATGCAACTGAACAAAAATTATCAGGTAAAATAATTATCAATTGAATTTAATCATCATTTTATATCTTATATATTATATTTTATATTGATTACTAAGTTAATCTTTATTTTTATTAATAACTACACTAATATTTATAATAACAAAATAAATATTTGTTTTGTTTTTATTTTAATATAAATTTAAGAAAATTCACCAAAATACTAATTAAAATTTAAAATGTACATCATTACCACTATAATAATAAACTTTAGAAAAAACAAAAATGTTTTAGTTGTTTTAAAGTTTTATATGTTTCATACGTGAGGTATTAAACGTGTAACGTATTAAACAAACGTTTTATATATGTATATTACCAATTTTGAAAGTAATTGATCAAAATTTAAAATTTTTGAGTTACAACACTAATGTTCTGATATAATAGCTTTGTTATTGAAAAACTAAAAAATAAAACCTTGATAAAAATTTTAAGTATTCAAATGGTTACTTACTCAAATAATTTCCACTAATTGACCGTAATAAATAAGTAGGTACTATTTTAATTTTGAAGATTTTAATAACTCAATAATTTAAATGCAGAAGAAATAAAATTTCAATTATTCACATTTGAAAATCATTCACTACTTATCTGAATTTTGATAACAAGTTTAATCACGGCGACGGTGTTATACTGAATAATCAATACTTATGTTTTTTAATGATGTGGATGTCCATTACATAAATTGGATAATAATTTCTTTAGAACGAATATCATTGATATAGATACAAATAATAAAACGTATTAAACGTATTAAACGTATTGCTAAATCCATCTGTCAATCAAGAGGATTGATGGGAGTTTAGGACAACCAAAATACCTATGAATGAATAATCCGAAAATTGTGATTGATAACATAAATTACATAATGGATATCTTAGATCATATACTATCATGGCTAGAGATATTGCATGATAAACGCATACTACGGGTTGAAGACATTATTAACGAGTGTTAAGGATACTGATGTCTATTACGCATGCGTATTAGTGCTCGTCACATATTTATCGTATAATTATTATAATACCACCAAGCAGTGATGGTAAGTACATCACACGTGATTACATGAATTCGACCAATATCAAGTGCGTGATATACATTTTGCGAATGCGCATTTGTCCTAACTCTCCCCATGGATATGTTTACATCAAATATTTAATCAATGGTTCTATCCTTATAGTATATGATCTAAGATGGGTATATATAATTTTATTATCATATAATTACGAATTACATTTGTTATATTATACAATTATTATTTATAATTTTACATTTATTATAATTTCTTATTATATATCTACGAATAAATAAGTACTTACTACAAACAAATGATATAAAAATTGTATTTAAATATAATTGCTTACAATAAATACAATTATTGTACACATGTATCGAATTTTGATAGTTTCAGTTTCCATCTTTCATAAAAATAAACCACGACTGGACTATCAAAACCAAAAAACAGCAAAAACAAAACTTCTTTAAAGTTGTGTCATATGAAATCCTAAACCACACGAAAACGAAATAATCTTTAATTAAACCTTAGATGATTTAAGAATAAAACCTTTGAATATTAATGATAACAGAGTATTAGAATTTGGCGCTTAATTTTTATCAAATCCATCTGGCTTTTTGTTCGTCGGATAATTACAAATTGCTGATAAAGCTATCCGCTTGATCGCTTCCCCTCCAGCGGATTGGTCAACAGCTGCTGAGTTCAGGTATTTTAAAATCTAGCACATAGACATATTAATATGTCTATGATCTAACGACTCACCAATCTGCAGTAGTACCACAGAATAGATTAAAGCAGAAGTGACACTATCAATGTAAACAAAAACGTGGCGGCCATTTTGCCGTTTGTGATTTTTATCAATTTATTTATTATTTTCAGTTAAAATACTAATTTTTTGTGTGAACTGAAGAGTTATCGTTTAACATATAATTTGAGTTTTAACTTTTAAATTTAAATCTAATTGTATCAAATTGTGTAATTTATAATACTATATTATAATGTCGCGTAGTAGGTATTCTGACATTTGCGCTGTGAAGTCGTGTGAATCATCATACAAAATCTATATATTCTTACTCAATTTTATCCTTTTAATTTATTTAATTCGTTCCATTCTTATACAATTACTTTTTAAATTAAAAATGTGAAGACAAATAATCCAAGTTATTACTATTTGAATCTATAAATTTTTGGATAAAAATTGTATTTTTTGGGATTACAATATATTATTATAAATTACACTATTTAATTCAAACACAGAATAAAATAAAATTAGATTCAAAATTAAATGATTAACAACTCATAAAAAACGAAAAATCAGTATTTGGTAGTACAATACAATACAATTTAATTTATGACATTCATTATTTGTCGACAAACTAAGATAAGTTCATATAGATCATCCTCGCGTTCCTTATTCATTTGTAATGACATCGGTTTTGTTCCTTTTTAAATCCGAAAGTGGCTTTATCACTCACCATTTTTTCGAGTCGGTTGATGAGATGTGATCATAGATAATACATATGTATTATATATGGATGTGGTGAATAAATTAATAAGATATCTTAAGGGGATTAGATACCGATTGTTTTTTTGGGTAAAAACTATTTTTCTTTCAGCAAACAATCCGATCGATGTAGTGGAGCGATACGAATTCTGAAAACTAATTTGGATTCAGCATGAACAACAGATGAGATCGATGAGGCCATTTTTTCAAATTTAATTCGTAATCTTTTTTTTGTACGATAAACAAAATTTTAAAATAATTACAAATTTTATAATTTATGATAGTTAAAATTTTAAATTTAAAAAAGTGGCCTGACCGATTTCGTCCAGAGTTCCAAATCTGTTTTCAGATTTCTCGTCGCTCCACTATATCGATCGGACTGATTGCCGATGGAAAGGTAGTTTTTGTTGCGCAAATTGCGCGAATTATAAACCATAGCAATGCGCGTTGACATGTGCGTGTGCGTGCGAAAAATATACCCCGCACCGCTCCGCCGTCTGAGGACGCCACGCCGAGACCGAAACGCACAGTGATGTTGATGTTATTAATAAATAATAACATAGTAAAAACCACATAATTTTGTGTCAAACCAATTCTCGCTGATATTTTTTATTCCGACTGAAATTAAGCTTTTGTGTTCACTACCAGCACTGCTTATGACACTTTTAGTACTTATAGTTATCCTATTTGTGAACACGAAAACACAGAAACGCAAAATAATGTTCTTACGGAGAAAAACAATTTTCATTATCGAAAAAAAGGAAATACAAAAACCCTTACGAATTGGAAAATGTCAAGTCTAGTAAGACGGTTAGTTATTTTTATATTTGTAACAATAACATTTTTAAATATTATGTTCATCATAAGTTGTACTTATAATACCGATACTGTTACCGGGATTGATCCAAGTATATTATTTTTATTTACGAAAACGCATGGTCATTTTTTGATTTTTTAAACAATTTTTAAAATAATTACAAAAAACCTAAAAAAAATATTGCAAAGTTAAAAATAAAATATGTTTGTGTTTTTATGTACAGATAGACTCAGATTCATTAACATTGCAATCATCTCATAGAAATGAAAATATTATGGACTTGAGTAATTCTGCAATATTCGTACTTAGATTTAGTTTTTTTATTTTTATAGATTTTTGAAAATTACTTTGACAACAAACATAAAATTTTGGTATGTATTTACTAAAGGTTAAATGACGAAAGTATTTCTATGATTTTCGCTTCACTATTGCCAAGAGCTAACAATGTAATGTTAGATAATGAATTATTTAGACTGTATATTGTTTTGAAAAATGATACAAAGTAAGAACAATAATTATTACAGTACTAATAAGCCATGTATTAGTCTTATATTATAAAAGAGAAAATATTGACAATAATAATACAATTTCCGTGTGTTCTATCGCCATTTTGTAAGTATACTTAAACTAAAATCATAATGTGTAATATATTATTTTACATGTTGTTTTAGAAATGATCATGTTCTAAGTGGTCGAAGAATAGTTGATATCAATTCTTTTTAAACTTGATAAAATCAATTGACCACAAACCATTTGATTGTTTATTTCAAAATCTTGTGTATAAATATGAAATACACTAAGACTTTTTTTCCAAATTTTATTTTGAATATTCTGTGTTTATAATTTATAATTTATCATAAGCTCATAGGAGACGGAGATTCAAGTGTTTTAAAAAAAATTATTTTGGCAAACCCATATGGACTGTATGATATAGACGTAAAAAAATGAATGTGCAAACCAAATACTCAAAATTTACTTAAACTGAATTGTAGTAATGACTACTAGAAGAAAAAGTTCAAAAGGGAATGTGGTTTCTGGAGTTTTACGGAAAATTTTAAAAGATAAGCATTTAAAGTTGAGGTAGGTACAAATTTGTTTTTAATTTATAAATTATTTAAATTTTTTAATATATTAAATCTGATATAAATGTATGATAGATTACAATTTTTAGAAGAAAAAAACAACAGAATGGCTATCTCCAAATTTTCCAAAAATAATAAAATAATAATTCATGTATAAATATTTGTACTCCTCATTCCTGTGACTAATATAAAAAAACATAATTTGATTATCTTTATTATCTCCAGAGATCTTTAAGGGGTATATCTTCATGAACAGCCAGTATAAATCATTGTAATTGTAATTTTAATAAATTTAAAAAAATGGACTTTAGTTTATGTAATTGTTTTACTGGTGTGTCATAACAAATTCATGTAAAATAAAACTAAATTTACCTCTTAATTACCCAATTACGTAATTCAATTTTCTCGGTAAATTAAATTAAAGCTATCCTTAGATGAAATCTATGTTTCAGAAAGAATAACAGTAGACCAATGCAATAGTGACGAATGGTGGAGACAACGTAAGATGTGTCTCACAGCATCAAATTTTAAAAAAGTTTCAAAACTTAGAGCTAATATCTCTCGGGCAAATACTGTCAAATATAAATTGTATGCATTATTTTGCGGCAATGTTGCTACAAGGTTATTTATTTTTTATTATATTCATTAATTGTAAAGACGTGATAATAAATAAATAAGGTTACATATTATAGGTATTATGTACTTCTAAATAATTATTAATTGATACCTAGCTTGTTTGTTTAAGTTTTGAATTTAAAATGATCCGATAGCAAAAAGACTGTTAAAAATTAAACTAGGTGTAAATATTCAGCCTTATAGTCTTTTTATAAATCGAAAATTAACACTTTTGGCAACTAGCCCTGACAGTTTAATTTATAATAGGGGAAATAGTTAAGATTAAATGTCCAGCGTCCATTAAAGATATTACACCCGAATAAGCTTTTGAAAATAATAAATTAAATTCATGAGTTTTAAAGATAGGGAATTTGGAAATTGAAAACCACGCATAATTATTATTTTCAAGTATAGGGGCAATTGAAAATATCAGAAAGAAAATATTACTTTATAGTGTGGATACCTAATGGTAAGGTTTAGATTAATATTATTGTGTTAAAACTATAACTTACATGTAATATTTTATTTAAATTAATGGTTTTTATTTTCATAAAGGGATGGTAATTGTTAAAATACACTAAAATTACAATTTCTGGAAAAAAATTGAACCTCGGAACAATTTTATATGGAGTGCTTACTTTTCAAATTTATCAACTCTCGATTTGACCGAGGCCTTCCCATAAGAACTGGGCTTAATTTATAAAACATTTTTTCAAATTTATTATTTAACAATTTTAATTTTTATTATTTAATTTTTTTTATGTATGTTTATGTGTGAAAAAAATGTATGGTTTAGTGCAACCGAACTGTCCTCAGAATTTCTTTTTGTCAGCAATGGTTTATCATTGCTTGCAGATAAAAATTAAATAACCTTATGTATCCTACCTTCTCCACTTCCCACCTACAACAGCGGCTGCATTTGTCCCTAGTATCCTAGGACAACTTTTTAGAAATGTGAGTACACATCTACTATACGGATAAAATATATAATATAAAATTAAAATACCTGTATAGTTTTCAATGATGAAAGCTAGACTTGAAAAAGAATGATTCATGTTTTTATTTTAAACATTAAAATATACAAATTTATACATTAAAACTAATAATAGTTATTTTTCTCTACGGCCTGCTTATTATTTTGATAGTTTTATTGTTTGTGTAACTAGTTCCTTATCTACTTATTGTTTACAGTAATTGTGTCTTATTGCGCCGGCGACCACTAGTACCTACTCGTATGCACTTTATAACACGGTAAGTGGTGATGCGGAAGTCACTCCTCACACTAATCAGTTGCAACACGCACAAAAACGTGCTTTGCACGCCTTTACTATAGAAATTGCCTATACTTAGCTCCTTAACAGATCTGTATAGAATCCCTTAGCTCGTGGATTGAATTTTTCATCGTGCCATACTGCCATCAGTTGATGCTAATAATACGTCATGATAACACATGTGTTTTAATTATAAAATCTTTCAAATATTTTTTTTGCTCTCTTCATAATTTTATCTCTGAAAAATAAAATATGGATCCATCAAACTCGAGTATATTTCTAATTTTTAATGACAGAATTGGTGGCTGTGTCGGATTTTTATAAAACAATATAGTGGTTATCAAATTAAAAATTGACATTTAATTATGTTCTGTAACTGATTCGACTTTTAAAAGTAGGTACTGTTGATGATAATTTAATTTCTACCCTATTCTTTTTTTTGTTTAACTCGTGTAAGCCCTAAATATATTGATAAACGTTTTTGAATTTATAATCGTAAACCCAACAAATCGATAAGTTGCTAAACTAGAATCGTTCCAAACGAATTAGTATAAAGTAATATTCACAAAATTGTTATAACTTCGAAAATTATAAAACAATTAAAAATTACCATTGTGATTTCAGGAACCTATTTCAATATTATTGGGCTTTCCGCAAGTTAAAAAATAAAATTGTCATCATCAACCACAATACCTACTATGAAATAATTCTAGTTATAATATTTATAAGTGGAATTAGAAACCCAATGTTGTCACTTTATGGTTATTTTCGATTAAAAGTATCTGAGTGAGCACAGCGAAACACGGTGCGTTTAAATGGTTTTAACTCTAAAACTAAGTCAGATAGGCTTATTCTGACCTTAATAATAAAAATCTTTTTTATCAAAATATCAATAACTTCAATGTTTATTTTTGACCAAATTTTGGACTAATTCCAAAAATACTATTTTATCAATATTTATGTACTAAAACTATGAAAGTAGATAAGTTTTAATTATACTAATGGATTAAACATTAAAAAACACACATTTTGAAAATATTAAATTCTAACTAAGAAATATATGAAACGAACTTCATGACGAAATTTGAAAAAATTTTTTTATTTTACATCCTTAATGTACACTCGAAACACAAATTTTGAAAAAAAAAATTTGATAGGTTGTTAAACTTGAATTACACTGTTAATTTATGGATAGCGAGTATGAATCCCTAATACACAACTGGTTGAATGTTATTTATTATGCAAATTTTCTTACTGTATTCATTATTTATATGTAATTTAATGTAATATAATTTTTCTTGGTATCTATATACTAATCTATGTACAAGTGATAAAATCGTATTTATGACAAGACAAAAAGTAATAAGTTAAACAGAATAGATCCAACAAAATTGTTCTTTATTTCTAGGATTCAAAAATGTAAAACTTTTATAGGTTCAGCTTATTTAGTATTTAAAAAAATATTGTTTTCACAATAATTGTTAATTGTATGATATTATGTACAAACACTTATAATATTAAGAATAATATTGATCTATTTATATAATTACTAGTATATTGTATTATGTAAAATAGGTTATTTATATTATACAAACAAATTTAAAATAATATTGAACACACAATTTATGAAATTATTTAATCAGCCTTTATATTAGTATAATTTTAAGATATACATATATTTTAAATGAAAATTTACTGAAAATTAACTTTTAACTTATTATAATTGTATTCAATTGTTCAATATTATTTCTAAATATATTTTAATTTTATCCTAAAAAAAATCATAAATGTACAAGATAGTAGAGGAATGTCTTACTTAGCATAGTTTACAATAAATTAAAGAAAAATTAAACTGTATAGGATTCTTTTACATGGTTTTATAGCATAAATTATTTTTTAATATTTCATAACATATCCTCAATCTTAATTTAGGCATATCGTCTTGTGTAAAATCTAATTTTGCATCACGAGCTAGATATTCTGCATTTACACAAGTAAATACTCCACAATCATAACTATTCATTTGAATTGGACAATCACTAGCATTCATCAAACGCCATCCACTACAGTTAAATTGTTCATTTTTCTTGTTTTCATATTCTTCTTTTAAATAACCAAAAATTGTATTTAAACAACGAGAATTTGATCCTCCTAAACTATCATAATATTTTATGGTTTTGTCAACAAAATTAACGCATATAAGACACCAATGATTACCCAGGTGAATGGGAGTAAACATTTTTTTATATTTAAATATATCTTTTTTTCTGGACCAACGGCGGACAGATTGATATCCTTGTGCACTGCAAAAACCAATAATTAATAAAAAAAAGAAAAGAATATTTAAGTATAAATTAAATTGAAAATCTATTAACTTACCATAATTTAGAATAAAAAAATGTATCAAACATATGTAAAGAATTTGGATCTCGTTCAACAATCATATACAAATAATGATTTATAACTTCATCATTTAACCAAGATGTTGGTAGGAACACAGTTTTTAAGTCACTTATTTTAATATTCTTTCCTTGCATAATATAATCATTTTGTGGTTTTTTCATTTCATTTTTAATAAACTCAATTATATCATTAGAATAACCAGGGAAAACATCTTTTGGTTTAATTGGTGGTTTAATTGGTGGTTTAATTGGTAGTTTAATTTTATTTAATTCTTCATTCATTTTTTCAAGTTTTTCTTTGAAAATTTCTTCGGGTGATTTGAATTGCATTTTAGGAGTAGTTAAAGCAACAGCTGCTTGGGTTTCTCTAAATTTTCTTAAAATACGATCGTAAAACATCTCGTGTTTGATAATTCTGTTCTTATGAAGGCTTAGTTCTGGGAAATCGTAATTTTCTTTATAAGAGTTTTGAGATGTTTGTGATAAGTTAGATTGACTTAAATCATGTTCCTTTTGAATATTTAACGGAGATCCCAAATTAGAAACTGATATTTCTTTGGTTTCTGGTTTTGGTAAAATAAAATGTTTTATAATACGTGTCAATATTTTATTATTATTATCACTGTCTGAAGAATCATTCATTTTTAATGAAGAAAACCTACGGTCCATATTCAAACTCGATTTTCTAGTTCCTGTGAATGAAAATTCTATTATTTATTAAAAAATGAATTCTTAAATTAATAATTATTTTTACCTTCGATTGATGATGTAAGTGTACATTTGTCTTCAAAACTATTACTTATGCTTTTAGTCATACTGGCAGTTCTATTCAAATACGGTTGGTTTGACAAACTATAGGATCTAACAACTTTAATTTTATTTTCTTCATCACTACTTTCAGTTAGATCTATTGGTGATATGATTTGTCTTTGATTAAGTCTGCCATCAAGCATAATAGGTGGGTTGACTCTGAGTGGTACATTTGATGGTCCAGGTTCAATAATTTCCGCCTCTTCAGCTTCAGAAAGGGACTCATCGCTGATTTCAACTACTTCTACAAGACTGTCGTCCATTCGTATTCTTTTATTGTTACTTATGATTTCACATTCATCGTTTTTACGTTTTGATGATTCTTTAGGTCCCGTAATTCCAGCCTTGTCAGTGAACCATTTTGTAATGTTTCGTAATGAATTTAAGATACCCATTACCCAAATGTAACATATAGAATGATGGAGATTTTATATAATCCAGCAGGATTAAAAATACTGAAATTATAAAAATGAAACAAAACAAATATTTTAGTATAATTAAAATATAATTCTGTGATATAAAGACATAAACATATGCAAATCACATCAGTTAACAGGGTGTTGTATTGTATTAGCTAGTGATAGGTTAGGTATGATTTTATGACCAGTCAGAGTATATTGATGTATGTCCATGAGTGACGAGTGGGGTGTGTGGTTTGTTTTAACAATTAAGTCATGTAGTTAATTGCCCTCAATAGTTGTTTTTTTATATATCATAAGCCATTTTTTCACATATATCAAATAATAATTTTAATTTAAAACATATTGCCTAAATATTAAATACTTCAGATCATATTACATAATGCATGTGCTGATAATTTAAAGCAAATATTAGCAACAAATTACTCGTCGAGACTCACTTCTGACATATTTATCCAAATAACTAATTCCTCCATAACTCATTAATTCATATTTTTTCATTAAAAAATAACCACAAGTCATAATTTGTGTATGCTGTGATTATTTATAACCATTTTTTTTAAAACAAATGCCAATTTTTTTTTAAGTATTAATATATATATTGATTATTTTAATGAATCATTTCAAAAAAAATCTTGACTATTTTCTACAATTCAAAATATAATAATTGTAAAATAATAATAAATAAAATGCTTACTTTTTAAAGAAAAATGTTAAAATGAATTTGTAGTACAATGAACGTTCTAACCACTGAAAAGTGACAACATATACTACTATACTATCACACAGTGATCATCTACTTACTTTTGCAGAAGTTGTCAAAAAATCTGATTACTATTATCAAACATATGACCGTAAGGCCATAAATATAATTATCGGTATTATGGAATAAAAATTAAAACGTTTTCAAATTAAGTTTTATTGGTAATACAAAAATAATTGGCTTGTAAGTTGTTTGTTATTATATCATGGCTTAAGATTGGTTAGATTAGAATTTGGGATATGTTATCAGTGAAAACTGTAATCATGATAAATTGATAATCTCATTTTCTTTCTATCTGAGTTTAAGATATCCTTTAATAGTACTATAAACAGTACCTACATCTGTGAGTATATCTTTAGCCGTGTTTTTACCGCAATAATACTTACATTTTATTTGTAGTCACGGCTATACGATTATAGCCGTGTTGGTAGTTACACAAATATTAAAGTTAATAATGTATAGATGTCTTTTATATTTATGGGTTCTTCATGCAAAACCGATTTGAATTTTCCCCAAAAGATGAACTTGTATTGAACTGGCAACAGATAAGCTCACGTCATTAGCTATATGTCGCCTTCACGGACGTGGTCGTCTTTTACAATAAAATCCACCAGGAGCGCCTCAATGCGTTCGTCCATTAGACAAATAGCTACTAGCCAGCCAATTATACTTGGCTGTGAGCCAAGTTTTGAAGTTACCCAGTCATTATTTCATTACATTAGTTTGTTCGTTTAATTATCGTATAAAAAAAAAATATTACGACAATTTGTATGAATTAAATAAATCATATATGGTATTGTATAGACAATTTATAATGTCCATAGGCGATACAAAAAATTAAATAACAGTTTATTAAAAACAATTTATTATAATGTAATATATTTATACAATTGGGATAACAGGTAAATATCTGTTACTGTTAATTTTACTATTCTTTTGTTGGGCTTAAGCATTACATTTTTGAGAAAATTACCTCTTTGCATATTAATGTAATACCTTATAGCAAAAATAATTATTTCGTCACTATGTGGGGGACATGGAAATTAAAGAATATTGTTTACTAATAATTTGATTGAAACTAATTCAAAAACATCTGCTAATAATTTATTTGTTATAACACTGGTTATAACGAGTAGGTAGTTACTTATACCATAATCATTGACAGATAATAAAATTAATAATTTCTTAACATAAATTCGGTAATATGAACATTAATTTTGTTTTGTTATTATCATAAATGAATTCTAATAGTATTTGCTAGTATTTAATTAATAGTTTTACGATAAATTACCAACTTAGCAATAGTACCTAATAAATGTCAAAATCTGCAACAGCGGCTACAGCTAATTCACGGTATTGACCCAGGCTATACACAGTGATAAAACGTATACACGATAGTATTGCTATTATTTAACTATTTTTAGTTATAATATAATAACAGAGTGTCATAATTTCATGAAGCAAATCTGGGATGAATAGAAAAAATAGCAAATAAAATTAGACTTAAAGTATGATTGAATCATATTAGATATTTATATAATCTATATGTATTAAAAAAACCTACGTATTATTTTATAATCTTAAACAATACAATACAAATTGAATCAATTTTTTTTATAAATTATAAATGTATTGTATACAAAGAACACATTTATTATTTATTTTTATTTTTAATCATTAAAAAAATTGTTATACAACATACAAGTAATAACCAATAAGTATTTGAATACCTACTATATAACAGCGGTCTCCACTACGCGGGCCGCAGGCCGCATGAGTCTATTTAACACATTTTCCGCGGCCCGTATTAAAACGTCTAAAACTGAATTGTATACATTCTAAAATCCAAAAAATAAAATACATGAATTTATACATTTTATCCATCTTATTTTATTTTGTTTACTTTATTTGTTGATTTTTAACTTTAACTGAATTACCAGTTTGATAGTAAATAATTAGGTAGGTACGAGTAAGAATTTATTTAATAAAAAAAAATACGCATACGAAAACATTTTTTATCAAGTCAATAATATTGCGAAAAAAAAAAATTCTAATTGATTTACTATATGTGGCTCACAATTAATTTTCAAAAATTATATTCGGCCCTTTTTAGAATCCTATCGGGGACCGCTGCTCTGTAAGGTTTTGTCTTCATTGTTTTATCCTGTATTCGTTAAAATCTTATCGTTAACATTCGATTACAGTTTCGAAACAGTTATTCGAAAAAATGTCGAAATTAAAATAATAATATTAATTTTTTCTAAAAACCGGTAATAGTCCTGGTTTTCCGGAACGTATTAACCTTACCTTAATTTACACTTAATGGCCACTTGGGACATTAATTTCTTATAAGTTCTTATCAATGTCAGGGAACGGCTACTATATTGTTTTTTATTAAAACGATTATTAGGTGTTATTAGGTGTATAGGGAAATTTGCAAATTCGGGATGTATAGACATATAATTGTATGTAGAAATGTAAATTGTTTTTAATTTAAAGTTGGTAATACTGGATTAGTAAAAAATTATTTTTCAATATTTATACATTCCAGACTTTTATATTCCATTTGTACGGTTCAAATTTCGATAACCGTAAAACCATGGATTTAAGATTTGTACTTTCTAGATTTGTACATTCAAGGTTTGTATATTCTAGATTTCCCATTCGGCACCTTAAGAATAAACTATTCAGTGTCAAACATCTTTATAATATAAATGGATACAATTTGTGCGGAGATTGTACAAGGTTGAAGCATTGTAGTCACAAATTATGAATGAACGAAAATAAACCACGGCGTCCGAATAGCCCGTGTTATCAAAAATGAAAATGTATTGAAAATACATTGGGAAATTATTGTTTAATTATACATATTCAAAATTAAACATATGCGTTTGAACACGCGTCTCATTTACGCATTTTACGTGTGATTAAACCTATATAAAAGTACATGTTTAATTTTGAACGATTGATTAACGCGCGTTCGAATCGAGTAGTGTGCAATCTGCTTTAGTCACGAACTAAGATGTTTTAGTTCGTGTATTAGCATTGATTGAAAAATAATTTATAATCAATAGTTTTAGGATTTATGTAGTACAATGGAACCTCGGTACCTCGAAGTCTCAAGGGATCAAAAAAAAAACATTTCGACACATCAAAACTTCGAGTTACCGAGAGAATTACATCCATTACTGAATGATCGGGACTGAAAAAGGAATTCGATAAACAGAATTATAGCGTGGTTCCAGTGTGTAATTATTATAATCCAAATCGTTTACGACACAACGACCATGGGTGGAGACGATGAGATTAGAAATTGCCTACATTAAACCCCTTAAATAGACGTCACCATAAGTTCACAACCATGGCTAAATAACTATTTAATTACCTGAATTATATATAATTATTTAGCCATGACCACAACATTATTCGAATGGTACGAGTGATGTAATGGGTGTAAACTCAGTCGTACTACTTTAGTACGCTCGGTGTAAACTATATATACAATGTTTCAAAAGAGAACATGTCGTGCAGTCATAATACTTGAACAATTTTTTACAGCTGTTATTCATATAGATGTCCACACAACCTACATAATTTGTACAAATTTGGTTTGATATTTTTTTTTTATTTATCTAGTGCTCTTAAGTGTTTTGTGCCTAGGTGTAACTCTGGATTACTCAAATAAAATAAAATATATCAATAGTAGGTATTAAAACCTTTCATCCTCCCGATATTTTTATAAGTATGGATCAATCCAGATAACCCATATAATATTCTCTTATACACTCTTTTTGTTATTCAGTTAGAACATATTGGTTAATACCATTGTTTAAAATTACCCATAGGCCATAATCACTATTATATTCTCATAATTTTCTATTATTTCCATCGTAATCTTCTATAAGTATAAAAGACTCGATTAAAAGTTACCATAAAATATATACCTATATATACTAGGACTAAATGAAATACAAATCGAGGCAGCATCTAAATGTTTAATAAAAAACACTTTTGTATTTCCTGCACATAAAAACCGTATTTCCATTGTATGTATTTAATATTTATACATGTCAAGTGTTGGAATTGAAATTTGAAAACACGTTACCACAATAGACATAACAAATTTTAACACAACAAAATTTTTTTTCGTTTGAATAGGTTAGTAAATTATTTTTGATTTTTGCTTGTGAAGTGTTTATCACATCTATCTGGTCAACACTGCTGATAAAGCAATCCGATTGATAACTTTCCCACCAGCGGATTGGCTGCAGCTGAGTTAAGGAACAGTTAAATCTAGCGGCTGACCAATCTGTTGAATATAGAACGACACGGTTTTAACCATAGCCTATAATCTTATCAGGTCAATGGTTTTAACAATATTTAAATAGTGTTTTTTCCATGTGATTTGATGTAACTGATAAAAATGATAACCTAACAATTTTAATTTATCTAACGACTACTAACTGTAATCGTAGATTCATGCATGATGCGTTCGCAATTCTCATTGCTTTTGTATATCGTTACTTGTTAGTTATTTCTATTACTTTTCTGTGGGTTACTGTTACTTCTTTACTAAGGTTAACAATAACTATAGTTCAAGACAATAATAGTTCTCGTTGAATTATCCTGAATATACAGGTGGTTCCATTTTTTAAATTTGTTTATAAATTTATTTTGTGTAATCCAAGTGAAATTTATAATGTTCTCTATTTTTAAATTTTTAAATTTTAAATCGGATGCTGATAAGACTAAGGTGTCCAACAGTTTAAGTGGTAAAACATTAAATCTTAAAAGCCCTGAAGGCAAGGCTCTCAATATGTTTAGTAATAAGTCACCAATAGCACCTAAACAAAATGTAAATGATACTTCATTAAGGTATGTTCACATAAATATTGCAACTACATACCAATTAGATATTTTATTCTCATATTTATATACCCTAGGTACCTATATAAAATTAAATTATCTATAATTTAGTTTAAAATGTTAAATGTGTTTAGTATTAATATGTTTAAGTAAATCCAAAATTCCTGTTGAATGTTTTATTTTAAGAAAGTAGGTAGTTTCTTCTTATTGCCGTTTACCTACCTTTAATTGACCATTTTTATAATTTTTGTTTCCATAATAAGTACCTAATATTTAATTGTAGCAACAATAAAGAAACTGTATCAAGTCCTGGATTTAGTTATCGTATAACTCAAAGAGCTCACGAAATGAGATCAACCATTCCAAATACAGATTTATCAAATATGCAAACATCTTTTTCTTCAGAGTAAGTATTATGAAGTTTTTTAAAATTTACTAATGGTTAAAAAACCATTACATTTTCATATTGTTGAGTTAAGTGGCATAAATCTAGTTTAGTGTCTATGCAAATTTTTAAATTTTTTTTTTAAAATGTATGGTTTTACGTGTATATTAAGAATGTAAAAAAAGTGGACAAACTTTGTTTTGAAGTTACAATGGAAAACTTCTTAACGTTCACTTCTTCCGTTTTGTGTATTTCTTAGCTAGAATTTAACATTTTCATTTTTTTTTTTTTTTTTTTTGTTCAAAATATTGTTTTTAAATGCTTAATCTATTAATATAATTAAAACTTACCTATCGTACTTACTATTATAGTTATTGTACATACATCTTGAAAAATAGCATTTTTGGAATTAATCCAAAATGTAGTCAAAAATAGACATTTTTATTACTATTATTATTTATAGTTATTGATATTTTAATTAAAAAGTTTTATTATTGAAGTCAGAATAAGGCTTATTAACATAGTTTTAGAGTTATAAACATTCAAACGCCCAGTATTTCGCTGCATTCACTCTGATAATTTGGGTCTCTAATTTCATACATAATGCTTTTCACTTTTACTTATTACCTACCCGAAATGGTTTTGCACAATAAATCGAGGCTTATTTCTGATTAAAGTTGTCCGAGTGAGCACAGCAATTGAACGTTTGTAACTCTAAAACTTTACTAGATGCTTTATTCTGACTTTAATAAAAAGACTTATCGAAATATTTTTAAAAAAATTTCTATTTTCAACCACATTTTGGATTAATTCCAAAAGTTATATTTTTCAATATTTATGTATAATAGCTATACAAATAAGTATGATAGGTAAGTTTTGATTATGTCAATAGATTAAGCATTTAAAAACACATATTTTGAAAATGTTAAATTTTAACTAAGAAATACACAAAACGGAAAACCCGAATTTTATGTTTTCCCTCGTAACATCAAAAGTGAGTTCATCCACCTTTTTTTTTTCATTCCTAATATACACATAAAACCACACATTTTGAAAAAAACAAATTAAAAATGTGTGTGGGCGCTAAATTAGATTTGTTCTAGTTTAGTTGCCATAAAATCCTAATATATCTATTTTTATTTACTTTTTAAATATTCGTGCTTTAATGCAATCAGCTCAAAATGATTGTTTTAATTAGTATGCTATAATAATCTTTGGGTAATAACTATTTAACTATTATTTGTTTATATATTAAGTAAACCTTTAGTAGAGTACCATTAGAACTAAAATTTAAGTAATTTTTACATTTTAACCCATTAATGAGTGTTTGTTTTTTTTATGGTTTTTAGTTTTTTGGTGTCTTGGTATTTATTATGATTTTATTGAAAAAATTATTTTGAAAAATTTGTTATTTAGGTTCGAAGTGTAGTATGGGATCTATTGGTTTTACTATATTGTGTATGTATTTTAAATTTAAAATGTTTATGTAATTTTTCTTTGGTATTTACTCTATTTTAAATTGTTGGGCTTATCAGAAATGCTTGAAAATTTGATAAGAGATTTATCATAAGTCATACTTAGTGGTAAAAAAAGTTAATATCAAATTTTGATGAAAATCTTAAATATTACAACCTTTTAAAACTTCTATAACTGAACTTCATTTCAAATCATTTTTCATTATCAATGGTTTATCATTGGTTACAGGTATTAGTTAAATAATTATGAATCTTACCTTTCCCACTATCCACTTACAACAGTGGCCGCAGCTGTCCCCAGTATCAGCTCCTTTTTTTTTATAATACTTAAAAATAGTTGTTAAGGCATTGAAAGTCATAATTCAACATTTATTACACATCAGACAAAGAAAACTCTGTCCCCTTTACTAAATTACTCTCTATCTTCCATGCTCACTCCTTGTAAATATGGCAGCAGCAACAATAATAACCAATTACTAGACTTGTAGCTTTGAGTAAGAAGTCTGACTTGCTCGACAGCTCAGTCTACAAGTGTGAAAACATTTAAATTTTATCTTGAATATAGTACATGTGTACAATTTTTTTCATTACACCTTTTTTTTATTTTCTGTTTATTTTTCATAAATTATTCAATAGTTTTGATAACACAGACATAATTTGATGTGTGAAATAATAGAAATTAATGCTGGTTATTTAATATTGAAGTTAGCTTATTTGATCCAATGTGCAAAATAAATTTAACATTTTTTTTTATGCGGCTATCCATTTATTAAAACATTCAGGTTAAACATAGTATATCTAAGTAGGATTACAACTTATTGTTATTATCAAATTAAGTTAAATTCCACTTTATATGGAATTTCCAAAAATATTGTTCTATTTTGTCATATGACAAAATATGGGACTAATAAGTTAACATAATTAGAAAATATTATGTTATTATAAATATTTTGACCTTTGGTGGTGGAGGAGCTAATATCTAAAGTGATAGCCTGATTGTAGGACTAAATCTGTACTCCAATATAATGTAATTTATCTCAGTGGTTAATAGTTAATTTGATTTTCTTTGAATTAGCTTGAATGGCACCAATTCAGTTAACAACACGCATACAATACCAAAAGATATATATGATAAGAAGCGGAAATTGATGGAATCTTTAGATAATTTTGGTGTGAGAAAAAGAACTCGTCAAGAGGTAATATACAGTTATTATAATATATAATTTACTGCATTAAAAATTAAGATTATTGTTAACTAATGTATACATTCAATTACAATATATATGTACAACAGAATAAGGGTTGTCAACATTTTCCAAATGCATTTTTCTTTAATTCTATAGTTTTGTTTGATTGAAAAAATAGCTTTTTTTCTCATTGTTTTAGGACTTATGGTTTTTTTTAAAATTGCCCTTGTTTATAAAGATCAGTTTTGGCACAAATTCAAATGTGTCTTACCAAACATCAAGTAAACTAAGGTTACCATACTAATAATAATGTGTTAATAATGTGATAAGGCATGATTTCAGTCACAGTGGTAACCCACTAACACAAAAACTGGGTAAGACACATTTGATTCCCGTCAATACTGATCTTTTTATTTATTTATTTTATAATGCCAAAGCAGACAATGTTTCAAGTGATTAGGTAGTGTACAATATGATTATAATAATGTGGTGAATTAATAAAATAAAAATTATGATGAAAAAGAAAAAATAAATTCAGAATCATCTTATTACTAGAAAATGTGGTGAGGAGTAATCTCATTTAATCACCTGAGCATTCGGTGTAGGGAATGATTTTGATCATATGAAGTATGAAGATATAGTAGCTGATAAAGGAAGTGGTTTCTAGTGTTGTGGGCAGGAACTCTGAAGCGTATTTTGTATGGGAGATTAGGTGAGTCAATGGAACCATTAAGAAGAGATTTGATGAAAGAATTGTCAATGCTAATATGACGGGGGCTAAGGATGGAAGTTGAAGGTGGAACAAATAAGAAAGTAGTCATGTTGGAGATGATAAATTTTTTATAGGAAAGCAGCTTATGATAAAAACCTGTTTTGGAATCTTTCTATACGAAGTTCATCATAGTTTAGGTAGAGGTGCCAAACAACTACCCCTTACTTCAAAATAGATTGGATTAAGGACAAATAAAGAACACGGAGACAAAAGATTGAAGTTAAGTTGAATGTATTACATTTGATAGTACTTTAGTATGTAGAAAAAATTGGGAAGTGAGTTAACAAAGAGGATGAAAAGTAGAGTGCTGATATGGCCACCTTGAGGAATTCCAGAAGGTATAATACAGTGAGAGATCAGAAAGCACTTCATAGACAAATTGTCTTCTAGAGTTCAGGTAAGATGAAAGCCAATAGAGAAGTGGATTGCCAAAGCTAAGATTATCTAAAATTCTATTTAGAGTACCATGATCAACCGCGTCGAAGGCCTTTTTGAAGTCTGTAAATATCACATCTACTTGAGAGCCGATTTCAAGATTATCTAGGATGTAAGTTAAAAAGACCAAACTGCTTGTAATGACAATATTTGATTATTTGAACATTTTGAATACTTTTTAATTTATTGATTTTTAAACTCAATTTGTGAAGAATTAAAAGGTCAAAATAAAAAATTAATTTAATATATGAGCTTACTGTCATTATTACAATAAGATTTGTGGATTTAATCTTACAATTTGTAATGAAAATAAATACGGGAGGAAATAGGTGGATGCAATTAAGAATAATATGATGACAGTGTATCCAAGGTAAGAGATCTGGTCAAGTGAAAGGTTAGAATGAGAGTGACTTATCCCAAATAATTGGGATGAAGGCAAAGGAAAAAAAGGTGATTAAGTGAATATTCTTGATTTGCATATGGTTTTTTTTTTATAACCTTCCAACTGGACAAACAAGACAAAATTTAGTACTAAAAATCACTCATGATGATAATAGGAGCGAGTTTTTACAGACAAAAATAGCTTATGTTAAATTAATACCTACTTCCTCACTTCCCTAAACTCTAATATATTAAAATTTATTTACTGAAATTCTGTAATTACAAAAATTATATTAAATTTATGTTAAAATAAAATATTATTTAATGTTTTAGAGTGGTGTTGATACATTTGTTTATCGACGCCAAAGAACCATTAATGAATTTAATAGTCCTGACCGTGTAACAGTTATAAATGGCCATAGTCACAGATCAACTCAACCAATATCAACAATAATAGGTTCTAAAAGTGTTAATCTAGAAAATAGAAAGTAAGAAAAATATTTTAAAACAATTTAATTATTTCTTTATTATTAAATATTTATATAAAATAGAATTAATGATATAATAAATATAAAAATATAAAATGATATATAAAGCATTAGCTTTTAAAATCATGGCATTATTATAATTTGCATGTTCGTTTATAATGTACATGTACTTTGAAAAAATAAAAATAATTCATATTACATGGAATTTAAACACCAACTTTTATTTTGCATATTTGGAGGATTATTACCATTATTGTATATTTTTATAAATACATTTAACATGTTATTAATAAATTAACAAATTTAATTAGAAGATAAAACATTTTCATATTGTTCCCTAGAGAAATTTTTTTATAATATTAATAGTGGATTTAATTTTTAATTTTGTTAAGTTTTCTAAAAGTTTTTGACATTATTTTTAAAATATAAATACAAGTTATTAATATATATTAATAGTGAAGATAATTGAATATTGCAGTTTTTGAAGTTATTTTATTTATTTGATTATTTATTAATCAATATTTTTTATATTAATTTACATTTTCAATAGACTCTTCTAAAGTCAGCAACACAAAAACTGGCCGGTGGCCAGTGCGACTCTAGCGACTATTTCCAGTAGTTATCATAAACGTAAAACTAATTTTAGCATGTAAACATTGCGGCAGCGCAGTGCATTTTGAGTGCCCATAGCTAATGGTCAGACTATGTTGGTTGGGTTAAGGGCGTTACTGGCCAGTTTTCGTGTCTCAAACTATTTTTTGTTCAGTGCTGATGTAATTGCAATTTTGTTTTTTTTTCATAATCGTATCTTATTTGACACTTTTTTATGCATGCATTGCGGAGTTAAGTATATTATATTGTACAACCTTTCTTATAACTGTTTCAAAAATTGCATTCCTTTGAACTATAGTTTAACTTCTTTTTTTTATTCTCCAGTAGAGAAATGCTTTTACTTTTTACTTTATTTGTGGTATACACACTACTTTAATGTACTTGAATAATAAAATACTTTACTTGTTTATTAGAACTAAAAGACATGGAGATTTCGGAATAACCACGTGTCATTTACAGAAGAAACCAAGAACTAGAAATAATGAAATATTGAGCTCTTATAGTTCAAGCAAGTTTTTAAAAACTGGTCAAAAAAGACCTCATCCTATTGGTAATTACAAATATTTTTATTTACTATTTATAATTAAACAAATTTTGTTTTACTAATACTATCATAGGTAAATCTCCATTAGACAGGTATGTTATGAATAATTTAATATTATTAAAATACACAAATACAATATTATTGGAAAAAATAAAAATTATATTTGCATGTAGAGTAGGGTTTGAACCCTTTTGGACTTTTTGCATTACATTATCACACATTATTTTTCTTTATCATGGTAATAAAATCATGGACATTAGTATTTGATTTTTTTATTTTTATATTCCATATTCCAATTATTATTTTTTGATTCCATTGCTTTTAGAACACTGAAATTTTTGATTTTCAACAAAAACAAATTTGTTAAAAAAGTTTTCTGTAATGAAGAATATAATACATGTATTATTTTAATTTAAAATTACTAAAAATATTGTTTTTTTAATGTTTTAAATACAAATCTTCCTTTAGAAATTCAATTTATGGAATTTGAGGAAATATCAAATTCACTTGAGGTTTAACGTTTAATGTTGAAAATTTAAGGATAATATGTACTGTATTTTATTCAATTGAAGGAAGCTTCCCCTTAAACTTACTTGAGTTAGATAAATGGAATGTTGGCCAATGGGCTAAATATTGATAGTTGATTAAAGAAGAAGAAATATCTGTCAGGGATTTGTTTTACATATTTCATTCTTTGGGGATTTTTATTCTGAATAGCAAATTAAGTAATCGTTAATATTAAGTACTTCTTAATTTAAAAAAAAAAAAAAACTTATTATTTTTTAAAAATATTTATTTATTTTTGGTTTTACATAAAATAATTGTTAATGAATTTATTTTTTTTTTTTTTGAATGACTTAATCAAATGTATTTAGAGTACCTCATAATTAGGGTTTGGGACTTCTGGCATTTGCATGTTCTTTTTAACTAAAATTATCGGGTAAATCGTATTTAGTTAACATTCAAAAATATTTCTTTTAATAAATTACTTTGTGTAAGTAGGTTGTAGGTGCGTGTCTCTTTATCTATATTGATTAATTATCAACCTTGTTATCGACAATTTTTACTATGTATATATCTTTGAGATTTTCATTTCTATAATTATTATAATATGTTAAATGCACCAAAAATAAAGTAAAATATTACATACAATTTAAGCATATTTTGACTGCATATTCCGATCATTTTTAGTGCAACAAGTTCCGAACCCTACTCATAATCTTTCTATTCGTATAATAATATCACAGTTTAGTTTAATATTGTAGAAAAAAAATGATTAATTATGTTCTCAAAAAAACCCTTAAAAATGAAATTAATAAATCTGTTAAATAAATTATGAAACAAATTTAAAATAACCATTTAGTTTAAAAATTATGTTTTAGATCATGAAGGTGACTCGCCTAATCGTAAGCATTGTAAAAGCTGTACATGTTGTGGTTCTACTATGATACTTGAAGATCAGAATTATCAGAATAATTCTAATAAAAATGATAAAACAACTGAAACAGATCTGTCTGAAGATTTAGTAACATTTGCTGCTAGTCGAATTTTCAATCGAAGTGGTAAAACACAAAGAGTTAAAAAAATTTGTATGAAAACTATACTTGATGATGTCTTTGAAGACGAAGATCCTATACCATTTACTAGCATTGATAAGGTTGCAGAAAAAAAGAAAAAAGCTGAAGAGAATGGTAATTCAATATTATTAAACATGAAATATACATTTTTAGATGTTATGTAATAAGTTTAAAAATTCATTAAAACATTAAGGATCCAATATTCTTGATAAGATAAAAAGATCGAATACAACTTAAATTTGAGTAGTGCAACATTAGGTTTAGGGAGGCCCTAGGCAAAATATTCCAGAGGGCCCTTAAATGACTTTACAAATCAATAGTGAAAACCGATATATTTTACTTTTCCCTATAATTGGGCATCAGTGGATTAAGGGAGTTATTCTAAAAATTTTAAAAGTCCTCAAAATTTAACAAAGATTCCGAAATTAAAATGATCTTTGTTGTAAATGATGACCTTTTGTTTATTTTTGATCGTCACTATAATAATATAACTCTGTCCCCTATTCATCAATCAAATGTCCATCTATGTTCACCCCTTCTCTTAGTATTGAATTTTATTTTATTTTTTTTTAATAATACAATAACTTTATTAAAACAAATTATTTACAATCTGTACTAGGTGCACAATAAGTAAAATTGTTAAATACAATAAGAAAAGGCGGTGAGTGACTTGTAGTTTAGGCGTTTCACATTAGAGACACCTGAGTATTAAGTGTTATTGGGATGTAAGTTTCAATAATTGAGAAGGTCTAGACCATTTGTGTTTGAAGCGTCTTGCTGGGTTCCCTGGTAACTAATTTGTATGTAGTTGAGCGATGAATGTTATTTTTGAAATATTTCTGTAAATATTATATATTAATAAATACTTTTAGTACGTTAAAATAAAAAGAATGAGTGATTTAAATAAATTTAAATAATAATTACTAAATGGGTTATTTATGACCCTTTTGATTATTATATATTTGTTACTGGAATATTTGTTAGTAAGTAAAAACCGTAGAGAAAAAATTTGATAGTTCCATCAAGATTTTTAAGATTTTCATCAAAATTTGAACTTGTAATCAATAATCAATTTATTTTTAAACACTCTCATAATTGGAATTTTTGTTAACACATGTGTCATAGCATTAATATGGGCATTACTATGAACACTATCCTATTAAGAAATAAAGTTATAATTAAAAAAAAAAATTAAGATAATATCTTTTTACATGTAATACAAGGTGAACTATAAAATCGTCACACTATGCTGCTACACAAATGATACTCCACTACTCTCCTATCCAAACTTAATTATTGATATTTTTATATTAAATTGTTTTTCATTTTTTTTTTTTACAAATCTATATTGAAGCATTCAATAAAATATCAATAACGTATATTATTGATTTATGAAAAAAAAAAAATGACCTAATAATAATCCAGTTTTTTTTCTTAATTTTAGTTTTGTTATTGAATCAGCATACTGATAAATCAAATTTAAAAAACACTAACCAGGTTTTTGGTGCTGTTTCATCGACTATAGCAACTACAGTTATTAATGAAATACAGCCATCAGTAACTAGTATTTTATCAACTGCATCTACATTGTCTGTTTCAAGTACTACATTAACAACACCACTGCCAGTACAATCTACAATAACAAAAACAAATGAAATTAATACAAATTTTCAAGTAAATGTTAATAGTTCAATAACTTCTAGTGAAGTAAATGGAAAAACAACTGACAGCCAAGCACCCGATTCTACTAAAAATGTATTTTTAGTACCAAAAAATACTGAAAAAAGTCCTAATAAACAAAAATTACTGTTTCAGTCTTTAGAAAAAAATAAAAATATCATAAATGATAAGTCTTTGACATCAGGAGAAAATGATTTAAATAGTGATAAACAATCATTTCAATGTACTAAACCAAATAAGCATACTAATAATTTGTCTGTTGTACAGTCTGATGGTCAAAATGTAACAAATAGATCTAAAAAGGAATTGGCACCATCATTAGTATTTGGTAATCAAGTTGAAAATACTCAAAAACAATCAACAGTTACAATTGAAGTGCCCAAAGCAAATGAAAAACAAGTAACACCTAGAATGCAATTTGGTGCATCCAAAACAGATGAAAAACAATCAACACCACCAGTAATGCAATTTGGTGCATCCAAAACAGATGAAAAACAATCAACACCACCAGTATTGCAATTTGGTTCACCTAAAACTGATGAAAAAAAATCAACACCACCAGTAATGCAATTTGGTGCATCCAAAACAGATGAAAAACAATCAACACCACCAGTAATGCAATTTGGTTCACCTAAAACTGTTGAAAAACAATCAATACCACCAGTATTGCAATTTGGTTCACCTAAAACTGATGAAAAAAAATCAACACCACCAGTAATGCAATTTGGTGCATCCAAAACAGATGAAAAAAAATCAATACCACCAGTAGTACAATTTGGGATAGCTAAAGAATCTGAAAATTCAATTTCTACTTCATCATTATTTTCATTTGGTGATAACCAAATCTCAAGTGGAATATCTAAACCAATTGAACCAGTAAAATTTAATTTTGGTTCATTGAAACCGCTTGATTCAACTGCATCATCAATAGAACCTAAAAACGTATTTGGAACAAGTAACTTACAGAATCAAAGTCTTTTTAAATTTGGAAAAACAGATGATACACCTGATAATCCTCCTAAATATGATGCTAACGCTGAGAAGCCAACTTCAAAATTACAATTTAGTACATTATCTACATCAGTATTTGGTACATCAAATACAAATCAGCCAAAACCTCAATTTAGTACTTCTGTTAGTCAATCTATTGACAATCAAGGACCTAAAATAGTTTTTGGAAACCTAATTACTGAAAACAAACCTACAACATCAGCTTCCGGCATGATTTTTGGTAATAGCACAAATCCTGTTTTTCAATTTAATAATTCTAGTTCAAAACCTAATGAAAAGCCTTCTGAAGTGTCAAACAATGCATTTTCATTTTCTTCAAATAAAACAGTACCTAATTTTGGAGGTTCAGCTCCACAAGGTTTTGGAGAAAAACAATCATTTCAATTTAATGGTGAAAAAAAAGAAGAATCAAAAAATCAGTTTTCAACTTCTGTATTTGGATCCTCGAATACTGTTACTCCTTTTAAATTTGGAGATAATAATAAACCTACATCTTTTGGAACCACTTTTAATTCAAATCAACCATTACAGTTTACAAATAATACTGAAAAAACTAAAGAACCATTCAAATTTGGGGCTGTTATTCCAACTAGTAATGCATTTCAATTCAGTGCTAATAAAACAGATAATGGCCCAGTAAAATTTGGCCAAGCTTCAAGTACTTTCCCTGCATCAGGATTTAGTGGTTTTGGTAATCCAGCACCTCAACAAACCACTGCATTTGGTAGTGTGCCGTCATCACAGCCCTCATTGTTTGTTAACACCAATACTCCTACTGTAGCACCTACATTTGGTAGTGTAGCATCATCTACAAATACATTTGCACCAAATCAAGGTTTTCAATTTACAAACAATGCTACAAATAGTTCATCAACATTTGCTTTTAGTGGCAATACCCAACCTACCAAACCAGATGGAGGTTTTAGTTTCAATGCTGCCTCTACAACTCCCTCTCAACCTTTCCAGTTTGGTTCAGCACCGTTACCATTATCAACATCGCAGTTTGGAGGAAATCCGCCTCAAGGTATATTAAGTTGATTTAACAAATCAAATTATTGAAATATCATATTGTTTAGTATTATTTTAAAACTTAATTTTCATTTTAGGGTCATTTAATTTTGGATCAAATCCAATGTCTGGAACAGGTAAATTTGAAGGATAAAAATTGATGGTCATTTTAATGTTATTTTTAACTTATGTTTTGTTTATTTTTTTTTTAACTTTGGTATGCTAGGTTCAAGTCAACCATTATTCTCCATGGGAACAGCTCCTGCTGGAGAAAGAAAAAAAGCTAAAGCAGTTAGGAGACGGCAGTAATTGATATTAAATGGCCAACCAATGAAGTATTAATATTTTATTAATACTAATACCGAATTTATATTTGAGTTTTATTATTTTTTTAAACCAATTTAACTAATTAATTGTGCTAAGGTTTAAAAAGTGTAATATATATATAAATTTAATAATTGTTCAAACTTCAATTATTTGTCAGATATAATATTATTGTTCATATATTCAATTTAATTTGAATATTCATATTTGCATTGTGTTTATTCCAAATATTTTTGAACAATTATTTTTGACTAGTGAAAAAAAGTTATTTATCATTTTCAAAATTATAATATTCATATTTTACTATTAATTTTAAATAATTTTGACAGACAATTAAAATTATTTCGATCAAAATATTTTTGAATTGTATTTTTAATATTTAAATTATAGTTTATATTTGATATCTGATTTGATTTATTATTTAATAGTTATTGTATATATATTACATTTACGTGTTTGAGTCTTAAATTAATATAAAATTGTTGTTATTATTACTTATTATTATAATCTCTTAAAGTTTTAAGAAATGATATCTTCCCAGTTACGATAGCATTATTATATTTAGTTAAATACTTGTACATATCTAATTTAAATAGTTAAAAATGCATTATTGTCCTTTTATGTTACACAAATAAAACAAAAATAATTAATTTAAATAGTATCACTGTAATTTGATGTAATTTAGATAATTATTGGCTGGAATATTTATACTTCATATTTATTTTACTATTAACACTTATCAACCTAATGTGGATGTTTATTTTTGTAGATATGGCATCGGTATGATTTTAAATTAACAAATAATATACCAAAAATGTATGTATAAAAAAACATTTAAAGTAGAAATGTGCATAAAACAAAAAATTAAGAAGCATGAAGAGTTTGAAAAAATACTACAAAAAGTTGTTTTCGTATTTCCAATAATATGTTTTACTAAGTGGTTTTAAAGTAAAAACATTTGTTATTAATATTGAAGAAGACAAGTTAGTCTGCTTTAGTATAGAAGCAAATTTTAATTTCTAAGCCGAATAATTACAATGCAAAAATGTAAAATATCACCATGTTAAGAATTAAATATTGGACGTTGAAAAAAATATATCAAAAATCGACTCCTATGCAAATCTAGGTAAACTTCTTAACCTCATCCAACAAACATCATCATATGGTTGTTTTCTAGTGTTGATGAGAATATCAAAATATTATTAACACAGAACTATATTTTTAAATACAATAATTATTATCACATGGTAGTGGTCGTATCACATTTATTATTAAATTATTATACTGCCAATTGCGCTGCCGGTTGGTGGAAGGTATAGTTTTGTTTTTATAAAATAACTTGTTCGATGTTTGTCAATTATTCATACACTGTCTATGCATATTGCATATATTACTTATTGCTAGTGAAAAACTGAGCAAATTTGGTTAATCGTTTTGCTTTGTCAACAATATATTTGTCATATTATGGTGAAATAATTAAACATTGTATCTATTTTCCCTACATTTTTTCCTATTTAATATGAAAACTGCTAGGAAAATCAAAAAGCAACTCTCCTAAAATATCTACCACCCCAATCAAATTTTCTTTCAGTAAAAGTGAACTGAAAATCAGAGCAAAATTGCTGATAGAAAAGTTGTTCAGGTGGGAAAAAAAGCCGTAAGTAATATTGTTTTACTTGTACCTATATTTCGTACATATTCCCTTTTCCACCAATTATTGGGGAAATCAAAAAATTACCTCCCTAAAGTACCATCCCACTCAGGTTTCCTTTAAAAAAACTGCTATTATTGTAAATCGAAGCAAAATTGTTGGAAGAAAAATCGTCTACAGGAAAAAAAATAAACATTATAAAATTAATACCTACATTTCTCAATCTGCTTAGAATTTAAAAGTAGATACTTATTGAATATAAAAATAAATATGAAGCCAATAAAAAAGAATAATGATACCTATCCAAACAAAGATGGATGATAAATATCATGACAAGTTTTTTAAGACAAAATAAAAAAGATGAAATTTTCACGCAGGTAAAATTCATAATTAATTGATAAATAATGATTATTACAATATGTATATATTTGTTTTAATAGTTTCCTCAGACTTAAAGAGACAGTTTGAGCCCCCCTACTGTAGTTGTGGATTTTGATGGAGCTTCTTTATATAATAACTAGGTAAAATACATTGTTTATAATTATATTGTATAATAGGTATACAGGGATGGAAGTTGGTCACTTTTGTCACTTTATATTACTTTATAAGTATTCTCATACAATTTTATAAAACATAATTATTATGTTGATACTTATTACGAGATCTTGGTATTTTATATTGTTATATATAATTTGCTATGTGATGGAAAAAAAAATTTTAAGTCTTACATAAATTTAACATAATACTACCAACAATGGCATATTTTTAAACAATTATAGTTTTATTTATAATTAAAGTTGTTGTTTATCTTTAAATTGTCACTAAATCATTTAACAAAGCCTGATTGTTAACCTATCATATCATTAAATCAATTCTAACCTATCATAATATTATAATTATTATCTATGACTACTACTATTGATGTTAAATAAGTGTATTTTTGTTAATGTTAGCCACTTATTTTTGTACGGAAGTTACTTTTTAGTCACTTAAATTTAAATTTTATTCACTTTTTTCAATTATTTTCAAACCATTAACAACTTTCTTTCCTGGGTATGTGTACCTATAATTTGTATTTATTTTATTATACTATAGTAAGTAGGGTATTCCTAAACCCTTTAAAACTGTTTTCAGCCCCTCAACTTTGGGTTCCAATGGTTCCATTCTTGAAACTTCATCGTTGCCATTTTCCTATAAGTTAGGTTTTCTTATTTATTTTGCAAATCTGTTGGAAAATGAAAAAATTACCTCTCTAATGCAACAACTAGATTCAAATGCAACAAAGGTCTCTTGTCATTTTTAAATTAGAGCAAGTACCCAGTTTGAAAATTTGGTTACGGACAGGTCAAAAAATACATAGGTTGGTAAAGGTAAAACCAGTGTGCAATATTTCGTAAAATTTCAAAACGCTATTAACACGAATACACGATACAATTCAATAGCGTGTATACTGTGTTTTATCGGGAAAAATTAGAAATTTATAAATACATATATTTTGACATAAATAAACAAACACGAGCACATTCTATATTGCTATACATCTAAAGTATGATGACTTAATGATATGCTCTATACTATCCAATATGTACTTACCAAAATGTGAACCATATCATAAACTCATAATAATATTAGAAGTCTATGAACCACATAAAGTAATATTTGCATCTGATATATATATACACGATAGTCTCAGAAAGTGAATACGCTTTGGAGCCGTTCTCTGTTTAGCTGCAGTGTTTAGGCCGAACACCAACAGATTACTCTCATGGTACCTATTCATATTATATGTACCTATACGCCTGTGTAGTATCGGGCGAATTCTCGAGTTCATCGAGTTGGTTCCGTGACAATAGAAATTTGTATTTTTTTCTAACAATATTAAAGAGAATTGACATTTTTATCGTAAAGTATATTTTTGTAGGTTTCAGTTCTATCTATTATGTCTTAATTGTGATTTTATATTCTCTTGAGTGTGTAACGCTACAGCTACAACAATTGCATTAATAAATAGGTACCGGAATTTTTGGGTTTTTTCATATTTATAAAATATAACATTTTAGTAGATACATAAAACAAAACATTTTCATTTAATTAAATATAATATTATAAATAATATTGCATGTTATACATTTATAATACAAAGTTTAACCTCCAGTTTTTCATAGAAGAGAATCTTTCAATGATATCCACTGGTATAGGTACTTATTTCCTAGTAAATATGCACCAGTGCAAGCCCAGTCTGCATAAGTGATCCTGGGATATTTATTTTGTAACTAGAAATCAATGATAACGGACAATGGTTGAACCGTAAAAAAAAAAATTATAACATCAGAAACCTAACCTCTCTATACTATATTACTATCCATATAAACGTTTGAAGCCATATGCCTATCTGTCATTACTATAATGTAGTACTACTAATTTGTATAGTTGGTCAATATAATTGTATCTCATCATTTCATAATTTTTACCACACAATTTATCACAGATATACTTAGATAAAATTTAAATATTTAAACAATTATTATTTTTTTTTTCGGGAAAGTAACAAATTAATTTTATTTGTATTTAATTTTTTAGTACGCAACTCAACTACGCGCGTATACCTATAATGACGTGTGGACACGTAACAACTTTATGCAAAAGGTTTGTTGTATTAAACACTCCACACAACTGAACCCATTTTTGATATGAAATCACAAACCGATACTAGTAAGTACAATACCAAGTAGTTTTAATATGGGTTGCACCGTTGATTTTAAAATCAATACCTACTAGTAAATCGTGAACTATTAAAAATAGCAATATATCAGTAACTAAAATTAAGTAAAATAATGTTATTGGTATTTTTATTATTATTAATCGTATAATACAAGTAAACTATATTAAAAAAGTGGATACTGTTCTAGGTAATAATTCAACGACATCGCTTTTTTTGATACAAAATAGTATGAATAATAGAAAACCCGAAGAAAGTGTAAACGGGGAAATATTGATAGCAAAATAATAATAAATATTCATAAATAATATAATATAATAACGATATTCTATTTTTAAAAAAATGCGCAGTAATAATTATCGCGCATTTTTTTGGCAAATGGTAAATCAATAGTGATAGTGAGTGATAATGTTGGTAGAACGACACGACGGGTATAATTTATTTTATGCAAAACAAAAAGGAACGTGTCGTGTTCAAAACACACGAAATGAAACGACACGGCGAATTGAGGACTCCCCCTTTATAATTATATTTTAACACCGTTATAGATAATATCCAATGTTAAATTTACTTAACCGTATCTGTTTTTAGTAGATATTTTTGAAATCCATTTGACCTACTCAAAATGGCGGATAATAATTTCACGTCTTATCATTAGTTACCAATCTAGTTTATCATGAATATCTGTTATCGTATAATTAACTATTCCGTGAAAAATATTTGTAAAAACACTAAATATAAATAATAATACACATATATAATTATATGGCTCACGCCCCAAGTCACTTTGTCCCCATGCCCGATTTATTGGGAAAACTCTTGAGAAAAATGACCTGCCTAAAGTACCTTTCCAGTCACGTTTCCTCTCAGAAAAAGGGCTATCATTGTAAATCAGAGCAAAATTGCTGGTAGAAAAGCTGTCCACAGAAATAAAAATCGTAATATTTTATTAATATATTTCGTAAATTTTCCCGTTTTTCTTCCATTTTTTGGTTTTGTTCATTTGATGAGAAAATTCCCGAGAAAATCGAAAAACGACCACCCTAGAGTACCATCCCAAGAAAATAATTATTGTTGATTATTGATTTTAGTTTTGTTGATTTCTGAGTTACTTATTGGCTATACAATGGGAAAAAACACGAATAATACTACTTCGCTCAGAAGTAAAGGTGTTTTAAGGAAACGATAAAAAAAAGAGCGCACGAGTCGAGAAAGTTTAGGAAGTATCCAAAGAACTGGATTACACGTATAATATGCCACCTGTTCGTTATTAAAATCTAGATAGGTAGGTAATATACATATATTATTATAATATCATACACTTTCACAACAATAAACACGATAATTTTCTGCCAAAAACAAATTTCAAAATTATAATATATATTAGTTATATAATACAGTCATTGTACATGTACTCTAACAAATGAGAATACTGTATTAAATACACGTAGGATTGTAGGACATATTTTTTTCACGGCACAATATTCAATTATAATAAAATTAAAGTAATGATTATAATAATTATTAATATATAAAATTACATTTTAAAACTGATCGATGTCCGATAATAACGCTATCGTCATTCAACAAAACGGTTTTTATGCTCAATAGGTAATAATCTGTCAATAATAAATTGTTAATAAACTGTTTAAATTTAATCGCAATATTAATGTATAATAATTAATAGTAACACTAACATTTATTAGGTCGGTAAATAATACAAATTTTTACTTAAATAACACAAACAAAGTCTTTGTAAAATCGTAATTTATCGTTGTTGCAGTGAAAACGTCATTACACAAGTAATTTGTACGCATGTGGGTTTTTGGAGTGTACCTATACGAATGTGAAAATTAAAGTGTACGAAATATTACGTTGTTTTCGGAAAGCGTGATTTTCAACCGTTGAACAATAATGTGCGTTGATAGAACAAAATATGATAAGGAATATACTTGTTTATTGACATGATTGTTATACGTATGTATGGAATTATGTCTGATGTCTGTAGTTATTGTCTTTTTTTTTAAGCGTATCCTTGTCGGCGTTCTTCGTTTTTTATACTGCTCGCTAAGCACAGCGCAAAAATGATACCGATCAACTGAAACATAAACGTGTTTTGTTAAAACATACTATTTCAATGTTATGCATTCTATATAGCAGAGATGGGTAATTAAATGTTACAAGAGGACCAACTTTTAGAACTTTAAAATCTAGCGGGCCAGAGAACATAGAAAGGAAAAAAAAGGTCAATTTAAAAAAGACATTTATTTTTTATGTTTAATTATTTATTCGTGTGGTATTTATTAATTAATTTGAAAATGTAGCACGGGCTAGTAGAAAATGGTATGCGAGCTGCCAGTTGCCCATCCCTGCTATATATAAGTAGGCACTTTAGATAATAAACCGTTCGGTGGATTTTGCGGCCCAACGTATTATAAAAACTGAAAAGTGATCTATAACGGAAAGCGAACAGACACTATTTTATTCTTAATTTAAAAATAGTGACAAATTGACAGTGCTAAAACGCATTTGCATTAGTATGTATTCTCGTAATAATGTAATAACGATAGCGAACTCGATAAGATTACGAATAGCGGATATCTATTACAGTGGATTATTATCAAAAATTCCCTAGACACGATATGTCGCGGTCGTGGTGGCAGTTGTAGCACGAGTGTTTTTTGATCAGTTCGGTTTCAAACCAGTACATGTACGGACATATTTTTATATTTTTATTTTTAATCGTATTGAATACAATTTTATTTTATACCATGAACAGAAATATTGTTAATAATAATAACATTCTTCTCACACATTTATTAGAAGAAGAAGATGATGTTTTATATTTGGCTAATTTAATGACAAAAAATAGAAATTCGACAAATTGCATTTTTAAACATCGGGCCAGTGAAGTGTCTTATGAAATAAAATAAAATATAATAAAATATATTGATAAATAGACCATTAAAAAGAATAAGAATGATGGAGAAAATATTAACTTTGCAACCATGTCGTTATACGGTCGTCACTACGTGTCGCGAGCTACTGCTCTCGGAGCAGTAGTGTCGTCAGCTACGACGACCCAAAGTTTGGTCATTGCTACCAGTCGCATCTAGCAAACCAGTGTATACCATTTTCGTAAAAAATAGATATTGACGACTTGTCGCAGTGACCTGTCGTCGCGACAATGACGCGTCTAGCAAACCATACCTATAGGTTTAACGATAATAAACTCGTTATCGAACGGTAACAACATTATAATTTAATTTAACATAGCGCAAATGTTTTCATTTTACACATTATCTTTTATGGATTTAAAAAATGTACACCTTTGAATAACGGACATCTCCGAATAGCAGACAAAAATTCGACGACCGAATAAAAATGGCTATTACAGGAAAAAAAAACAATTCAACTTTAATCTAAGATACCTAAAGCAGTATATTAGTTAAAGTGTGTTAAGTTCAAAACAAACAGTCACATAAAAAAAAAAAAAAAAAGGCACTAGTATGTAATATATTATTATGATATACTATTTTCGTTTTAACTATAGTAGATATAAAAAATGCTGATCAGGAATATCATAAATTGTTAGGATGGTACGTACCTACTATTGCATCACGACTTATTAAAAATATTATTTACTGTTGTGATGCAGCACTTTAAAAATGTTAGTAAGTGCGTGCTTACTATTGCACTCAAGTTATATAATAATGAATTATGAATATTACATTGAGTATTTACTGATATTTTTAGACATCATCGAATTTATATCTATGCCATCAACTCAAGTAAAACCTGTCACACATCCAGCGGTTATAACACGTCGGTTTTGAAGGCACGCCTGAAATGCATAATATTATAGCGGTTTGTTGTCTTGGTGTACGTCATTGTTTAACGCTGTAAAACTTTTGAACGTTCGACACGGCCGAAAAAATAGTAATTGCGTGTAATATTCTACCATAAACGCTCAACACATAGCTATTCCATTGTTCGATTTTTTTTTTTTTTAAAAAAAAAGGAAAAGATTTTTAGTTCAAAATATAGAGAAAAAATAAAATATGTGTAATATATATTTAAAAACTCACACACGGTAAAATCGTACAAAATGCCTTACCTACCTACATACAGTGTGACGCGTTACTCATCATAATTTATATTGTTTGACAATAATATGCAGTAGCAGTCGGAAGAGTCTGAGCTCTCAACAAATGTACAACGGGGGGTTAACGTTCGTGTAAACATAAAATGGGCATTAGGTATACAATCAATACGATATACGTGTATTCCCAACGGAAACATGTCATAATGTCGAAAATCGTAATTATCTGTTGAGCGTCACAAAGTGTAATCATTTTAAACTCCCCAAACTGTACACAATTGACAATTATTATTCGGTAGATATACTTTTTCGATAAAAATAAAACCGACGTAAACACTGTTTCGTGGATTTTAAATTATATCAGACCAGTATGACTGGTGTTTGCAATATTTTTCTAATCGCTTTTAAACAGACAATGCATTAATAATTCATAATAATAGTACCCATGTCCTATATGTTTGAAACGCAAATATGATGGGGCCACATTAAATGAATATTACGAACTTGAAAACTAAAACCCTAACCGACAAAAACATAACCTATTAACCCACATTGATAAATGAAACTTTATATAGGTAAATCAGATATCCTTACTTCACCGCCAGCAATGGCTATGATGATATTCAACAGTTTACCCAACTTGCTCTTGACAAATTCGACTGACTTTTTCGGACATCCGTCTTGCCAAGCCTGTGTTTTGAGACACGTCGTTCCTTGGCCATTGTCTTCTTTACAACAAGAGTGAGGTATAGCGGCCGCGGTTTGATCGGTCCAATAGTTCGGTCCGTCAATACCGCAACAGTGGAACTAAAAATTCCAAATTTATAAATGATAATTATAATATTATAATAATTCGTATATAGCATGCATATACAAAATTTCTTCTCCTCCCCTGGCTTTATATGGGCGGTCTATTTGGGTTTCCAGAACTAAAAAATCACCTATCTCCGTAACAACATAGAGAAGTTCATATTAAGACTCAATCCAATTTTTATCACTTCAATCCATTTATAAAACAAATGTGATTCTCGTGTTTGAGTCGATTTGGTCCAGAATGATTGCTTTTGGGTAGAAAATATACGATTATATAGTGGGGGAAATAATAAAAATCCGATAAAATGAAGAAACCCATTCATACTCGGTGTTACATACGACTGTAAGTGCAACAAAATTTGTATTTGTTTAATCTCTATGCTGACTTACTTCGTGTTGTATTTTGTCGACAAAAGCACGCGAATCTGAATCGTTGGAATAATCTTTGAATACGGTAGTCAACAATTTCTCAGTGATCGGTTCCACTTGTCCCCGGTTCACGTACAGGAAAACTCCAATGGCCGCCTCCAACAGGAAAAGTGCCAACAAGAACATTGCATACTGAAATAATATTTGTTTTGTTATAAATCATTTTAAATACGTGCGAATTATATTGAGTGGACTTTTCCGTTTTCATTATTACAGTATATTAGTATTATAAGTAGTGTATGGAACATTCGCTAAAATAATGATTGCGTTCATGTTCTCCTCCGTTGAACATATTGAGTTTATTTGGTCGATCAATGTTGAGAAATGGTAAACCAAATATGAGATTATTAAATTTAATGGCATTTATTTCCATTTATTTAAGTCTTGATATCAATAAATTGTAAGTACAAATTTTAAGTATAAATTTAAATACAATATTTTCATATATGATTACACTATACTAATTGTGAATAATAATTAATAATATTTGTATAATTTATAAATATTTTTTTTATTTTTTTTTTTATGAAATTTACGTAGAAACTTATTGAAAAAAGTCGTTTATATTCGTATAATAATATTTAATGCATTAGGTATAAACACTGAACCTGTTTAATACTTATGATACCTATTTTTTCCGAAAACGTTATTTATAAATCAAAAAACCAAATCTATGAGTATATTAATTTATTTTTAAATGATAAATACGATAATGTATATGTTTACAAGTTTTAATATGGTTTATCGCTTATTAGAATATGTTATAATGGCTATATATCATAACTATGCTTATTAGTTAGATATACCTATTCATTTATTTTCCAATCTTTTATTCACATTTATTATATTGGTATGAAATAAAATGTAACATTTTCAAACTAAAACCATTGAATTTGGGCGATGAAAATTAATTTATCATATTTTGAGTTATTTAAAATATTTCGATACACATCGCATTATGGATAAGTTATTTTTTGATTTTCATAATAATTAGAAAAATCCGGGAATAAAATTATAAGAAAATTTACGGCACACCGTGAAATCATCGTTTTCATTATTTTAAATTTTATGATTTATATTTTCTATCAGAAATAATGTTTCAATAGTAAATTGTTAATTGTTTAAATTGAATTGTAATTAATGCTTAATAATTAATAGTAATACTTACATTTATTAGCTACTTAAATAATATATTTTAAATAAAGTCTTTGTAAAATCGAAATTGTTTGTTGCAGTGGATACGTTATTAAATTGACAATTATAAATTGTTTCAATCGAAAAATACCGAGCTTTTTTTTGTTAAAATATTATTATTAGGTGAATAAGACAATCGTTTTTTTTTTTTTATTTTCCATATAGTTTTCTTAATAATTGGGTAAAATCAGATAAAAAAACGTAAATTTTAGTTTTTATTTGGCTGCCGGTAGGTAACATGTGAATAAAATTGTTTTACTTAACCAAGATAATTAAAAATTTTAAATGATATTCATTATAAGTGTTACAAAAAAAATCGAGTGTAATGCAGTATTTTTTTTTCAAAATTGTGTTAATATCAAATTTTGATGAAAATTGTAAACATAGTAGATTTTATGTTAACATGTAGTTGTCTCTATGTCGTGGCCTACCGCGCCGCCTATCCACCTATCTATCGTTTTAAACAATAATTAATATTTTTTAAAAAACCAAATTAGTTAACGATCAAAACACGTATATTGTAATTATAATATGATTATAATATTAAAACTTACTATCGTGATCATACAATGACTTTCTCGGATAGCTCCGCAACATCCGAAGAAAGACACAACGAATACTGCTCCACCGATGATAATAAAGGCCAAGGCAGCTAATCCAACTGCGTCTCCGGACGCTTTATTGGCCAGTTCTTCGGATTTTGTCGAATAGTATCTAGTCACCAGACCTAGACCCAACAGTGCCAAACCGGACAACTGAAAAATAAAATAAAATATTATACAATTTGGTGGTATGCATATTAAAACAAATATATCTTGCGGCTGTTGTGATTGCCAGGTTGTCCACATATGGGAAGTGTCTTGTATATTCAGGTATTGGTTGGCCGTTGATGTACAAATTAAATAATACTTGAGCTAGAATACTAGTCTGTGGTAGGTCTCTCTCCACCTACTCCATTTATTGTTCAATGTCACCGTAAAACGGCAATTATGTAATAAAGACGCAACTATTTGAACAAATTCCCAATCCTTGGTACGGTAGTATATTTTTTGCAGTAATTATAATACAGTATAATAATAATAATAATAATAAAATTAAATGATGATGATGATGATGTCGATGCTAATGTGTTTATATTCATATAGTTAAATTATTATATTGTTACGTGCCGATTTTAGTGCCAACAAAACAATTAAGTTATCATTTAAGAAATAGAAACTTGGTTTATAGTTCAAAAACAGATGGTTTTGTTATAGATTATTTAAGTCCAATTCAATACAATTATAAATCATGTCTATGTTCTATAATAATACGATTGGCGTTATGTCCAGTTTGAAGGTGCTTTCTTAAGCCTAGGTCAGACTCATCTACCGAGGGCCCGTTTCAGGTCCCTTTTCTATATGGCTTGTCCATGGCGTACATAATCGACTAACTTCGAGTGACTTTGTAGTTTGCTGAATTTACTGAGAAAATCAGGTTTATTACCTTGATTAGTTAAGCATCGCGCGATCGTCTGCACGTGCACCTTTTTAATAATGCTTATGTCCGCGTTTTTTGACGCTATTATGGTTCCATAATATTATAATAACATCAATTTACAATATTATTATCGATAGGTAATGGTACCTACGTAAACGTACAAAATATATGTATAGATATATCATAGGTAAGGTTGAGGTCGAGGTGTGTATTTGCTGTAATCATAGGCGTGCGTAGGCCTCTTTTTCAGGGTATGCAAGAGGCTGCCGCTAGTGCCTCTAAATGTTATTTTAAGCTCGTAAAACTCCGATAAAAAAATATACATAAATATCGAAGTGTTTTACCAACTGTTTAATTAAAAATGTAATTTTTACTTAAAATTAAAATTAAATTACAACATAAAACTTACATAATTTTTAAATATTTTATTTAACTCATAATATGATTTTTGAGGACCTTGAGAACGTAGCCCCTTATTCTCCCTCCTTAATCCGGGCCTAGTGTTCAGGGTATGCAGCCGCATACTCTGCATATCCCCTGCGCACGCCTATGGCTGTAATAATGGAAAAATCTTTTTCGGTGTTTACAGTGTATGCAGTAGGTACACACAAATCATATTGGGCGTGTATTGTAATATTTTGTAGTGGAATATTTTTTCGTCCGATTTTGTTTTACAATATACAATTACTTGGCGGTTTTTCTCTGATCGCCGGTGATGCGTAGTATAGCACTAGCCAACGATTTGTTCACACAAAACATCGGTCGACGGCCTATATAGGTACCTATATAATATGGTATTAGAATAATATCCATAGCGACTATTGCTGATGAATTGAAACTAGTTATGCGACGAACCGAATGACAGAAACGCCATTCGTTGTGGCCAAATGCTCTTTATGCGTTTATTAATATTGTACACTATCTATATATTGTATTACTTACACATTTACTATAGATATAGCTACTACCTATATAATACTATTTAAATATAAACGTTTTGATATATAATATTTATATTGTTTACTATAAAATTTATTCCGTTTCTAAAATGAATCTGCTTTCGAAATCTGTTTACGGAAGATCGCGGAATACACTACGCCACGCCTACGTAAAAAGCTGTTTTGTTCAATGACGTAATTGCAGGTGACGCGCATATAATTGATGCACGAATAGAATAAACACAGTTGGATTTCCTCAAAAACAATCTCACAGTTCATAATATCATACCTAATCTGTTCTAATTATTTTGAGCCGTAAAAATAAGAATTATATTTATTTGAATACTAATATTTTTACACTCTCTGTACCGCACGACGAACACCAAAAAGTAAGATTGCATGATAGTTAAAAACATAATATTATGTGTTCCTACATAATAAGATAACGGTGTACACACCTGGAATGGTTATTCGGGCTATTGGATCTATTTTTGAAATTTATAAATATTAAATATGTATAATATATGTGTATTGTACTATATACCTATGTATAGTACAATACACATAATGATTCCAAAAGAGAAGTATAGTGTCGTTAGTGATTTTTTACATGCAGGCAAGATTCCATTTCTAGATAAAATCTAATAGAATTCTTGAGAGGCTAATATTTTTAATGAGTAAAAAAGGCCATAAAAGCGTTTGAGTTTTCAGGGATTTTATAAATTATTAAACAATTTCAAAGTGTTTTCGTTCAAATTAAATAAATCATTGCTCTTTGGATTATTGGTATTTAATCTATGATTAATTTGCAATCTGCGCAAGGTATCTTTGACAATTATTAAAACAATAGTCATTTTATTATATTTTATAACAAGTATTTTTTATGTAACTAAATGTCTAAAATAAACAGTAAAAATATACATTTTTAAAAAGCTGGATATACTTCGCTCTATGGGTAGACTATAAGTGGTAAGTTTGAAAGGTATTGGATAAAGTGTTTTTAGTTTGTATACTGATAACAACGAAAAATCATTACAAACCAAACACGATTTTGAGCAGAGATCGGTTAACTGGTAAGATTATTTTTTGTCTCTTGTAACCAAGATAATTTAGAAACAAATATTTTGAGTTATATGATTCCAAATTTATACATAAGTCATTTTTTGAAAAAATAATTGTTTCATAGATAATTTGACTTAAAATTTAAATCAACTTTGCCCTAAATCCTTTTTCGTTTGCAATAATCACATTATATCGCTGCGTATGTATTATTATATAAATTAAATGTTACCCATAATATCCTATATCCTACCTTTCCCACTTTCCCACTATAATAGTGGCCACTCTCTTGGTGCCAAGTATGCCAGATTTTTTAACATTTTTTCTCATAAATATTGGGATTTCGGAAAAAATGGACCTTAATTTAGTTAAGTATTGTTTAATTTTAAGGTATACTATTTCACAAATATAATGAATGTAAAAATATAATTTCATACATCTGATGAGTTTCAAGTTTTATCTGGGGTACTTCTAGGGTCCAACCTGAGATTTCTACTTTTTTTTACTATTTAAAAATGATTTGCTACTTATCTTTAGTAATAACGTTAAAGTATTATTTTTTGCCGATGATGCTATTGTGAATTCTATAGGTACCCAAATTAACTGGATTTTCGATTTACTTTACCACAATATAACTTGGATAAATTAATTGTTTTCACGCTAATTTCCTAGCGATTAAAACGATTATTTCTAATAAACTATTGATCGTATATGAATGTGTGGTAACTAAGTTACAAATTTTAGAATAATATATTTTACAAAATGGCTATTTTGAAAATTTTAAGAGTAGAAAAATAGTTTTTTTTTCAGTGATTTAGGGTCATTAGAAATGAAAATAAAATTTAAATTTTTTTCTACATATGTGTTTCCCTTGTATAAAACAAGATTAAAAAAAAATTAATATTGACAGAGTTATTAGCATATGGATAACATTGTAGGACATTCTAGATATAAATTAAAATGGTTTGGTTCTATAGATGAATGTTAACAAATTTAGAAAAAAAATATATTTTTAAAAATTACAAAAATAGCTCTATTACCGTACGTTTCTTTTTTTAATTTTCATTATTATTTTAACATGAACTTCTGATCGTTCTGTGCTTATCGTAAGTACCTATATAATACTTAATGTATTACTAATATAGAAAAACTTAGGTAAAAAAAAGAAAATAGAAATAGTGGGCAAAATTATTTATGATACATAATAAAGATATTATATTATACATTTTCGATAATATTTAGCAACTTGAAATATATAAGATTTACGTATATATTGGCAATAATAATACTGTCATACCTCAAATATTGCATCATCTCTTAATATTATAGTTGTTAAACGACATATAAGTGTCAGTATCGAAATCTATTAAACCGTTGTTGAGAGCTTTCTTTATGATCATCCCGTCATCACTCGACGCCCCAAATCTCCTGCTGTTATTATTGTAAAATTTGTATTCATTCTCAGACCGCGATATTTTTTTTCTTTGAAATTTTGATATTTTTTCAACTTATTCAATGAATAATAATAAAATGAATATGACAATAATAATAATAAATAGAAAATAGAATTAGTAATTTTGATAATTAATTATAATCAATTTTTTGGTTGTGCGGTTCTCAATATTTATTGACAACGGAATAAAATGTTCAATAGATAATTTTATAAATTAAAATTTAAAATGTAATTTATTATTTATTTTATCTGTTACAAAAACCATTACTATATTTTAAATAACAATAATGGTGTTGCTTTTATTTACAAGCTAATTAATGGACAATTAATTTATCACGAGTTTTAAAAAAAAAATAATTTTAAGTTACCTTCTTTTAATTCAAGGAATAATCTTCCCTTTTCTTTTCCTCATTTCCCTAGCAACTTAATTGCTAATAGTCCGGAGTGTCGATTTTTGGTTAATGGTAATAGCATATTAAACTTTCATTCTTGTTTTGATTTTACTTATTGAGTTAAATATTGTATTTCAATAGTTTTAAGTAGTTTTAAGTATTTATGTATTATATATTCACATATTATTATCCTGTACTCATTACCCCTTTGGGATGTTAAATAAATAAATAAATAAATAAATAAATAGTAAATATTTTATTTTTAATGTAAATCTAATGTCAAAACTAAACTAACCTAATAATTAATTATAATAAATTGAACATTTTGGTGAATTTTGAATAAAAGCAAATATTAAAATGCATGTAATTTCTTTAGAAATTATCGTGACATGTTTTAGATTTGGAGCGTAAGTCCGTTTTTTTTTTTATGTAGTTTGATAAGTCTTTGGAAATAAAATTAATTAGCTGTTACAATTTTTTTCGTCAGATAATCTCATTTGAATGTAAACGAGTGAACGAATATATGTGCCAAAGACCGGTCAATACAGTTTTTCATTGACGTAAATGCCCGTCAACAATAGTGAAAGGGATTGTATAATAAATTAGTAGTAAATTCGCGTTTCAAATATTGGGTTTATTAGAGTTTTTTTTTACGAGAGTATTTCCACGCACGTTTTGTTGGTTAAGTTGGCATACCTACCTGTCGTACTTGTACATAATATAACCCCTACCTAATTATTTATTAATACTAAACAAATAAATCGATTAAAAAAGCCTTTCTTGAAAAAGATACTATCTTAACAACGTCAAGAGTATAATATTATGGTATTTACGTATTGCATAATAAACATATAGGTAAAGTTCATCATTGACATATTATGCTAGATAGGTCTAGGGGGTCAAAGTGTCGGAATATTTCGGGGGAAAATAGGTTAAAGCCCCGATCAAAAAATAGAGAATCGGAAGATTTAAAACTAATACATTTCTTTAAAAAACATTTTTATTTTTGGGAACCTGAAAAAGAAATCATTAACAAGGTACAGGCAAGGAATATACATTCTTTATCTATACTATTAGTAATGACTTCAATGTTTCCAGGGTTTCAAAAATAAATTTTTTTGGATATTTCTACTTTCACCGAAATTTCCACTTTTTTCAGAAAGTTTTCTAAAAAATCCCTGGGATAAAACTGTAGTTTCCGGAAAAACCTTTTTTTTCTTTTTGGAAATTTTAATCCCTAAAGAGTATAGAGTACACAACTGACATATTAAGTGTATAGTATTGGTTTCCACGTGGCTGTGAAATCCCGATCGATATCACTATTTTTGTTCCATTTACCCACATTAGTGATTTTAAAATTAATCTCAATAATTTGATCTGAACAATTCAATTTAATATTTCCCACGAGTTATTTACTTTGTGAATTATCTATTTCCTATATTATTTAAAATACATTTTTGTGAAAATCTTTGAACTAATAGACATCTAGTACATACACGTACCTATTATATGATAAAAGTCAGTGCCTTAACCAGGATTTTTCAATAGGGGGCGGGGGGTCAAACTAAAATAACAAAAATATTTTTCAAAATATATAAATATGATGTAGGTAGTAGGTAGTAAAAATATATACTTGTTTGTTGAATTATTTTATTGGTAATAATTTTTTTATGTTGAATAGTTTACTTAGATATAATATTTTATTTTTTTTGTATTCAACACGGAAAATTATGAGAGAGGAGAGCTGATGCTCCGTTAGTATCACCCGGGTATATCAATAATAATAGTTTATAATATAACTATAATTAATTAATATGCATTAGTATGCCTCCACAGGCAAGGCTATAAATCCCATCGGAACAGAAAAGGGTGGTCACTACTCACGGGTGACCGGTGTTATATTTACTTGCATAATTGATAAAACGCTTATTTCTATATTTTTATATTAATTGTTTTATGCATAAGAAATAATACAACTTGTTTTTAAATTTATATTTATCTTTAATTATCATAATTTTATAATAGTATACCTTATATTATACATAAGTAACAAAAAAAAAAAAAAAAAAAACAACGAATCATCTCGTATCTTATAAAAACAAAAAAAAAAAAGCTAAATAATACTTATTATTCATAGTCTATTATAATTTTTCTTCAAGTAACTAATGACATTGTATTTCACATGCCGAACATATGCTAAGCCACTGTGTATATAGCCTCTACGTATAGAGTTCAGTGATACTAAGCCTGTGCTGGCGCATAAATTTTAACAACTGGAAGCGCACTGAGATATAACAGTTAAGCAAAACTATTAAAGGCGAGCGGTGGGCATTGGTTAAGCCCATATCAAATAGTTAAAAATATAATCTAGTTCGTAGTGTTTTATCTCGTTCCGGTCACGGGTGACCGGGCCTTGCCTACGGAGGGTTTTAAATATGATTATTATACATAAAAAAAAAAACAAATTGGCTGTATATTGTAATATGTTTTATAAGTGTTATGACGGATAAGATAGTAATATATTAACATTATGGCTATTAGATACACGTGTACTATTTAAAGTTTTTCTTATTTATAATTCACGAAAGATTGTATACAAATATAAAGCTTGTTAAAAATATGAAATATAATCCAAAGCGCTTCTTTTATTTTTATCTAATATCGAAAATTATTATTTTATTACGCATGTTTTCCTGTGAATCGTTGACGCATAAAATATACCGACGAGTACCTATGAGGTGTGTAGGTACACACCTAGATATCATACATTTAAAACAATATATAATTCTATAGTGACTTAATTATGAACACAAATATTGGAATACATTCCGTCATACGAATTCACGCAATGATGTGTACCTATAGAGAATGAAATTTTATTTTGACATTTTTAGTTCCGAAAAACATGTGATTAGATATAGCGGTGGTATACCCAATACAAAAAACTGCGACGCCCTACACGCCTTGTGTGCATGCATATGCTTATTTTATCGGTATTTCGAAAAACATATTACTATACTATACAGTACAAACTACTAAACAAAGCCAATATATGTCATCTTATCAAACATTTATGTATTGACTATCGGATTTATTGAACTTTTTAGGGAAACGGTAAAAAGGATGTTTGAAGGTCGGTGACGGAAAATCGATATAGTAAATGACCGTTGGAATCACGTCTCTCGACCAGCGCATGCTAAACGCATAACTAGTCAAACCAGTGTCTTATAAACTTTTAACAAAATATTAATTATTAATTAGATAAATTACAGGCAAACTCATGTAGGTTATTTTTTATGACTGTGAAAATATTACTTATATTACATTTTAAAATGTATATCAAACTTTCTGGTGATACACGTATTGATATATGTATAAATTAAAAGAGCTGATACTAGAGATGAGTATCCCAATATTATATACAGGAAGTTGGGAAGCTAGGCTATATATATATAGTTTTATAATATATATTTGTACGCAACCTTAAACTTAAACCATTGTGAATGAAAAACGATTATGAGAAAATTTCAGTTATGTATATGAACTTGAAATACAATATTTTTTACGATTTTAGTCAAAATTTGATCTTAAAACGCGTATAAAAAAACTGCTACCTAAATTAGACTCAACATATTTTTTGACCACTAAGTTAAACGTACAATGATCTCGTAACAAATTTTAAAACATTTTTGTTCGTCCAGACAAAATACTTCTGTTGGTTTTTGATTGTAGGAAGACTCTTGATAGAAATGTAGACAGACAGAAAAAAGTTTTTCGTTTCTCTAAGTTTTCCCATGTTTTTCCCGGTTTTTCACATTTGATGGAAAAACTCTTGAGAGAATCGAAAAGACCCTCTCTAAAGTACCTCTCCAGTCAGATTTCTTTTTAGAAAAAATTCTATCATTTTAAATCGGAGTAAAATTGTTGGTAGAGTATAAGTTGTCTATAGAAAAAAAAAAAATCATAATATTTGAATAATATATTTCGTAAATTTTTCCGTTTTTCTTCGTTTTTTTTTTTTTTTTGATTTTTCACATTTGATGAAAAAATTCCTGAGAAAATCTAAAAATGATCTCCCTGAAATGCCAATCCAAACAAATTTTCTTTCAGAAAAGAGTCTACATCGTATATACCGGAGTAAGCTTTCTGGTAGAAAAAGTGTTCACATAAAAAAAAAAACATCTTTGTAAAACCAATATACATTCTACGCTTCACTCAGGATCTAAAAAAAGCACACATTATAGCAAAAATCAATGCATTCATTGCTAAGCTCAAAATCTAAAAAAATGTATTTTGTCAATCAGACAAACGAGGAAGTCTCGTATTTGGTCAGTAATAATTATCGTTGTGTACTGTTAAAAATTTAATAAATTTATGAATCCCACCCTCCGATTTCCCACTAACAATAGTGGTCCACCGTACACATATCAAGGTATCAGCAGTATCAGCTCTTTTTTAAAAATCGAGTAATCTTCTTGTTTATCACCATTAAACGGGAAGATTTTCCGAAAATGCCGATTAAACGGTAAAATAAAATACTAAAAACAAGTTGAATAATAGATGTGAACAATGTTTGCACCTGCACCGGCACATTACAGGTGACCGTGCGATGCGTATTCATAATAAATATATTGATTATTAATAATGCATAGATACATGGTAAATATTATTTACCTATATTGTGTGTGTCAAAAACATTTTAGTTTATCCAGTTGGTTGTAAATCGAAATTATACAACAACTTTTGTCTCGACTTTTTTTTTCTCATGTATACCGTTTTTGACTTACCAATATTACTAATATTGTTTGTATATACCGAAAATGTATAACTTATAAGTCATATTATTTTATAATATAATATGTTAGGGTAGGTATATGAACTCATTACAATAGTATAAATTTCCAGTTTGTAGCTGCTGTCGTACATTTATTTTACTATCATCATTAAGTAATAAAAAAAAGTAAAAGTATATAGTAAAGCGAGAAATACTTTAACAGAATACATGGTTTTAAAACATAATATTTATTATAATTTATGTAAATATAAATATTACATTTTAAAAAGAAATTATGTTCTAATACAAAATTTAAAAAAATACATTTATAGAGACGTAATTTGTTTTTTATAATAAGATGTTATTTTTATAGATACTTATAGAGTCACTGAAATCATACATCACCCTACAATATGAGGTCAGTTAATTTATTTATCGTCAAATAGACGCTACTTCAAAAGTGGGACGATTACATTGTAGGCATACCGTTTATCGTGGTTTATGAAAATAAAGTGCACTAAATTCTGGTCGAATTAGTTATTCACTTGTACACTGTATATTGTCTATGAAATTGCCATACTGTACGTTCCGCTATATTTTTTGGACCCGTTTGGACTAAAAATACTTTTTTACAGCCCGTTTGGATCAGAACTTTCCTTATTTTAGTTAAACTGAACGTTTATTAAGTGAGCCTTTATATAGTAGATAGTATTTTATCTGTATTGCCTTATCGAGTTTTCGTAGTTTAACTGAATGTTTATTTAGCGTTTATTTTCAAACGGGTTAGCTAAATCCTGGTTCAAACGGGTTGCAGTTTTATTAGTGGCCCAAACATTCCTGGTCCAAACGTACTTCGCCCTATTTTTTGCGAGTAAAGATGTACCTAAATATATATTGTATAAATCGTGAAATATCAACCGGAATCAATGAGTTGTGTACGATTTCGAATGACGACGTTTGAGCAGGGCTTGGAGCCGAAAATAAAAAATACCGGTATTTTAACCGGAACCTTTTGGGAGTATTTGAACTTGAAGCTCACCGAAATCCTTTTTTAATTTTCTATGGAACCTAAATCGGAGTTGGAACCGATATTTGTTGAAAGAAAATTGTTTCGGTTAAAATTATAAAATATGAACAGTTACCAAAATAAAAATATATCTATAATAAACATTGTTATTCGCCCATCAGTTTGTAATACCTGTCTTGATTATTTCCTTATATTTTATAATTTTTAGTTTTGGTTGATGACGTCTGGCAATGTTGATGAATGGTGAGTAATAAAATGATTATTACAAACATTCAAAATAATACAAATAAATAATATAATAATTCAATTTGAATAATATATAATAATAATAGTATAAATTGTTATTAGATTGTGAGATGGACCAATAATTAGTATACTCGTATGATACACCTATTTATAATATATATATATATATACAGGCCCAGATATAGATAAAAAATTAGATTGCTAACTATACTGATAAGACGTGAAGTCTTTTAAATAAATCAAATGGATTAAAATTAGCACCCATTAAAACGGAGATATATATATGGTTAAGTAAATTCAGTATTGGATATTATCTATACTTGTGTTAAAACGATTGTAATAAATTTAACACAACGTTACACGAAAAACCACTAATATTGAATATAATTCTGTGGCTTGGTGCAAGAAAGGCCAATGTCACATTTTGTGATTGTTGGGAAATGGGCTTTGAAATTTTAATTTCCCATAAAGCTCTGTGTATTTTTTTTACTGTAAATGTTTGTGTGATTTTCAATTTTTACAAACATTTAAATACATGTCGATTATTATAAACACGTTAAAATATTAGACAACACATTTTAACATAACATATATTTTTTTTTTGTCAAATATAGGTTAGTAAATTAGTTTTAATTTTGGTTATTCCATCCATAAAATATCAGATTGCTGATAAAGCAATTCGTCTGATCACTTCCCCTCCAATGGATTGGTCAGCAGCTGAGTTTAGGAACAGTTAAATCTAGCGGCTGACCAATTTGCTGAATTTAGAAATACACGGATCCGTATGGTTAAATATCATATACAGCCATGAATCGAACCATAGAATATTCTATGGTCGAACCACTAAAACGAAATGATAACAATAGAAACCTTGCTCGATTCGATCATAGATAAAAAAAAAAATGTTAATATCTATGAATTTAACCATGTTATCATTTTATTTTTAATTACTTCAAAAAAACAAAATTTCAAAATAATTGAAAAACACTAAACACAAATAACAATGCATGCATATAATTATACGGCCCATGGGGGGGGGGTGGGTGAATGCCTCCCCCTCACAGGTATGTAAGTAGTTTTGATCATTACGTGGTAGAATCTTTTCTAAAAGTAAATTTTGTCAAGTTCATGCATTGATTAGGTTTTATTCTTTATTTTCTTTACGGTTTTCTAAATAAAGAAGGAAAACCGTAAAAAAATCCAAAAACGGGGAAGTCTAAGCAATAACGATTTTCGTTATTTTCGATTTTCGTAATTTTGATATTTTAAAAAAAAAAGTAGAAATCTGCAATTTTTACAAAGTACTTAATAGCCCTTTCTAGATGTTGCTAAATTGTCTAAACAATCTGATGAGTTTTGAGCTATTGATAGCTATTTGAAATTTTCGAAATTTTGGTAAATCATTTTTGATTTTATGTGTGTACAACTATTTAGACCTAGTAAAAATGCTCGAAAATACTCCACGAGGTTTTTCATAAGCTATACTTAATGGTTTTTTTTTTTTAATTTTGTAAATAAACGTAACGTGTGCAAACAAATAAAATGTACTCATTTAATATTAATGTCATTCGTATGTGGGTTGATAAGGTCATTTAAAACTAGCACAGCTACTATTTTAATATTTAACGACCAACTATTGTTTTACATAATATTCGTTCTGTAACAAAATAGTATTGCAAATTCGTTCAATGTTTTTAGCTTATTATACCATAATTATGCCTGCGACATTATTTAATAAGATAAAATAATAAAATATTGTACTATAGTATAATTATACAAATATATATCAGTAATCATAATACATATCTTTTAGCAATTTTTATTTGAAGCAAGGTTTCTGACAGAAAGCATGTATCATAAATGTTTTAATTAATGAAATCGGTAACACCGTGACGTGTCGTAAGTATTTATGTGTTTTGCCTATAATTTTGTTTCCGGTTTTTCCTAATTATTATGAAAACTCCTTGGAGAACCAACTAAACAAATTAGATCAAAAATGAAATAACAAATGTCTCTTAGCATTTTTTAATTGAGGCAAGATTTTTGATAGAAAAATTGTTTCTAGACAGAAAAAAAAACTCATCATAGTAAAATCAATACATTCCAAACCCCTCTTAACATTTAAAATATGATTATTAATTTAAACAATTAAAATAACAACTATTGGCAGGGTTTTAAATTAATTTTATGAAATGCGGATGTTAGTATCGTGTCTATATATCTACGTAACGAAATATAGTTTTTTTGTTATGCAAATTATGTCACACTCTTTTAACTGGTTTCCATTATGGACAGGGCAATTATGTCGGTGTCATGATTGTGAATGTAAACATTGCAAGCTTTTTGTCACAAAAATGTATATTTTTTTTTAATTCGTCGGTATAATAATATTCCCCAAAACCAAATTAATAATTATCCTATAAACTCGCTGTGGATTTGATCTGAGATTTGGTTGTTACACTCCGTCATAACCTTATACTAGTCAAGCACATTAAGGTGTTATGTTTTCGGGAGTGTAAACTTTTAAGATTTATCCTTCACACTTGTTAACTCTTATGATTTCTAGCTATGGCCATTCCTCAAAGCACCATATACTAGTATTTCATTTCTGTATTCACTCGTTCACATGACCCTTTCCACGGATATTATACTCTCCTCCCAACTTTATTGATAATTCCTCTATTATCCGGCTAGGTTAGGTTAGGATACACTGCTGATTACGACTAATTTTAGTCGTTCACTGTACCTTTATTCATTGTAACATTTTGTATTTTAGCTCGTCTATAGTTCATAGTAAATAGTACACAATAGTAGTACGTTTTTACCCTCTTTTAGCTATACGAAATAAAATAAATCATGAGAAATTTGGTTGGTATTATTTCGTTTGCATTTCTGTTGTGAATGAATTGTTATAAATTATTGTGTTCAAAATTGAGTAGGCGCAGTTGCGTAAATAACTGTTTAAACTGTAATAGCACAATATTATGGGCCTATAACAATACTACTGATAACCACAACGGAAAATATTGAATAGAAACTTCAAACTACATACAACCGTTGGTGTTCTTCCAAAGAAAACTTAGAATGTCTGCGGATATACACTTCAGTGCGGCGACCTGTTGCCGATCGAGTCGTACTTTGAGACCTTTCACTTTCATCCTACACATTCGCTCCTCTTGGGTGTACTAATAGCTCCTTTCTCCACAAATATACATTCATTATATTACTGTTGTTATTATTACCATTTTTACCGTGTACCAGCAGGACGACGACAGTGTTTACACATAATTAATTTTTTAAGTCTGTTCAGTGTATATCATCAGTCTTCACTTACATTTTTTCCGGTAATTTTTAATCGAAGTTTTAGACTTTCTGAATATACTACGCCACCATGCATACTTAAGCGTTACCACATGACACAAGACGAAATGTATTACGTTGGATATGTTTGTATACATGGTGAAGATAAATATTTATTAAATTTTTTGAGTAGGTATAATCTGGCGTGGATCTAGAATTATATTTTATTTCATTTAGAAAATTAGTTATGAACTCACTCGATCTTTTATTAATTTTACGTATAGATTTCTTGCTTGTTGTGTTATTATAAATTGTTACCTGTAACGAACCGATAGGTATACACGTATAACTATTGGTTAATATAGTAATAATTAGTGAGGAGGGAGACAAAAATTGGAAAGTTATCCTCGAAAAATCATGAAATTTAATTTGCCCTGGTGTGTCGTGTCTGGTTCGATCATATAGACATCTGTGAACGCCGCTCACGTGCATATCCATACATAATATAGAAAGTCGTGTGCCTGCGATCTCCGCGAATGAATTGCTAAAACTTGTTTTTGGAAAGTTCTTCACCTGATGACGATAACTACAATTGTGAGACAAATTTAGGTATTTGTAGGTAAAAAAAAAAAAAAAAAACGAGGACCCCATCAAAAAAACGGACTGGTCAGGATCTCGGAGGCGATCGCTTCCAAATCATTTCGTCTGGGTCAATATTAGGGTGATAGGTTAATCAAACGTATATTATTAACTGTATTTGGTTTCATTGATTTCATTTAATATGTATCGATTGCATAAGGTTTTCGAATTTAAGCAGGTAATCAGATAATGTAAGTAATCATTATGATATAATAAAACCGAGTATACTTTGCGGTTCGCACTATAGGTAGATCTATACTGCTGCAGATGGGACATTTAAGAAGTATATATTGCAGGATAATATAGTTTGTATATTGCAATCAAAAATCGATTTTAAGTGAAACTCGGTTAATTGGTTAGGTAGACTTATATGATATAGAGGTATATAATAAATCATGTTTGACGAAGTTTAATCTTGATTGGTTTCGGTGTCGACCAAATTTAAACGATTGCGATTATTTTAGATTGAAATCGTTTATACAAAAATTAATTTCATAAAACCATTCATATAGCAAATGCACATGAAGTAAAAACCACGTGATTTGATAAATATTAAATAAGACAATTTTGAATCAACTAATTTTAAAACCAATTTTTAATTGTTTTTTTTTTCTGCAAGTTTTTGTATATTTCAATATATATTTTGGAAAAGTGGCAGTTTTAGATTCTATAGATATACAGCAACAAATAAAAAAATTTAATTTTACCAGATAAATTGACCGGTTGATAAAAAATATAGTTTGACTGAACAATACTAATAAAAATCAAAAAATGCTAAATTCCTTTTTACTATTTTTGTACGAAAATATATAAAATGAGTAATTCGTTATCTGGGTTTTAACACTATACATTATCAGACAATATAGTATTATTGTCTGATAATAACATATAATAATATTAGTACTTGATATAGTTTGCTATATACAAATCTTGTTAGTGTGTAAAAATCATAAAATAAAATTTCATATTTGAATTTTAGATTCAATGGTTGTCTAAAAATGTTCTAACAAAATTAAGACAATTAATTAAAAATCAAAAATTGCGAAATTAAATTTCTTATTCTCGTTCACAAATATACGAAATAAATTTGTAATAAAACAGCATAGCATGAGTGCAGAAAACAAAGCAAACTGCATTGAAATCCTGCAACTTTATCTTAAGAGAGCGTGATAGCCGTATGTGCTGTCTCTGTCTTACAAACTTACAACACGACAAATTTGCGTTCAGCAGTGACAATTTTTTGAAATCAAACCAGTTGTATTTACACACAACCTATGTAACATTCCGAGGTTTGTTTTGTTAGTTTTCTATGTATTTATTTATTTGTATTAGATTTTTATACTTTTTTACAATTTTTGTTTTCTTGTATGCAATATTAAATTATTATTATCATTATTACTGTTGTATGCGATTGATAATACACTCAAACAACTAAACAACTAAATTACGAATACAGTGACTACACTACTATTTTAAGACATAAACTTTACTTATTTTCTTCCCACCTCGTCTTTATTAATACTATAATGTAGCGTCTTTCAAATTGTGCACCTCGGTGCGGTGCTGTAAAAAAATAATGTTCGATAGTTATTTTGTCGTATGTGTTTAAAAGACCGATGTGAACAACTTACGATGTGGCACTAATGCCGGCGATCAGACCTAAGTGGTTTTCCGCCGGAAACGACAATTACATGAAGTATCATCTGTTGTTCGCCCGAATCATTCGCTCGGCCGACCCATCGGGGTCTCCTCTCCTCATACACATTGTAATGTTTTTTATTCATTAATTATTTGGTTAGTTTTACAGCCATATTATTATTATTGTTATTATTATTTTATAATTTGTCGTGTTCACGTCATAGCCCAGCGGACTCTTAATACTTAAATAGATGGCTATGTAGCATTTGAGTATATTACTTTCCATCAGTGTACATTAGCTGCACACAGAATAAACCTTAAATATAACGTTATATGAACTGGAATTCAGTACGATCTAAAAATAAAATCTATAGTCACATAAACCTAGTTTTTCGGGATACATCGAAGCCTTACTGCGTAAAAAATATATTATTATAAATGCAGTTATAGGTACTATAATATCTAATCTGTATCTAATATTAGTGGCATATTTACAAGGGGTAATAGGTTTCTACCCATTCATCTTCCTAGTGCACACACATATACATCACTGTTTAAAATGTAACGGAAAAGCGTTTCTTATAATACATAAAAGAAAATATATATATATATATTATAAGTTTTTGATTGGAGTATATTTTATGGTAGAAATATTATTACATAATAAAAAAAGTAAAAAAAATACATTAAAGTCAATATACTTTTCGTTTCATTCTATATTTCAATTTAAAAAAATATTTTTAATGAATCATTTCGTAACAGTCAACGTATGTACAGATTAGATACTAGTTATCTATTATTATTATTAATATCATACGCGATACAGGAAATTTGGACAACTGTTCAACGCAAACACATATTATAATGAAAATGACGCATTTGAAAAACACACGAAAAACTTGAATCGTTAGCTTCATAATACTATATAGGATATAGCGTTCGTTGCATTTGTTAAACCTTAAATGTTGGCATAAAAATATTTGGAGATCTAAAATGTCTGGAGAATCAAAAATTGAAATAATATAGATTTATTTGACCAGAGGAACAGAGTGACTTTACTGATTATAATACCTATTATGATCTTATGAGAAGCTTTCAATAAATTATACAATTTTATTCTTGAAAAATTATAATTTATTACTAGCTATTTATAGTGTTTTATTTAAGCACCTACATTTTAGAACCTACTAAAAACTATATTGCAATAGTGTTTCATTCAGAACTACCGACAGAATAAATAAAGTCAAATTATTAAGTGTAAAGTTATCTAATTTTCTATTTGCTATAACTATTTTAGCATTTAGGTATCTAAAAACAATGCATTTTTATTCTGCACATAGTACTTATTATTAAATGTAGGAACGCGTCACTTGACGTAGATTTATAGTACCGATGAAACCATACAATCAAATAAATCAAACATTTAACAACATGTAATAGTAAACAGTACATAGGTATTAAAATAATAATTCGTACTCACAGCAAACAAAAAGTTGATGAAGAATAGTATATATTTGATTGTGGATGTTCCTAGACCCATTTTGAAGCGGTCTTATACCAAACTTCGGGAAATTAATTCACAACCAAATCAATATTTTATGGATGCAAAAATGAAAGGTGAAGAAATCGCGGAAAACATAAAATATAACGCACAAAATAACACAATTTGACGTAGGAATTAATATTATATTGCGGACGGAGAATTATTATTACGTAGTGTTCTATTAGAGAGCGACTGAAACAAACTATGTGTTAACTGTATCGTATATTCGTATCGGCAAGACGTAACTACGTAAGCGAATGGTTTGCACGCGTTTGTTTTGGTTTTCGGTTCATATAGGAGTGGGATTGTTGGGTGTCGGGCCAAAATTGTCAAGCGGCGCCATCTGACAACCATTTCATGGCCGATAGTAAACTATATATTATTATATATTGCGTAAAGGTGTAACAACATTAGTTTTATGTATTAATATTCAAGTATTTTGTGTAATATACAGTAAGTTTATGTCGAATACACTTATATTATCATATCCCACACAGAAATTTTGAATCATTCCGCGATTGTACAAATATTTAAATTTAAATATTACAAATTGACAGTTAATACAACTTTAAATATACAGGGTGATCAATTTACCGTAAGACACTCATTATCTCGGAAAGTATTAATTTTTTTCGAAATACGTTTTATAGAACATTTAAGAAATAAGCAGCTACACATTTTTTTATGTATGCTATTTTTTCATCACCTATATTTTTGACGGTTAAACCACTACCTACTTTTGATTTTCAAATGGCAACCTATATTAAATAATAGTAGGTTGGCATAATATACAATATATGTAGTTAATGCTAAAATTCATATTTTAAGTACACCATATTAACCGTGGCGTAATTACGGAGGAGGGATTTGAGTGTCGTATCCCAACTATGGCTTTTTTTAAACCATCAAATACATTTGTATACTAATTTTACTATAAATATTATTATTTAATATTTACAGCTATCTACTATAGTATATTTTATAGAAATACCTAAAAAAAATAATCTGGATTCTTATGTCTAATTTGTAACTATTGTACAAAATGTAAATCGATTGCATTAGTTATATTGGAGATGAAGAATTGAAAAACACGTGAGTTGTGATAGTGTTCTGAAATTGATCTGAAAAAATACCAAATGCCAGGACTCGAGACATTAGATATTTATAATAAAAAGATCTACTCCAATATGCATTTTATCCCAAAAGTACTATGCACTTTACTAGTGTCAACTTTATACTTAAATATATGCTTTAAATTCTGAAAAAAGTGAAAAAAAAAATTAAGAAACAGCGTCTGAGGCCTGAACCTTAATTAAAATATATTCTTAGAAGTACTTAATGAATAAAACTAAAGTCACATAGAGTGGATCTTTTATTGTGATTTGTGATGAAAGTGTATCTAAGTATCAATAAAGTTGAAGTTTAAACAAAATGTAAATATTTGAATATTATGGTAATTTTTATTTTAATCTATACAGATCACAAAGGTTGTACACTTGTATTGAGAAGTGTTTATACGACAAAAACCAATTTTTTTTTGGGAGGGGGGAATAGGTAAATTATAGACATTTCATTTCTTCCGCCCTCGAAAACATGATACAATTTACGCTACATTAATAAAATGTTATGTATACAAATTATTTTAATAATAAAACTGATTTACTGTGAATAGTCAAAAATAGTAAAGATAAGTTCATTGATTAAATTGAGGGATTGTCGATGGTATAATATAAAAAATGTTATGGGTACCTACATATAAATGGTTCTTGATTATTTATGAATGTCATTACGCTAACGTATGAACTATTTTACTTTCATGGATATTGTGTTTCGTTTATTCGTGGTTTAGGCGTTAAGTGTTTTAAGAATGGTTAGGTTAAGTTCCGTAGTTCGATTCCTATTGTACCATCGGAACCGACCACCATAGTAGTGTATTCCGGAATGTGGCCGCACTAATCTTTTTTTTCTTATACTTTTGGTCATTCTTTCAGAATTAAATATATTTCCTGGGGGTTATCTGTATTTAAATATCCGGAATTTAACAAACTAACTAAGGACACTCCAGATAGGTCCGGAATTTAAAAGTTTCTAAAAAAACTTCCAATAAAGAGTTACTAAGTTCAAAAAGGCTGTTCCAAACCATTTCTGGGTGTAGCTATGTAAGTTTTAAGCATGCGATATTAGTCATAGGGTAAAACAACATATTTAGATTCTGAGTATAACAAAAAAGCTAATAGTTTTACAAAGATGTGTGTTTTTCTTGGAAAACACTTTTACTGTTAGTAAAAATACTCGGATTTTTTCACATAATTTCTCGAAAGATGCGTAATTTCAGGTAAGGTATATTTTAAATAAAACTCTCATCGAAATTTTAGTAGTTTACCTTCAAGGTCCTTTATATTTTCATTTTTCTGGTTATTTTAGGTTATATTGGCAACAAGAGAAACCAACTTGACTAATACTACTCCACCCAGAATCTTTTTTCATTTGTATATAGTTTATAAATTATATTACTTTGTATTTTTTTTTTCAAATTTAGTTACATATTATATTATATAATATTACAGCAAGCTAACCTATTATTTTTTCTGGTTTCTATAACAATACAAGTTGTCGTTGATTTTTTATCAGTTTCGATAATCAAGTGTAAATACTTAATACATATTATTGAAATATTTTATAATTAGTTTACTAATTTGTGACAATTGAAAATGTATATCGAATATAAGATTAAGTAATTAGATTAAAAATTATACACCTCAATAAAATAATTTTGGTTTTGATTTTGATTTTATGAAATGAGTAGTGACGGGAATGAACGTCCCAAAAGGGAAAACCGGACAATGAGAACGTAAATATTTTTATAAATTAAATTTTAGTTTTAAATATTTATTTATGAACGTATTAAATTGTAGTTATAGCTTAGAAGAATATAAGAAAAATAATTATCCATTTTTTTCAAAAAATCGAAAGCTCATAGAAAAACGTTTACACATTATTAATCCTACGATCATAAAATGTATAGAAATTACTAGGCACCAAGTTCCCAACACTCTTATCAATTCTGAAACATATAAGTAATATTTATCTTTAGTAATTATTATAACAGAGAGACCTAATATTGCATTGCAACGTCATATTTTAGTTTCAACGAATCTTCTCAAGAACTAAATAAACTAATGGTTATCATTGAAGAAGGCATTCAAAAACAAAATTTAGATATACTTAATGATTGGTATACAAATATCGTATCGATAATAACCAATAAAGGAGAAATAAAAAACGTAACACCAAAGGCACTTCCGGAGTTTATTAAATGTGTTACACGTATGATTAGCCTAGAAGTATGTCTTCTATATAAATATTTTAATTTAAAACATTTTTCGTTTTCGTATCTACTTCAAAATTCTTTCTAAGTCGTGTCATTTACGCGACTGATTATGTAATATTTTACATATCTTTAATATATATTTTTCGTTTTCTTAAGATACAAATATATATTTTTATTTTAAATCCAATATGTAACTGTAAGTAATGACGTTTTGTTTATTCATTTTTAGATGAAATATATGATTTTTAGATCTATAGATCATATGTTGAATGTCTTGGGCGATCCAGTGAAGGTACCTAAGATCAGTTTTAAATTACTTTTTGAGGGAACAAAACTTGTTTGCACACCAAGCGTGAATGAGTTATCAGATAACTACTTTTCAATTTTAAAATTAGTGAGTATTATACGATAGTTATTTTATTTGTTGTATATAAATATTTTATAGCTAGAAATACGTGAAACTATGTCTATAGTATAGTCAAATTCTAATAAATAATCAGTGCCAGCCTTAGTGGAGGGGGGGGGAAATAGATCTGCCGCACTAAGCCCCGCAAATTAAATATTTCGATTTACATTTTATCTATAAATAATTATAATAATATTGTCCTAATAGTACGCAAATCGCAACCCGTGTAGCCGTGTGATTTTCTTAGGACATGGGTTGTTATCGATGAAAATCAAGATGGTATCAATTATACATAGCTAAACACATTGTTATTGGCTTGAAAACACTCAAACATAGTTTATTAGCATTAAATATAATATTGTCGATTTTTTGAGCTACAATGAGAAAATTCACCTGTTCGCATCAAAAAAGCACAAAAAATGTTTAAGTTATAATATATATTATCAGTTGTATTACAATAATGTAAGCGTCTTTTTTTGTTTATAGTAAAAGTATACTTTATCGTGTTCGATAAAATAAAAATATTAATTAATAAAATATTGTTTGTACCTAAGTAGGAACCTACTCATTGTGTGTCTAATATAAAAATACAAATTTTATCTTTTTAGTTTATATAATCTACATAGGTACCTATAAATTTAGATTTCTAAAAAGACCTTAAAGTTTGTTAGAAAATTAAATAAATAAATATTTATGGAGACTCGAAAAATTCTGCACCAGACCCGGAAATCTATCGGGCCGACACTGCAACTAATAAATGTTATTTAATAACTAAAAACATACGATACCTATATTTAATATTGTGTTAATCAACGAATAAAATAATATGGAAAATTAGTAATGTATTATTATAAATTTATATAGCTGAACGGTGCAGTTAGAGAACTACCTTCATTGGAACACTACTTCCGTTTAAAAGAAAATTCACAATACATTAATATTGATCATGATGACAAATATTTGTATACTAAACAAAGCAAACTGATCGAAAACGTAAATTTAATAAATAGAAGTTTGACGGAGTATGTAAAAGATAAAGGTTAGTATAATACGACTATTATAATATAATGATATTAATTATCTAATCGTTTGTATGATTTCCAGAAAATGAATTTAGTTATATATTAACATTAACACAAACTGATGCATTGTTCAAATATTTAGAAACAGATCATAAATACGAGGAATATCTAGAAATGTTAAATGTGTTACTAAGTTATAAAATTAAGTCTACAAAACTAGTAGATTGTCGGAAATTTGAGCTAGGAAGGTTAGAATTGTTAGGTGCACCTATAATATTTAGTGGAATAAATGTTTATATTATATCGTTTATTATTATTATAGTATTGATCAGATTGAGTTTAAAAAACAAATCTTTGACCTGTCTAAAAGTTGTATGGATAAGATCATCGAATACACTGTTATCAAGCAATTTGATGACCATGAAATGTGAGTGACTTGTAATAATATGATTTTTTTAAACACATGCAACTTCGTTGGGTAGCGTTTTTAGTGCACTCACAATGTACGGGGACAGTTTTCATAATTTCACTTTACCGCCCAGTGTTGACTGTGCCAAAATAAATAATAGACAAATTATCATTTTATGCTATTACCTAGATACCCATACAGCACAGGGATTACACTATAATGATTAATAACTTTTTTTTATTACCAAAGTAACCCATAAATCAACAAAAATAATTAGATTTTGTACTAAAAATATCTAAAAATCAAATTTGAGAGTATGGTATTTAATAGGGGGTTAGATTTCAATAGATATAAACTTTCTCCAGATAACGCGGAACATTTTTCAAAAAACCGTGTAAAAATCACTCCAGTAGTTTTCGAATTTATTAATTTTATATAGAGAGACAGACATCCACTTTTTGTATATTATATATTAAGTAGATTAGATATTATTCATTGCGAAACATTTAATTGTACAATTTCCTCAGGGTAAACAACAAATTTAACGAATGTGTAAAACGAGCTTTTACTATACCAAAAAATACTGAAGAATTCTTAGCTCTGGGTGAATACATGGCATACGCCAGTAGCACGTTTTTTATGGAAATGCTTGCGACGGTTAAATACTTGTCGGCAGTTGCATGCGACATATCTCGATATGGTGTTCTACCTCAGAAATTATGGCAAATGCTAGGAACTAGTATCGAATGGATACAAAATGTATCGTTCGTTTTTTTAAAATATTCTACCATATATGAATCTGGACAGTTGGATGCTGAAGAAAAGCTGCTCAATATGACCATTAGATTAAACCGCGATTTAGATACCTTTCCAACTACATTCGAGTGTTTGGACTATATTGACGACATTGACAAACTCGACGAATATAGATTTGTAATGTGGACAATATATTTTGTTTCTGATGCGTTGTAATGTTTGGTTTATTTAAACTATTTGTTTCTTTGCAGTACATTAATACATTTCGAAAACAAATTGAAAAATTTGAGAAGACCGTTGTTTGGATTAACAAAGAAGAAAAGTTGTTCAATAAAAAAATTAGTGTATTTAAGGAACTCGATGAAATTAAAGTATATTAATACATTTGCTTCGTAAAATTATTTTATAATTTTATCTTAATTAATATAGTAGTTGAAATCCAACCAAAAGAGTTTTGTTATATCACATTACGTATATCCATACAGATACAGGATTCTTTAGAATTTAATAATTCTTAGTGGCGTAAAAAATAAACGTAATAAACACTTTTTTCACTGGTTTTGTTTTAAACTTCTACGTATCTAAATTATGTGCAACCCAGCATTATGTATTCATTAAATATTATCCAAAACTAAAAATAACCTATATCTAATACACAATTTGCTGTAAAATTCTATCATACAACAATGGATCATATTATTTTTTACCAAGATAGTTAAGTATAGTTATTAAGTATTTAAGTCCCTAACAGTAATTTATAATAATAATAGTCAATGTTTGTGTGTGTGGGTGTGTGCTTGTTAATGTATTGGTGAGGGTGAGGAGATACAGGAACGCTACAAAATTTGGAAAATAATTATTTGAAAAGACACAATTTGGAAAAAGCAAAACTCAAGAGGTGAGGTAGAATCACATTTTTCTGAAATGTATTTTGCTTTGATAAATAATTGATTATGATCATCCAATTTGCAAATTTAAACCATCCAAAAGTTAGGTCTAAGTACGCCATTATTCTAATCATATAACATACGATGACATAAATCATATTCGACAAGAGTTTAAATTTACAATTATTTTAACCAATTATAGGCAATTTAATTCTCCCTTTTTTTAAACTCTTATCACTTAAAACTGTGAAAATGATGATGAGGTAATTTTTTGCCGGAATTGCAAAATAACGTTTATACCTCTCTAAAAGATTTTATAATTTTAAATCTTTACGCATTATGTTTTCTACCAAAAATATTGCTCAAATAAAAAAATGACTAAAGACTTTTTTTGTTGAATTTTGAATCTCTTGATGTGTATAAAATTCGTCTTTTTTAGTGTAGTTTTCTTAATAGTTGTGCAACACCGGGAAAAAAGTAAAAATAAAGGACAAGTTAACAGAAATAATGGTTCCATTATTTTTAATTTTTTTTTTTTGTAATTTAATTCAAAATATATTTTCTAGATGTGGTAAAATTTTGTGGAAAGTTGAGTGTAATAAATTTTTTGTGATTCGTAGCGTATAGTGATAGTATTTTTTACGATTTCATAATTTTAAATAATTTATTCATTTTAAATCAAAAAATAGCCTCCTAAAAAAACCATCTGTACAATATTTTCTTTCAGAGATGGTGCCGCGCATAAATATCGGAGCAAGATTTCTGATAGAATTTTCGTACACATGGGTTCACATTTTGCCATTTTTATTTGAAAGCATAATTATTTATTTTCTCTAATTTTTACTATTTGTAGTTTAACATTTAAAACAAGTCCCCAAATGAATAAAAGTCGTACAAAAAAGCCATGGGTCACGTGGTGTGCCCACGGCACACTCGGAACACCCTGTGAGCACGCCTATGTATGTATCCCTTTGCACGAAATCCAATTGAAAAAAAAACATGAATATTGATAGAGTTATTAGCATAATGATAACATTATAGGACATTTACATTACAAATTCCAGCAGATGGAGTTTTAGTTTAAAAACGTGATTAACTTCTTTGGACCCGTTGACGAGATGTTCCATTTTGAAGTTTTAAGGAGGGGGAGAGTAATAAGTCATAATTTGTGTGACAGCGCGGTCTTTCAATAGAGCTCCACTAATCTGTCCTCACTTAATAATATAAAATATAATGCTAATATGTCAACATTTTGTGTTACAGGATTTCACAACGCCGTTCTTCGATCTAATCGAATTTTCATATCATTGGCAATTAAGAAAAAATTGTGCTTGGATGCGTGGTGATTTTGACGTTCTTAGTTTACCTGAAATTGAGCTTGAATTCGATGAATTTTACAAGTAACTTTCTAATAAATATTAAGTTATAAATTATTATGTTTGCTAACAACTAAATAACTTTAAACTGCTTTAAAGGGAAGGGATACAAATTCAAAAAAAGTTGAAAGTTAAATGTAAAGACATGCTAGCTGGAGAAGATAACCTTGTATATAATGGTATAGTTGATGATTTGAACCCAGATCGTTGGCCAGCACCTTTGAAGATAATTCAGCAAACAATAAATAGCATGAACGAATTTAGGGTACTTAAACTTTTATTTTATAGATTGTTATAAATAATTAATCTCTAGAAGAGTAAAAGATTATAATGTGTTTTTTTTTTTATATATAAAACGTATATTGGTTTATTTTAGAAATTCATGCCAATAATCGGAACTTTGTGTAACCCAGCTTTGACTGCTAGACATTGGGCAGATATGTCTGAACTAGTAGGATTCGATTTAACACCTAACGCCGGAACTACACTTACAAAAATTATCGATTTACAATTAGATGAACAACTCCCTCTGTAAGTAAAGTATTCAGTCATCTACGACCAACATAAATGGTTTAGAGAGCCATTAAGGTCCAACGTTGCTAGCATAAACCTTTTTCCATCCTTCTCTATTGTATATCATGTTTATGTGCATTCCTTTTTGTAATGTTTTTAGGTCCTTCATGATAGAGTCCTTCCATCTTATTCTAAATCATTTCTGTTTCCATTATTTGTTTAATAATTTGGTCCCCTACCACCCATTCGATAGTCATTCGATTCTTTTACTTCTTGTTTATGAGAAAATATTTGGTTTTATCCATTAGGAATGAATTTCAAACAAGTTTAATTGATAAAGATTATATGTTTCCAATCAAAATAACGTATCCATCAATCACTATTTTTTGATAGCCCAGTCAGTGGCCTAATTACTATTACTAAATCGTACCACGAAAATTTTCAAAATATAAATGTTATAACACAAATAAAATACAGTGGCGTGTTTGAGGGGAGGCGATTCACCCATTGCCACCCGAATTTTTGGCTGTAATTTTTCAGTCACAGCTTTAGGCTATTGAAAATGAAATAGTATAGTATTTATAACCGTGTTATTTATTATTCCTTAAGTATTTTTATCAGCGTTACCAAAAAGTAGTGATAATGATATAACTAGTGCAATTTTTTGTCTATAATACATATAGGGATATCGATGTGGATGTCCAAACAGTAGTCTCCAAAGATTGGTTTATAGGAGAAAAAAGATTAAAATTGGTGTAAATATTTTTGTGTATAATTGTTCGATATGATTATATAATGTATATTATATTATGGCCGTTATGGGTAAACGCCGAAATCATGCAAATTTTAGAAATGCCCAGATAAAACGTGAATGTCTACGATTACGCCTATAAATATAAATTTTTCACATTTATGAAATTTGTCCGATTTTAGCTTTAGATCTTAACATATTATGTATTATATATACATTTTTTTTTTTTTTTTGTTTATGATTAATTATAGTTTATAACTAATTTTTGTTTTTATTGCCAAAGAGAGGAATTATAAAAATAAATAAATGATAACTATTGCTTTTTTTGGGACGAGGATACTCCTCGCGATATTTTATGGTGTAATTTACTATACAGAAGTTCAATCATCGATAAGACACTCATTAACTTGAAAATTATTAACTATTTCGAATTTTTGTTTTTTTAAAATTAAGAAACAAGCGCTTAAATTTAAGTACTTAAATGTTAAATTACTGTTATTTGTGGTTTTTTTTATTTTTGGAGGCGTAACCACTACTCACTTTTAATTTTCAAATAGCAACTTATATAAAACAAATACCATAAATACATGAAGTTTTAGTTCAAATACATTTTAATCTTGGAATTTTAAATTAAATATAAATATTACATTTTCACTTATGCAGGCGGAATTCAATCTGCTCATAAAACATTTCTAATTCCTGGGGTTATGCTCATATGGTCTCGAGGGTGTCATTAAAAGTATTCAAAAGAAGCGGGTAAAAATAATATTATACAGTATAATACAGCATAGTGTTAGGCATAATATAGTGCAATAGTATCTATTTCGGGAAAATTTGACCTAAAATAATTATCTATAATTTAAGTTGAAATTAGAAAATAATTATTTATAGTTTTGAAGCCATTAGTTTTGGTGCGACAAAGGAAAAACAAATCCAACAGATATTAATTAATATGAAAAATGATTGGGAAACGGTAAAATTATCGACCAGCCCTTACAAGTATGATTAATAAAACATTATTTAAATCATTTTGCTTAATTGAATATACATTTTTTTTTTTTTAAGGAACACAGGTTTGAATATTCTTTCAGGTTTGGACGATATACAAGCAATACTTGATGATCATATGATTAAAACAATATCGATTCGTGGATCAGCGTTTGTTAAGCCTGTAGAAGCTGAAGTAAAAGAGTGGTTTGAATTGGTGAATCGTATGAATAAAACCCTCGAAGAGTGGTTAAATGTGCAGATACAGTGGCTTTATCTTATGCCAATATTCAGTTCAAAAGATATAGTCTCACAAATGCCTGAAGAAGGGGCTTTGTTTAATGTAAATCATAGGTAAAAATAACAAAGTGACGTTACTTACTAAACTTATCTCTAATTTTCAGACAATTAATGGCACCATCAAAGGATTATTGAGTATGGTAGATTTGGATCCGTTAGCAATTAAATGCTTAGGCCAAGATGGCGTTTTAGATTCATTGATTGAATGTAGCAAAATGATGGAAAATATTAACGCGGGAGTTAATAATTATTTGGAAAAAAAGCGTTTATTCTTTGCCAGGTGAAAACAAATATACACATATAATATTGATCTATACACTTATATAATTATAATGAAACAATACTTTAAACAATTTTAGATTTTTCTTTCTTTCAAATGATGAAATGTTAGAAATTTTATCAGAAACTAAAGACCCCAAAAGAGTTCAACCTCATCTGAGAAAATGTTTTGAAGGAATTTCCAAGCTCGAGTTTAATAATAATTTAGATATATTAAAAATGTGTAGTGCCGAAGGTGAACAAATTACTCTAGAACAATATATTTCGACTGTACAAGCCAAAGGAAGCGTAGAAAAATGGTTATTACAGGTAAACTATTGAGGAAATATTATGATTAGAATATTTGAATTGATATAACTATTTTTTCATAATTTTTCATAGTTAGAAGAACAAATGGTTATATCTATAAGAAAAAGTATCGAAAATAGTTTTAATGAATATCAGGAAATAAAACGAAATTTGTGGGTACAAAAATGGCCAGGTCAAAGTGTTTTGTGTGTTAGCCAAATATTTTGGACTTCTGAAGTTCATCATGTATTTGTGACAACTGGACAAATGCGAAGTTACCATACATTTTTGACTGTATATTTCTGTGAACTTATTATACTTTGTCCATATTTTTTGTACAATTTAAATTATTTCAGAACCAATTGAATGATATTGTTGATTTAGTACGTGGTAAATTGAATAAACAAACAAGGATTACCTTGGGTGCTTTGGTTACGTTAGATGTTCATAGCAGAGACGTTGTTGATGAATTAGCAATTAACAATGTTTCATATGCTATGGACTTCAAATGGCTTAGTCAGTTACGGTAATTTTAATAATTATTAACATAACGTCTTTAATTTATTGGTTTTATTTTTTCTTAAATTCCTTAGATATTATTGGGAAAATGATACAATGGTTCGTATTACAAATAGCACGATCAATTATGCATACGAATACCTAGGAAACACGCCTAGGCTTGTCATTACTCCTTTGACAGATAGGTGTTATCGAACATTGATTAGTGCCTATAGTTTAAATTTAAACGGTGCTCCTGAAGGACCAGCCGGTACTGGTAAAACAGAAACAACAAAGGATTTGGCAAAAGCTTTGGCTGTACAGTGTGTTGTTTTCAATTGTTCAGATAGTCTTGACTACTTAGCGATGGGGAAGGTTCGTTTAATGAATCTTTTTACTCAATGTAATAAATAGGTAATCGTACATTTGAATTTGTAGTTTTTTAAAGGATTAGCTTCTGCTGGATCTTGGGCATGTTTTGACGAATTTAACCGTATTGATATTGAAGTATTATCAGTGGTGGCGCAACAGATTCTATCTATAGTCCAAGCAGTGAGATCCAAAGTTGATACTTTCATATTTGATGGTACAGAACTCAAGTTGAACCCAAGGTGTTATGTTTGCATTACAATGAACCCAGGGTACGCTGGCAGATCCGAACTCCCTGACAATTTGAAGGTTATATATAATAAATCAAAACAAAATCAGAAATTAAATGAAACTATATAGTGCACTTAATGGTTCTCGAAAAAAAAAAAAAATCGATTGTGAATTGTTACTATTGTGCACTCAAAGTGGATAAATGAGTCATTCAATAAATTTAATTATTGTAATTGGATACGCCACTTTGAATACAGCCAATAAAAGCATCTTATTTATGATTTTATTGTTCTAAGACCGAGTAACTGTATGGTTTTATTTAATCTATGACATGACATTTTATATTTATATTTATTTATTTATTTATAATTACTAGGTTTTATTTAGAACCGTAGCTATGATGGTACCGGATTATGCTTTAATTGGAGAAATATCATTATATTCCTATGGTTTTGTAAACGCAAGAGAGTTATCAGTGAAGATTGTTACCACCTATAAACTGTGCTCAGAACAATTGTCATCTCAATCACATTATGATTATGGTTAGATAATTGTTAAGGCAACTATTTAAGGTCAGTTAAGGACTATACATAATATTTGTTGTATTCATTTAGGTATGCGAGCTGTAAAATCTGTTTTAATAGCAGCTGGAAATTTAAAGATGAAATTTCCTAATGATAATGAGTCAGAATTATTGCTTAGGTCCATTTTAGACGTAAATTCCGCAAAATTTTTACGTAAAGATGTTCAATTATTTAATGGAATAATTTCTGATCTATTTCCTGGCGTCAAATTACCTAATCCAAATTATGATAATTTAATTAAAGCTGCAAAAATCGTAAGTAAACAATGACTGAATTACAGTGTTTTAGGATAAATTGTATTTTAATATAATGCTATAGACGTGTACGAAGATGAACTTACAACCAACAAACTCTTTCCTTGAAAAACTTATTCAAACCTATGAAATGATGGTCGTTAGACATGGTTTTATGATAGTTGGAAATCCATTAGGAGGAAAGACTTCATTGCTTCATTCCCTCGCAGAGACTTTAAGCCTACAAAATAAACTTGGACAAAGCGAAGAAAAAGTTTTATATGAAACAATTAATCCTAAGGCAATGACTATGGGTCAACTTTATGGGTGTTTCGATGATGTTTCACATGAATGGTCTGACGGAATAATAGCTAATACTTTTAGGTAAATAAATATTTATGAACTCACATAATATGTATATGTGCGATAGGTACATAAACTTAAAGATTTCTCTAGTCTTAAAAAAAGTGTGATCATCGAAGGTATTAATTATGTGATAATGCACCACTTTACACTTCTAGTGATCGTAAAGTATATTCATAAAGTTTTGTATGCAAATTTTTATATGCAAAGCACTAATATCAGATTTACAGTTTATGAGTTATAAAAGTTTAAAGTTTAGACCAGAGGAGTAGAAAAGGGTGATAGATAGGTAATTTATTGCCCTTCCCTTTGATAAAACGATTCTGAGTGAAGTTCAATTAACAGTGATGTTTTGGCCACAGTATATTTGTCATTTTATAGTAAAATAATGAAATAGGCTTCATATATTTCTTTTTTAATAAAATTTGTTTAATCTTGTACCGGTTTTCCCAGTTTTCGTACGTTTTTTCCGGTTTTCCTATGTTTCATCCCGGTTTTTGACATTTGCTGAGAAAATGGAAAAATGATCTCTTTAAAGTACCTCCCCCACACTGATTTACTTTCAGAAAAGATGCTACACTTAGAAATCCGGGCAAGTTTTCTGGTAGGAAAGTTGTTCACAGATAAAAAATAAAATAAACATCTTTGTAAAACCATAAGCTTCTTGTTTCAACTCAGGTTCTAAAATCAAAATTATAAAGTTTATTACCTAGAGTTAACATCCGATTAATCGGTGCCAATAGACAATTATTAAAATTGTAAGTAGGTACTTAAAATGTTGGAGTTTTCCGAATGGAAATGTTCTCTGGGTGGTACTTTAAAGAGGACATTTTTTTAAATTATCGTTAATATTCAAGTTAATGAAAAAAACCTGGTTCTTTATGTTAAAAAATACTAAAAGATTAAAAATAAGGTTGTCATTGGCAACCATTTTTATTTATATTTTGCTATTATTAATTTTTTATTATTTTAATCTTTTTCCAAATGTTGTCATGGTAACGCACGTTTTTGAAAAATAATAGTATAGACCGAGTTATATTAAATATATTAAGCTATAAAAAAACTTAGTTCAGAATCGTTTTTTCATTAGGAATGGTTTATCGATGCTTACAGATTAACATTAAATTCCTTTCTGTATCTTACCTTCCCTACTTCTCACCTACAACAGTGGATGTTGTACTATGTGCACCATGTCGCACCCATGTGCGAAGTAGTCCCGTTATTTTTTTATCGTGATTTTTTCTATATCATTATTCTCATAGTACACTTATCCTTAGTTACTAGTCGTCCATTTAATTATTTAGAACAATTTTGGAATAGAAATTGGTCATATTATTATTTGTTGGCACCACTCATTCAGTTCAGTCTTCAGTCAGATCAGTTAATTAGACTTAACATAAATTTTATTACGATCTGGTGTTATAAAAAATCTATAGTAAGAAAATAGTATAATATAATACTTATCATTATTTTATGAATCCCAATTTTAATACATACATTTATTTCCTTGTAACGTTTATAAAACATAATATATATAAATTTAAATATCAGAATTTATTTTAATGCAATAATTTGCATTACATATATTATTCTTTGTAGTTTTATTTTATATTTTTATTTGATTTATAGGCAATTTTCAATGGCAGACACTCCAGATAGAAAATGGTTAATATTTGATGGTCCGGTGGATGCAGTTTGGATAGAAAACATGAATACGGTGTTAGATGATAATAAAAAGTTGTGTTTAAGTTCTGGTGAAGTAATTAGTATGCCAGATTGTTTATCTATGATATTCGAAGTTATGGACCTTACTCAAGTATAAATATTAGTCATTTGTTTGGTAATGTCATCAAATAATATGCAAACATTTAGGCTTCTCCCGCTACTGTGTCTCGTTGTGGTATGATTTATTTGGATCCTGACGATTTGGGTTGGAGACCATTAATTGAAATTTGGATAAAAAATTGTCCCGAGTTTTGGAGTTTAAATCAAAACGGGATTGATATAATGTGTTTATTTGACTGGTTAACTCCTCCATGTTTGTATTTTGTACGCCGTAATTGTGTTCAGTTGGTCAACGCAGGAAGCACAAATATGGTTTTGTAAGTTAATTTATAAACAATTTTTTTATAATTTTAAATTCTTAGTGGAGTGAAGAAGTTTATGGTTTTTCAAAGATTTTTTTTTTTTTTTTATCTGTGAGCAGTTTTTCTACTAGAAAACTTGCCCAGATTTCTAAGTGTAGCATTTTTTCTGAAAGGAAATCGGTGTGGAGGAGGTATTTTAAAAAGGTCACTTTTCGATTTTTTCAAGAGTTATTCCAGCAAATATGAAAAACCGGGATAAAACATGGGAAAACCGGAAAAAACGTAGGGAAACTGGGAAAACCGGTACAACATAAAACAAATATTATTAAAAAATATATATATAAAGTTTATTTAATTATTCTACTATAAAATGATATATATATATATAGTTGACTAAGCATCACTATCATCTGAACTCAGCTTAGTATCGTTTTTTCGTAAGTAACGGTTTATAGTTGCTTACTAAGGTATACATTAAATTATTTGTAACAGTGGCTGCACTGTTACAAAACATCTCCATTATCCTAGGACATCTTTTTTAAAAACTCTAAACTATAAATTTTAAAACTATAATTTTTGACAATTTTTCAGGAATGTTTTGAATATATTAGAATTGCAGTTGAAGATCGCAACACAAAACGTTAATCAAAATTTAAGTTCAGTTTTTACAAATTATTTACAAGGATCTTTTGTATATGCTTCAATTTGGGGTTTTGGTGGAACATTGGATTCTAATTCACGACTAGCATTTGATCTTTATTTTAAAGAACTATGGAAAGGTGAAATTCCTGGTTTGGAACCACCTGAAGAGTTAAGTCCATTAAACATTATTTTACCTGTCGAAGGATTATTGTACGATTATATATATAATTGCACATCAAAAGGATCCTGGAAACATTTAGGGGAAATTGTAAAAAATACAAATCTTGAAGAAATGAGCAACATTGAACAAACTTTAGTACATACTCTCGACACTGTTAGGTAAATAATGAATTAGTAATATCAATACGGAATGTTACTCTTTTAAATTTTGTTATTGACAGGTATACGTATTTAATTAATATGTTTATCACTAATTGCAAACCATTATTACTTTTTGGTGCTACGGGTACCGGAAAAAGTTTTTACATAAAAAATTATATGGTGAATAAATTGTCTTTGGATGAATTTGTCCCGACTTTTATTACGTTTACAATTCAGACATCGGCCAATTTTACACAAGAAATAATTATATCCAAACTTATAAAACGTAAACGTGGTGTATATGGTCCACCGTTGGGAAAGATTTGTGTAATTTTTGTTGATGACATGAATATGCCCATTAAAGAACAATATGGGGCACAACCTCCTATTGAATTATTAAGACAATTGTTTGACCATGGTCACTGGTATGACTTGAAAGATACTTCAAAAGTTTATCTTAAAGATATTCTAGTGTTAACTGCTATTGGTCCACCTGGTGGAAGTAGACAAGATGTATATGCAAGGTTTTTGCGACATTTTGGATTGTTTGCTATAAATTCATTTGACGATGAAAGTATTACAAAGATTTATTCAACTTTACTTCAAATTGGATTGAGAGTAAGTTATATGAATTACATTTTTTTTTTGTTTTTTATGATCATTAATTAATTTTTAGAGGAACGGTTTTACATTAGAAGTGATTCCAATTATCGATAATATAATTCGATCAACAATTGATTTGTACAGGTCAACTATTTCTAATTTAGCTCCAACTCCTTCAAAATCTCATTATTTATTTAACTTAAGAGACATTTCAAAAGTGACAAATGGAATACTTATGTTCCGTAAAGAAAGTTTCACTAGTCGTCATGATTTTGTGAAGTATGCATGTATTTAAATACTTAAAATTAAAACAAAAATTATATATATATTTAATTTTTTGGTACAGACTATGGGTACATGAAGTTATGAGAGTATTTTACGATCGCCTAATTGATGACAATGATAGAAAATGGTTATTCAATGAAATTCGTACACTCGTAGGTAAAAATTTTCTCGAAAAGTTTGATGTAGTCTTTGAAAAGTTGTCGAATTCAACCGTATGTAATTAAATATTTCTTACACATTTTGTATACAATTAATATAAAATTGCAATTTTTAGAATATAATTCTCCAAGACATGACAAATCTCATATTTACCAATGCTTTGGACGTTGATTCTGAGTCCACGGAAGAAAAAAAATATGAAGAACCACCATCAATATCAAGTTTTAAAGAAATAGCTCAAAAGGTGTTGGATGAATATGATGCAACACACAAGTCAAAACTGAAAATAGTTTTGTTTAAGTAATAATCAACTTAAATTATTTTGTCAACCCGAAATCATGTATTTATTTTAATTTTAATTGCATAGATACGCTCTTGAGCATCTTTCGAGGATTTGTAGAATTTTAGCAATACCTGGAGGATGTGCATTGCTAGTTGGCGTAGGAGGCTCTGGTCGTCAATCTCTCACTCGGTTAGCAGGATCTATCTGTGGTTTTAATGTTTTTCAACCAGAGATATCTAAAAATTACGGATTAAATGAATGGAGAGATGATTTGAAAACAATATTAAGAGAATCTGGAGGACAGAATCGTTCAACCGTATTTTTATTTGCTGAAGGACAAATAAAAGAAGAATACTTTTTACAAGATATTGATGCTCTGTTAAATTCTGGAGAGGTGCCAAATCTTTATACTATGGATGAACAACAGGCTATATTAGATGTAAATATTGTTGTCATATAAATTATTATTTTATAGGTTCTCGTTATAAAAAGTTCACATTTGTATTTAATGTTACTTGGATCTAGATGGTTAGAACAGCTGCTCAAGGAGGCAATACAAATTTGGATATTTCTCCATTGGCTGTTTTTAATTATTTTATCAGTCGTTGCAAACAAAATTTACATGTATGTTTGTGCTTTAGTCCAATTGGCTCAACTTTTAGAAACCGCCTGAGATTGTATCCGTCTATGGTTAGTTGTTGTACAATTGACTGGTTTGAGGATTGGCCAGAAGATGCCTTAGAAATGGTTGCACATAAGTTTTTAGAAGGCGTGAATCTTACTGAGGACATTAAAAACTCTGCAGTCATAGCTTGTCAAACATTTCACACTGATGCTAGGTAAGCATTGTTAGTAATAAATAGTATTCATTTTTAATTACTCTGTTTTAGGAGACTGTCTACGGAATTTTATGCTGCGACCCAGCGCAATACATATATCACATCAGCGTCATATTTGGATTTGATTAAAGCCTATACAGATTGTACAAACCTCAAGCAAAAAGAAATTATGGATAAAAAACTGCGTTATGTTGGTGGCTTACGAGAACTCGAATTTGCTACTCTGCAAGTTAACCAAATGAAAGAAGATTTATTTAAACTTGGACCACAGCTTCAAAAAGCCCAAAAAGAAACCGATGCGATGATGAAAATGATATCTCACGAGACGGTTGAAGTAGAAAAGGTTACTGCTAAAGTTCAAGAAGATGAAAAAGTAGCGAACGTTATTGCTGAGGCAGCTAATGAATTAAAAATAGAATGTGAAGCTGATTTAGCTTTGGCTATACCTGTTTTAGAAGGTAATAATTTTAACATGGTTTTTATGGTTAAATACAGGTTGATATGGAAAAAAGTGAGTCTTGAAGAATGTGTATTTGCCTTTTATCTGTAGTGTTTCCCGAACAAATTTAATGCCCGTTTTTTTTTTGCCTATTTAAAAGTAGAATTTTTAAAAATCGTTTAAAAACAGAAATCAATTAATGAAATTCAATTTTATGTGTTTCTCCCCATCTATGTCGGCATCATAGTTCACTGAGTTAACCCTTGGATCGCGTGGACCGTGCTTTTATTGTCCAACATAGCTATTTTATAAATTAATTTTTAAAAAAAATTGTTGGTGTTAAAATCTATAAATTAGGTTAAATCATTAATTTTTAAATAATTTTTAGAGTTTGTTGAAATTAAAATATATTTTTATTACAAATCAAACTAACGATAAATTGTATTTGATTAACGATAAATGATAAGCGTATATCAAACTCACAGGTTAAATTAATATGATAAGAATATTAACAAACCGTACAATATTTCACGGAAAAATCAAATTAATCATTTGAAAATTAAGGCACGTAAAAAATTTAATATTTCACAAATATTTAAAAATTGTATACAAATAATTGACCCGATCTGCTTAAAAGTGTTTGACACCAATTTATTTCTAAAAATCGTATTTACAAAATAGCTATCGATTTTTATTTTAAATTTTAAATACAATTTTTGGTTTTTATTTCAAATTTCTAAACATTAAAATTTGACAAAAAAATATTTGAATTTTAGGGTCAAAATTTTGTAATAATTTTTTTAAAAAAAACTTAAAAATATTTTATATAAAAAGGTTATTCCATTTGTTAAATAGTCCTGCATTACTCTATATACTAACCAGAGTAAACAACTGAAAAGATCATAAAAAAATGTTTAATGGTTTAACAAAAAAAAAAAAAAACATCTGTGAGCAGTGGAGCTCCATTATTAGAATTATGATTGAATTTCCTCCCCTTTTATTACGTATTACAAACAAATTGTGTGCAAAACTATAAATAACCGAATATTATAATAAAACAGTACTTTACTATAATACTATACTTCTTTCAAAAAAAAATGGTGAAATTTGACCATTGTGATGGTAGGGCGTAGATTGGTTGAAAATTGAAACTTCCAAAAGGACTATCTTAGATATTAACTTCATGCTTACATTTATTTGGATAGGGAGGTCTTTAGGAGTGTTTAAAGATAAAAAAAAATTGGAAATTTAACCTAGATATAAAACAACTGGAATTCTCGAGTTTGAGCTTTTATGGTCTAATTGAAACTGCTAAAAATGGCTAAAAGTATTGATATAAGATATCTATCAGCCAGTGGTAAAACTTCTCATGGTTTTTGAAGCTGAAAAGAAAAAGAAGTTAATTTAAATTAATTAATTATTATAATAATGTAAAATGTTCTTATTATTAAAAATTAGTATGTACTTACACGTTTATTATAAGATATTTGATAATATGTTAGCCTACTACACAAAAAAAAAAAACTTCATTATACTCACAAACATCTTCTATAATAACAATAATCGCATAATTAATTTTACAATCAGATCTAAAAATTATTTCAATATTAATAACAGGTAAATGTATGTACATTTTTAGAGGCAATAAATGCATTGAATACTCTCAAACAAGATGATATTAGGTTAGTAAAAGCTATGCAAAATCCCCCCGAAGGAGTAAAAACTGTAATGTCAGCAGTTTGCGTGATGATAAGTATGCCACCAGACAGAATACCCGATCCTGATAAACCAGGAAAATTTGTAATGCATCAATTAATTTATTACATTCACTTATGCTAAATATAATAATTAATTTTCAATTTTTAGAAATTTGATTTTTGGGGCCCAAGTAAACGTTTATTAGGCGATATTAATTTTTTGCAAAAATTAAAAGATTACGACAAAGATAATATCCCTGTTCATATTATGGCTGAAATTCGAAAAACATACATCCCGGATCCAAATTTTAAACCATCAATTATAGCCAAAGCATCCAGCGCTGCAAAAGGTCTATGCCAATGGATTATCGCATTGAATATGTATGATGAAGTAGTTAAAGTTGTGGCGCCAAAAAAAGCAAAATTGGATATAGCTAATGCAGAATATGAAGCAAATATGCTGATATTAGAAGAAAAAAGGAAACAAGTTAAAGAACTACAAGAAAGATTAGAATCTTTAAAAATAAGTCTAGAAGAAACACTTTTAAATAAAGAAAAATTAAGTGCAGAAGTAGCATTATGTGAAAAAAAATTACTGAAAGCTGAAAAACTCATCGGTTAGTGGATATTACCTAAACGTGTATTTATTTGACAAGACATAACATATTGACCTCATTTAAAAATTTTTAGGAAGTCTTGGTGGCGAAAAACATCGTTGGGCTCAACAGGCTACGGAGCTTCAAGACTCTTATGATTGTATACCTGGTGATATTCTTATATCCTGTGGAATTATTGCGTATTTGGCTCCGTTTACATCACAATTCAGGTATTAATAACAAATAAATTATTATTATACTTGTTTAAAGAATAAGGTTGTAAAATATAATCCAGACATTTTTTAGATAAATAGTACAAAATTATTAATATTTGAACACCCTTTCTTTTAACCTTTATCACCAATTTCGCTTGAACATTTATTTTCCCTTTATCAATAGCCATTATATGTTTATTTCCTATACTTACTGGCGATGGCGTAGCCAGGATTTTTTTTTGAGGGGTGTTTTTTTGTGTTTAGATGTAACTTTGTAACCTTTTTGTGAGAATGTAACAAACATAACATATACTTAATAGTTATCAATACGTAACACAACTTGTAGAAGTCTGATGCATAGCTGCATATTAATAGAGTAAAAATTTTAATTGTTGGTATAAATATAGTCAAAGGGGGTGGAGATGTTTAAACACTTAAACACTCCCTTCGCAATGCTACTGCGTACTAGTAGTATTGAATTTTGAATAACTCATAGTTATTGAACCATTATTCACGACTGGTCATTTAATTTTATTCCATGTAATATTTTTTGAATCACAGATTTCAACACCGGTTGACTTTTTTCCAACTAAGACTTTTCCTGAGTTTAGCTAGCTCAGTTTTCTTTAATTTTTTTAATATTTTGTAATTACCTTTCCGATATCCTGGTTTTCTACAGTAATTGCATTTATTCAGTTTATTGTCCTCTTTGTGATATCCATTTTTTAAGTGTAACCACATTTTTTTGTAACCATTTTTCCTACGTTTTAACCCGGTTTTCCGTGTTTTTCCAAATTTGTCCTTGCTTTTTCCCAATTTTTCTAATTTATTGAGAAAAATCAAAAAATTTAAAAAAATGATTTCCCTTAAGTACCACCTCAGGAAAATTCCCTTTCAAAATAAGTGTTATACTTGATATTTCGGAGCAAGATTGATGCTAGTAGAAACGTTGTCCAAAGAAAAAAAAAACAATAAAAAAAAAAATACTCCTCTCTTTACTTACAATCTAAAATACCTCAATGTTTGTGTAATAGGCCTATCACCTAATACATGTAAGAGGTTAAAAGTAATCCAGACAATTTGTAGATAAAACAATAAACTATTGCAATATAATGATTACGATATATCTATTTGTATAAAATAGATATTAGATATTATGAATGTAAAACCAACGCAACTCGGCATAGCTCAACTAAAATCACCTAAATTATGAGCTGCTACGTCCTTGATTGGAATGTGTCATATCAAAATACTGCATTTTCTTTATATAATACGTTTAACTATATATCTCACCTTCAGTAAGACAATATTACTTATATGTGTATATGTGTATATTTTACAATGTGATGTCTGAATCACAATTTAATTTTTCAACAATACTGGTAATTTTACTTTTATAGATCCTCAACAGTTAATGAATGGAAAACATTATGCAATAATTTAAAGATTCCAAGTTCGCATAATTACAGTTTGATAGATGTTTTGGGAGAACCTGTTAAAATTCAAAATTGGACCATTAATGGGTTACCCATGGATGCATTTTCAATCGAAAACGCAATCATTATGGATGGGTCTCAAAGATGGTCTTTACTAATCGATCCTCAAGGGCAAGCTCACAAATGGATTAAGACAATGGAAAAATCAAACGACATTTCTATAGTAAAGATGACTAGTCAAAATTATATGAAATATCTCGAAGTATGTATTGAACTTGGGAAACCAGTATTAATTGAGAATGTATTAGAAAATTTGGATGCACCTTTAGACCCTATACTATTGAAGCTATTTTATAAACAAGGTAATTGACTATACTTGATGTAATCTCAATAAAATAAAATAATTATCACTTGTAAAAAAATTGTTTGACTGTTTGAAGTTCATTTTGTGTGAGTCAAAAGTTAAATTTGTATTCAATTAAATTTTTTTCTGTATTTCAGGGAAGTTTCTATTTATAGGACTTGGAGACAACGTTATTGAATACAACACGAGTTTTCGATTGTACATTACATCAAAGCTTAGAAATCCACATTATTTACCGGAAATTTTTAACAAAGTTACTATAATAAATTTCGCATTGACAGTAGAAGGCCTGAATGATCAATTGTTGGGAATAGTTGTGGCTAAAGAACGGTAAATATGTTAATAAAAATGAAGTTATATTAAAAATTTTATTCTTATTAAATTTTTTTAGATTCTAAGTAAAATAATACAAATAATACCATAATAGTTGTTTAGATTCTGAGCGTAGCAAGGGATCTATTGATTTTTTTTGTGTCTTTGAACAACTTTTCTATCAGATATTTTGCTCCAATTTTCATGTATAGCATTTTTTCTGTAAGCAAATGTTGTGTAGTTGATGCATTAAAAAGTTGTTTCTTGATATTTTATTTGTAGTTTTTCATAATAAAATTAGAAAAATTGAAAAAAATTAAGAAAAACGAAAAAATTTACACAATAATAGTTTTCATAATTAAATAAATAAATAATCGTAAAGACATAAAATTTTCAAGAAATACTTATATTAGCCTTTTTCTAAAAGTGGCAAAATGTATAAGAATTTGAGTATTTTGAGTTCTTTTAGTTTTTATTTGATTTTATGTGAATTATATTGTTTTTTTTTAGTAGAATTTCTTGAAAATTTAACACGAGTTTCATGGTAAGTTGTAGGAAGTAGCTAAAAAAAAAAAAAAATGAGCGAAAAATAGTATTTTTTTTTTTATAAGTGTTTAAACCGTGTTAAATTAAAAATCACAAAATTTTAAGCCATGTTTAACTGAACTCCACTCAAAATCAAGCTTTGTTAGCAATATGTGTACAGAATTACAGATACAAATTAAATTATTCTATTTATCCTACCTTTCTAACTTTCCACCTAGAACAGTGGTAAGTCTATCGACAGTATTAGCTATTTTTTTTACTTTATACTAGGCCAGATTATGAGAGAAAAAGACAACAGCTAATTGTTGAAGGTGCAGAAAATGCTAAAGCATTACTGGATGTTGAAAATTCTATTTTACATATACTTTCAGCACCCGGAAATATTTTAGAAGACGAAGATGCTGTTGACATTTTAGACAATTCCAAGGTAATTAAATAATAAAATAGTATAAACTAGATTATTTGACCACGTTATTATGGCCATTATTATTTTTATTCACCATTAGATATTAGCTGAACAAATTAAACAAAAACAAGCTGCATCAGTGGAAACTGTTGCGGTTATTGATCAATTTAGATTACAGTATAAACCAGTTGCAAAACACTGTTCTATACTCTACTACTGCATAACTGATTTGCCTAATCTTGATCCAATGTATCAGTACTCTTTAAACTGGTTTATCAATATATTTATCATGACGATTGAAACTGCGTAAGTAACCGTTTATTTAAACTAAAATAACATTACTTTTTTGTATTTTAAATACAATCATAAGTATTGTTTAATTATACATTTAATATAGATAAATCTTAAAACCAGGCTTTGGGAACTTTGAATATTTTGCTGCAATATTACACTACATATAATATACCGGATGATTAATTTAAGTGGGTATCTTCATTCCACTTATTCCACTTTTAAGTTTAGGTTGAAGGGGAATGTAGTGAAGTATCATTTGTGTGGCGGTACGGTGCGTGGAAAAAGTGAAATACCTCGTTAGCGGGTTGATGGAAATTGAAAATTTTAACAGAAAAATTGATTTAAATTAATACTCCATCTACTTATGTAATTTTAAATATAGATTGCTCTTTTACAATCAAAATTAATTAATAGTTTCACCTTTTAAAATGTACGATACCAGGAAAAAGCTAGAAAAGTCACTTTTTTCCAAATAGGCGACATTGGTATCAAACGATTTGTATTGATATTCTGTATCTTTTGTGCGATCAAAACGGCGAAAAATCAAATTACTTAAAAGTAATAAGCACCAAGAGTTTAGGCCTTTAGAAAAAAATAATAGGTTAGTCAACTAATAGGAAAAAATAACTGGCGGATTAATACACGAATATAGCAGTGGGTAATAATAATATTCTAGTATATTATACTATGGTATTATTATGTTGTGGTTACTTCATTTAAAAGTTTAACATTTAATTTAATTAGTTTTCTGGTTCTTTCAGTGTACCCTTCTAATAAGAGTGAAAAAAAAAATTGTTATGTCACATTTTAATTTTAAGTTGAGTGTTTCACGTTATATTGATCATCCTATAGAATAGTATACGAATTTTATAGAGAAGCAATAAAAACAAATGTACTCAGAAAAAGTCATAGAAGCAAGTGATACCAATCCTACTGTTCTTCGATGCTCCTTTTCCGAATGATACTATCAGTCTTGATACTTTTTGATTAGCCCTCGTACATACTACACAGTTAAAACAAAAATAAAAAATACCCAAATTCATAAACTAAAATTGTTTTCACAAAAAAATAATTAATTTTTTCTTTTCATTATCTAGGTACTTATTAGTACATATTAGTAGTATAATATTAATACATAATAATATTAAATGTATGACGTAATGTAAGAAAAGTAAAAAATTTAACATTATCGGTTTAGAAATAGATCGAGTATACTCCATATAAGGCTGGAAGCTTTAAACAATTCGTTTACTTATAATTTATATTCCAACGTATGCCGATCATTGTTTGAAAAGGATAAGACATTATTTTCATTAATTATGTGCACTACAATAATGCTGTAAGTGACAATTAATTATAATTTAATTATTTTTGTTTTTGTGGTTTCTTAATGTATTTGTTATTAAAGTGCTGAAAAAAAAATTGACAAAGAAGAGTTGATGTTTCTTTTAACTGGTGGTGTAGGTCTGAAAAACAGTATTCCTAACCCAGTACCTGACTGGCTACTCGATAAATCTTGGGATGAAATGTGTCGTTTGAATGAATTAAAAACATACCACGGTATACCTATTTAATAACAGCTAATAACAAGCATTTGATAAATTAAAATAGGTACCTATATCGCGTTTAAATATTTTTTTAGGCATAAAAGATGATTTTATCCGAGAAATAAATGATTGGAAAAAATACTATGATCTTAATAATCACGAAAATTCAAAATTTCCTAGTCCGTGGCATGATAAATTAAGCGATTTCCAACGTATCCTCGTTGTTCGCGTCATTAGACCCGATAAAGTCATACCTGTAATTTTAAAATTAATCAAAACAGAACTTGGAGAAAGGTTCATTAACCCACCACCATTCGACATAAAAAAATCTTACAATGACTCATTTTGTCTAAGTCCGCTTATATTTATCCTCTCGCCTGGAGCAGATCCCATGGCAAATTTGTTACAGTTTGCCGAAAAAATGGGTTTGGATGATACTCTGCAAAGCGTTTCATTGGGCCAGGGACAAGTAAATATAAATCAATAAACTATTAAAGATAACTTAAAAATACGAACATTTATTTAGGGTCCCATAGCCGAATTATTAATACAAAACGCACAGAAAACGGGAAATTGGGTTTGTTTGCAAAATTGTCATTTAGCTACGTCATGGATGGGACAGTTAGAAGCTATCTGTGACTCATTTGATATATCTACCGTGAACAGTAAATTCAGATTGTGGTTGACCAGCTACCCATCAAGCCAAGTATATTGAAATCCGATTTATTATGTTCTTACTCTGCTTTATCGGTTAAATTGAAAAAAAAAAAAAATTAATTCAAATTTTCAGTTTCCGATTTCCTTGCTTCAAAATGGAGTTAAAATGACTAACGAGCCTCCAACGGGCTTGCAAGCAAATATGCTCAGAAGTTATCAATCTTATCCTGTGACAGACGAAAAGTTTTTCGAAGGTTGTTTAGGCAAAGAACGAATATTTACAAAAATGTTGTACGGAATTACGTTTTTTCATGCAATCGTGTTAGAGCGAAAAAAATTCGGGTCTATAGGATGGAACATACCTTATGGATTCAATGAATCCGATTATCTAATTTCCATACAACAACTACAAGTACGTATCACATAATACATGTCGAATACCTAATACCTGTATAGCATATACTACATTATATAGGAATTAAAATGAGTGATAAATTAATATTAATATTAAATTAGTATTATTTATTTTTAGATATATATCAACGAGTTTAACGAAATACCTTACGAAGCGGTTACATATTTGACTGGAGAATGTAATTACGGTGGTCGAGTGACTGACAGCTGGGATAGACGGACGTTGACCACAATTCTGGACATATTCTGTTGTCCTAAAGTAGTCGATGATCCGCATTATTTGTTTTGTGATATCAGTCCAAAATACGGAATCCCATTTCGGACCGCCCATCGCGATTTTATAAAACAAATCGAAGTATTTATTTATTTTATATGTTTATCATATTTACGCATATGATATAATAATAAATAAACATGTTTTCAAATTTATGTACTTATAATTATTTTGTCACAGGGGATTCCGGCAGTCCCTAGTCCGGAGGTGTTTGGATTACATATGAATTCAGGAATCACTCGAGATTTACAAAGCACTTTGCAGTTGTTTGATTCGTTTGTGTCGGTAATGGAAACCAGTAGTGGTGGCACAAGTGATTCCAGCAGTAGCGACAATTTTCTGCTGGCGATTGCGGCGGACATACTCGACAAGCTTCCCAAAAATTTTGACATAGAAACAGTTGCGATCAAATATCCGGTCATGTATACAGAGTCCATGAACACGGTTCTGGTCCAAGAAATGGAACGTTTCAACGTATTGTTATCAGTGATTCGAAAAAGTCTACAGGACTTGACGAAAGCCATTAAAGGCTTTATCGTTATGACTCCTGAACTAGAAACTATGTCGATTTCGTTGACAGTGGCCAAGTACCCAATGCTTTGGTCAAAATATGCTTATCCCAGTCTCAATTCCCTAGGCGGATTTGTTATCAATTTTATCGACAGACTAGATTTCTTACAGGTATATAATATAGTGATGCGTTTATTCTGTTTCGTTGTTAAACAATTTATAATCGTTTATGACTATGTTGTATTATACTGTAATTTATACGCGGTGAATAATCATGAAAAAATATTAATAATAAACCAAAAACTACATATAACAGAACTCGATACTTATGTTCAAACGTTATTACATATTGTGTACTTACCTCAAAAATGTAATGATTGCCTATAGTAGTTATGTCGGCGGTCTATTATCATTGAGTGTCGAGTATTTTCATTAATTTATAGTATTGATTGTAGTAAGAGAGGTTTTAGTTATATTAGGTTTAAATAAGAGGAAGCAATATTAACGAGGTCCCTCCCTAACTGGCGATGACAATAAGAAAACGGTTGACAATAATGTTTATCGATAGAACATCAACTGTTGTTTTTTATTATTATTTATATATTTAATTTTGTTTTAGGTATGGTTTGAAAACGGCAAACCCAACAATTTTTGGCTAAGTGGATTTTTTTTTACACAAGCATTTCTTACCGGGGCAATGCAAAATTTTGCTCGCCGTTACATGATACCCATAGATCAGCTATGTTTCGATTTCCAAGTTCAAAAAACTGACAGGATTAAATCACCACCCCGAGACGGAGTTTACTGTTACGGTTTATTCGTAGACGGTGCACGTTGGGATAGATCTCAGTATGTTATCACTAGAAAATATATTTATTGGACGCGTTTATTAAATTTTAAGTTAAGAAAGGAATTTAGATTGTGAATATTGATTGTACCATGGCGTTTGATTATTTTATTTTTTGCGTGCCCATAAACACGATATTTTGACCAGAAAGACTTTATAGACTACATATTATATATACCACTGTTAAACTGTCTTAGAGTAGTAGCCGTTTCTTTATTTGTTAATGTTTTCCAGTAAAAAAAATAATATCGTTTAAATTTTCACTAAATATTTTTAATTTGAACATTTTTTTTTTAGTTATTTATAGCCATTGGAATTTTTGATTTACAGTAGTAGAATTTTTTTAAAATATGATATTTTTCCACTGATTAACAATTTGTTTGCATTAAAATTATAGAATGATACTCAATGAACAACTACCCAAAGTATTGACAGATGTACTACCATTGGTGTGGTTCATACCGTTAAAGAAGACGAAATTAAAACAAGACAACCGATACACGTGCCCTGTGTATAAGACGTCCGAAAGAAAAGGGGTATTATCAACGACTGGCCATTCCACTAATTACGTTCTGCCTATGTTTCTAAACACCAAAAAAAAACCTTCACATTGGGTCTACCGAGGAGTGGCACTGTTGTGTCAGCTAAACGATTAAAATGTATTTATCGCATCAATGTTAATTATTTTTTAACGAATAAAATAATATCCTTTTATTATAAGTAGAGATTGGACAATCCATTGAATCGAATTTCAAAAATTCAAATCCTTTTAATACTGATTTCAAATTATAAAAATCCAAATCCAAAACATACTAATAACTGGGGATCAGATGATTATGAAATTGCATATTTTTTCTGTTTATCCAATTCAGTGATGACCTGGATACACATTTGATTCATGTTTGACTGAAACAAATAATACTATTTTTATTTTGCATATTTTATGGTTTTATATTTTAAATGCATATTTCAATACATTTTCGAACTTTTTAAAAACAATTTAAATTAATAACAAAATATAAAGCTAAAAAGCATAAAATTTGAACAAATTTTTTTAAAAAAAAACATTATATCACACTATAAAGATTTTATTGTAAATTAATATATAATAACTATTAAAGTAATAATACATAAAAAGGACGGATATACTTCTCATGTGGTTGCAGCAATTCTTGTAGGTAGGATATTGGGAAGGGACGATGCAGACGGAAATTTAATGTATATCTGTAAGCAATGTTAAACTGTTGCTAACGATTTTGAGCGGAGTTCAATTGATAGTGTTTTTTATTCATTGAAAGTGTTGCTTTGTCAACAATATATGTCATATTATGATAAAATGATTACAACAATATACGTTTCTATGACGACAATGATTGTTTAAAAATAAAATAAAATAATAAAAACTTAACGATAACAACAAATAAATAAAAATGGTTGCCAATGACTACCTTATTTTTAATTTTTCAATCTTTTCTAACCTAAAGACAGGTTTTCTTCATTATCTCGAAATTAATGAGAATTTCAAAAAATGACCTCTCTAAGGTACCACCTAGAGAATATTTCTTTTTAGAAAAAATACTATATTTAATTATCGAAGTAAACTTTTTGGTAGAAAAAGTGTTCACATAAAAAAAAACCAATATTTTTGTAAAATCAATAAATTCTTCACTAAACTCAGAATTTAAAATAACTACTAAAAAAAAACTACTAATAAAAATTAAATTCTTAAGGTAAATATTGTTGTGCAAATCATGGTGTTTTTTTTTTTTAACTAAAAATGCGTATTTTATGATTTTTAGTGTATATTTTGATTAAATATTTGGTAATTTTTTGGGCATAAATGCATATATATTACAGTTATTTTAAACATCCGAACCCTACATATGACTAATCTACATGAATAATAAATATAGAATGTTCCAGAAGATACACCTACTGACTTCTCCGGAGATAATTATTTAAAAAACATAAACAAATTCTGGTTTTTTTTTAAAATAATACTTACAGGGATAATAAGGACTATAAGTATTTACATTTCAATTATTTTTTTATGTTTTGGTAAAACCTTAAAAAAATAACTTTTTATTTTATTATTTTTGAAATATTTGAAGATAGCCTTTTTATAGAATTAATTTTTCTGGACATTTTGACGAATCAGCTTTTTATTTACATTAAATTCGTGATTTTTAATAATTTTTAAAGTTCAGAGAAAAAAATTATCAACAAATTAACCATAATAATAGATAATTTTCTCTAAACTTTAAAATTTAATGATAATAAAGTGTTGAACCGTCAACATTTTCAGAGCAATAAGCTGAGTAAATTTGTATACTTCAGTGAATTAAAAAAAAAAAAAAAACTTGTTAAAAATGTCTTGTACTCATGCAATTATTGCGTTCAAAATATAAAACAATTGAAATAGATTAGGATATTATTATTACATGCAAAATGTTCACATAATTATCATTTTTTCTTCTAAAAGTAACTACTTGTCAACAAACATTTTTATATTAACATTATACAAAATATCTTTGTTCGCGTTCAGCAAATTACATTTTGTAGACGAACAGCAGTCATTGTAGATCTTAAATAAGTCTTCACTATTTGTATAGTTTACTAAATGCCCATACTAATTAGAACTGTATACAGTATACACCAATTGTAGTGTCATGCTTACATTTGGTAAAAGGCGTTTAAAAGATTCTGAGGTTTTAAATATTTCTAATAAATTTGACACGCCATTACAATGATGAACTAATATTAAAAACTCAGAAAGAATTCTATCATAATCAGTTAATTTGGATGCAGAACTTTCTGGAGGAAATAATTCAATTACTTATTTGAAATTTGCTGGAGTACAATATTCCGTTTTAAAGGTGTTAAAAATAGTTAAAAAAGATACTATAGTTGTCACACATTTTTTCTAATGTTCTGAAGATAATGTTGTTAATGTGTCTAAAACTTTTTAAAATGTCTTTACATCAAAAACCGTTCTAATATAAGACTTCAATACCCTTAAAGTTTGATAACAAGTCAATTCAGTTTTCAAAAATATATATCACTATAATAACGAGTTAACAGTTGTTTTCACGGTGGTTACACAACAACAGCATTTGTCTAATATGACTAAATTGTTGACAATTGTTGACACCTATATGTATACATTGGCAGACATTTAATTGGTTTTAATATGGTCCACACAGTCCTAAGATTAACTGAGATGAGACATAGATGGAAACGGGGACAGCAAAAACACATAAAATTGAATTTCATCCATTGATTTGTTTTTAATAATGTTACTTTAAAAACCCAAAAAAAGGAGAATTTAATTTGCACGGACAATACTGTAGATAGAAGGCAAATGTATGTTTTTTAACACTCACACTTTTCTCCACAACCATCTATTGGAAAAAACAAAAAAAAAACATACATCTCTACTCAATTTTACTTAAATTAATTAAATTTAAGTAGGTATTTAAATTTATTCAAAAACTATTAGACTTTAAGTACTATTATGTATACTATACACCTACACACCAAAAAAAAATGAAATATGAACATCATGGGCAGTTAATAAAAATAATTAAATAGTTTATGTAAGTTAAATATACAAAAATGCCTTTAGTTAACAGTTCATAGTTAACAAATTATAAATTTAACTAACTACTTAGTTAATTTAAAAGTTAAAATGCAAAAAAATATGAACTTAACTCAGTTAATAAAAATTACTAATTTTTTTTTTTACAATTAAAAATCAACATTACAAGTAGGTAGGTATTCAATATTAAGAACTTACCAGATTTCCATCAACCTTTTTATGTATCATTTTATAAATATATACCTCCTAAATGTCCTCCTAATAATATAATATTATTATGTACAATAACTATACAGGTAGAATGCAACAAACATTATAATATTATAAACATTATTATTATATTGTAGTTAATAATTTACATTCTCTAACTTAAAAAATTATTAATTACACAAAATAAATTTATTGATAATTTTATTTATTGCAAAAGTATGTAATTGCATCCCACCAATTTTTTTTAGCACATCTCAAATGTGTAGATATAGTTTATTTTTTATGATTTATAGCCTAAAATGCTCATTTTGTAATTTTACAAAAACAAGTTGTTATTACTTATAATTTTAACAACAACAAGTATCAGAAAACATAAATACTGTTATACATATTATAATATTTGTATTATTATAGTACCGATTACCAAATAAAGATAGTTTTGTTAAATTAAAGCATGGAAATTTTCATTAATATACTTACCATAAAATATATGCTAACATATTTATGTATTTTAAAATACTTTTGAGTTTTTTTATTGCTTAAAATTCAGTGCATAAGTACTTACTCGTAATTATACTTAAATCGTAGGTATTATTGAGTTGTTACTACCTACATGATTTAGTTTCAAGTTATTATGTTCATTATACATAAAATATTGTTTGTTCTGATATAAAACGTATTAAGTAATTTTTGTAAATTTTAATTTAATATAAAATAAATACCTAATCAATACTGAAATTAATTTGTAGTATGTTTTTGAATAGTATTAAATGTTTGAATGTAATGATTGAAAAATAGAGTATGGAAATAATTTATTTGTGCTAATATGCGATGCGAGCAGATTTCAAGTTGATTTTAATTTTTAGTTTAAGTTATGCATTCCACGAAAAAATGTAAAGTGATGCCCCTGATCGTGTTTAATTATATTTTAGAAAATAAATACTACATGATTAGGTTACCTAGTAAATAATAAGTAACAATCCGTTAAATACTAGTTAGGTTAGGTTAGTATAGTTGACCCTAATTAATTAACTTAGGAAAGAAATAAAGTTTACTAAAATATTTTTTTTTTTTCAAGTTTGAACCTACAGCAGTTGAGTACCTATATGTTTTTCACAATACTTCACTGTTGCTGCCATAATTTTTTATTTAGTATGAATAATTTGTTAAAAATTCTGTTTTTTTCTTTACAGAGTAGGCACACATGAATAATACAAAAAAAATAAATACCTACAACTTACAGTGCAATGTTTTCTCTCAGCATATCCTAAATGGGCTTAATGACTAACTTAAATTAATTATCATTACTTACTGTGTATAGGCTTTGGTACAGTTTTTATTTTCTAAATTATGCTATAATTGTTAATAATTGTTTTATTAATAAAAATAAAAATAATTATAATACACGTTCAACTATAAACTTTATTGCATAATATTTACTTGCAATATTCATTTGAATAACTTATCAATTTATGATAAATCATTGTTTAAAATCTTAGATAATATATTACATTATCTACGTTTAAAATTTAAATTAAATATTATTTATCATGATAAGAAATGATAACGTAATCAATATTATTTTTTGATATAATCTAGTGAGTATAAACTATGAGTATTATCGAACTTCCTTGATAAATCGTGTTGAAAAATTTTTAGGTTAACATATTTTCAGTCGCCTGATGAATGACGACTACCTACTTTTCAATTCCAAATGATGTTATATGACTGCTGTTGACGCTGTGTTGCGCTGTCGCTGATAGATCATAAACTGTTTTGGTCTCTGAACTATTTCTATTTGTTATTTGTTAAGTATTTCATTATAAATTCATCGAGACGTTCTTGTAAGAGTTCACGATGCCGGAGGAAGTGCCTCATTTCGTTCAGCCAGAAATACAAAATAATCCATTTGGATGGGGACCGTGCGAAATGCCCGACCAATTTAAAGATATGCCATACCAACCCTTTTCAAAAGGAGATCGTATTGGAAAAGTAAAATAACTTAAATCATACATTCATACTGTTTTCAATATTAATCTGGGTTTTCTCTTTAGATTTCCGACTGGACTGGCCTATCACAAGACAAAAAATATTTGAGTGAGTATGGTTTGTTTTAATAACGGTTTACCAAAAACCATTAATTTGTAACTTTTTCAGACAAATACCAGTCTCAGTTTGGTGGTGGAACTCAATATACATATTATCATGAAGAAGATGAAAACACATTCCATTTAGTAGACACTGCTCGTGTTCAGAAACCCCCTTACCAACGTGGTCGTCATTTCCGTCAAGGTGGCCGTATGATGCGTGGACAAGGTGGTCGCGGTGGTTTATCTCGATTACCTGGTGGTTCAAATCAGTTCCAAACTCTTGGAAAATTAAATAAACTTCAAAGGTCTAATATTTTATATTTTTAAGCGATCTGTGTGACACAAATACTATATTTTTAATTTGTGACCTATTATTCAATATGTCATATACATATGATAACACAAAATATTGTAGCTAGACACATTTTGATTGGAATTGGTTTTTTTTGGACAATAGGAGGTACTGAAATACATATTTTGAATTCATTTTCAAAATTCTAACTTTTGAAGTGTACAAATTAAAATAAAACTTACATTTTTTTAAATGAAAATACTTTTAATTCCTATAAGTAACATTTTTATTGAACACGTCTTTTTTTTAATCTGAAATTTATGGGCCGATGTAGGATATTTTCTGTTAGTTTGAATAATGAAATCAGAGTTCTGTCAAATTAAATTACAATATAAATTTTCAGAAATGTTAATATTTTTAGTAAGACCTGAACATGAAAAGTTATTGAAATGCCCAACAAAATTGTGTATGATTTCAAAATTAAAAAAGCAATATTTTGTGTTTTTAATAACAAAATATGTGATTATATTAATATTTCTTTCATTTTATCATCAATCTTTTTATCTCGATAAGTATTAGCATAGTTTCTACGGCTTATGGAGATTTTGCTTATTGGGCTTACCTCTAGGTCTGCCATCTTTTAAATGTAGCAGCCATAATTATAATTAATAAAATATTTCCAGAGATCGGAAGAATCCAAATGCACGTAGAGGTTGGAATAAAAACCAAGGAGGGCGATCTAATAAAAACAATATGCAGATGAAAAGTCGTGATGCTTCAGTTACTGTACGTGCTGATTGGAATACAATAGAAGAGATGGACTTTGTAAGATTTTCGAAATTATCATTGCCAAATATTAAGGAGCCTGAAGATTTGTAGGTTTTTTCATTAAATAAATTAAATTTAAGTCTGATTGTATTTAACATTTCTGTTTTTCTTAATTATTATAGGGTCTGTTGTGGCTCTTTGGAATACTATGATAAATCCTACGACCGAATTAATGTGAAAAATGAAAAACCACTTCAACGTGTTGATAGACTTTTCCATACTGTTACTACTACTGATGATCCAGTTATAAGAAAAGTAAGTTTATAAATTTAAGATCCCCTGCACGGTCCATATTATTAGTTATTACTTTTCTATGGCTTTCATTGTTATAAATATTTTTTACGGAATTTGAGGTTTAGTATGATATGATGATTCTAGTGTTTATAAAATCTACAATTACAGTGGCACACCTATCAATAGTGTTAGATTTTTTTTATAATTCATAATCTTTTTTCCTTATTGTCCTATAGTTTGTAATTTATAAAAAGAAATTATTTTTTTCTATAATCAATAATATAAGTTGTGGTTTAATTATTTAAAAAGTATGCATTTTTTAATATTCAGTCTCATTTATGATTGAAATTCATTTAGTATCTATTGGTTATCCTTATGCTTTTAACTTTGTCAATATATATTTTTTTAATTTGGGTTTTGTGTGAGGGCAACACATTAGGATAAAAATTACATTTTTATAGATTTTTAGTTTTCTTTTTTTTAAAATTTACAAAATATCCATTTTGTAAAAAATATTTTAAACATTTTAATGTAATATATCTATTCATATTTCATACCCAATCAATAATTTCTTAGTTATAGCGGCTTTTAAATACATAGAAAATAAGCCTGAAAACAATCAATATTCAATAGAAGATATAGAATTACCCTGCTGATTGTGATTCCTTATCACTTAATGTGTTATTCTATTGAAAATTAATAATTTTCACCAATTTTCTAGAAACTAAAATGTCTTTTACTAAGAAAATATTCATCGGGTATAAATGTATGCTACATTAAAATGTTAAGAATAATATCTTACAAAATGGATATTTTGAAAATATTAAAGTTATTTTTTTTTTCAATAATTAAGAGATGAAAATAAAATGAATATTGATCAAATTATTAGCATAAGAATAACACTGAAAGACACCCTGTATATAATAATACTTTTTATTTAATATTTAATTATAAGTTAATATTTTTTAAATTTTATAAGAAATCAATGAATACTAACTTACAAAATTAATATATTATGAACTCCCATATTAATATATTTTATCTAGATACATTTTTTTTTTTCACATGCTTCTAAATTTAAAAAAACTTAAATTAATTGTTTATTTTTAATAGTTGGTGAAAACTGTGGGAAATGTTTATGCAACAGATACTATATTGGCATGTTTGATGTGTTGTACTCGTTCTAACTACAGTTGGGACATAGTTATTGAAAAAGTTGGTGATAAACTGTTCTTTGACAAGAGAGACAACACTGAATTTGGTAAGATTATTGTACTATTTTATTTACTTAATTGTATTATTTAATTTAACACAATAAATATTTACTTTTAGATTTGCTTACTGTTAATGAGACTGCTGTAGAACCTCCATCAGAAGAAGCAAACAGCTTGAATTCACCAAGAAATTTGGCATTAGAAGCTACATTTATCAATCATAATTTCTCTCAACAAGTTTTAAAAACTGTATGTGTTTATTGAAAAGTAAAAGAAATAATTTGTATAATTATTATATAATATTTAAGGGAGAACAACGGTACAAGTTTGATGAGCCCAACCCATTTATATCAGATGATGAAACTGAAGGAGAAGTAGCGTCTGTTGCTTATCGATATCGTAAATGGGATTTGGATAATGGAATTGTATTAGTTGCCAGGTGTGAACATGACTCTGTCCTACAAGTACCTAATGGAGATTTACAGTTTTTGACTATCAAAGCACTCAATGAATGGGACTCAAAAGTACGATAACAGTAATTATAATTTAATTATGTAATTTGTAATTTATGTTTTTATTTTATTTGTCAAACTAGTTGTCTGGTGGAGTAGATTGGCGTCACAAATTAGATGTACAACGTGGAGGAGTTTTAGCCACTGAATTGCGAAATAATGCTGGGAAATTAGCTAAATGGACAGTTCAAGCTTTGTTAGCAGGCTCAGATTACATAAAGTTTGGTTATGTTAGTCGTGTTCAAGTTCGTGACTCGTCCAAACATGTAATATTAGGTACACAACAGTACAAGCCTACTGAATTTGCTACACAGATAAATCTGAACATGGATAATGCTTGGGGAATTTTGAGATGCATTATAGATTTATGTATGAAGCAAAAAGATGGGAAATTCCTCATTATGAAAGATCCAAACAAGGTAGGTTTTTTTTTTTAATTCAACTTTTTTTTTTTTCGTGATTAGTAACTAACTAATATATTTTTTAATAATAGCCGCTCATTCGTTTGTATGACATTCCGGATAATACTTTTGATTCGGACAATGAAGAAAATGAAGATGAAGAAAGTGGTAAGAATATTTTTTTTGTAGTTTATTTCGATTCAAATTAAAATACTCTATTGCTACTGCTTTAATAACTATTAAATGTATACCTAATTGTATGATTTTTAATTAAATATATTTTATCAGCATTATGTTTTTGTTTAGGTGAAAAATCAACAATACCAGAAGAACTACTTCCACCAAATCCATGAGAGACAATTTATATTTCATTTACTTAAAACAACAAAAAAAAAAAAAAAAAATAGTTTATATTCTTTAGTCTTTTAATATGTTTTTCGTTCATAAACTTAATATATTGCAGTATATTTACTACCAGATTCATTCTACAATGAAATACTTATTTAAACATTTATTTCTATTATCTATTAAAATATTATACAATTCAATTTTTTTTAATGGAGTTATTAAGATATTGTATACTTAATCATTCCTAATGACTTCTCTTTTTGCTAGTACTAAAAAAATAAGGTTCTTAAATTTCAGAACAATAACCACGAGTAGCAAAAGACTCGTATCTATTTGTACGTTGTGTTTTTGTATGTAATTTTTATTTCATCATACTTTGAGATAAAAGAAAAAAAAATGTGTCTAAATTAAGAACTTTTATCAGAATTCTAGTAAAAAACTATGAAAATCATATATATTATGGTATTTCAAAACATGTTTGCAAAGATGAATTGTTGTGTACATATATAATTTCCCCTCTCTGTCCTATCTTCTCAACTTCTCACCTACAACAGTGGCCCACCCATTGTGTAAAGTATGACCGTATCTCTTATTCCTAGTGGTTAATTTGATGTTTTATCAATTTTGCCTCGATTTTCAAATAGTACGACTATTCACGTATAGAAAAAACATTAGTTATCATTGACCTTGTTCCATAAGTTTTAAATAATTTGGTTTTTTTTTTGTGTTAGTCACATTACTATTATTATCAGATTTAACTTTTGAAAAAGTTGAATAGAAAAATTGTATTTTGCTTGTATTCCATTTTTTAGTGCTATTACCTCAGCCCTGATTATTATTTTCTAAAAAGAAACATGTTCTTCTAGATCATTTTAACTTCGATTATATTATATATAGCCACTGGAAGTTGTAGTCACTTATTAATATTTGAATGAGAAACAGTTAACATCAGCAAGTATGACATAATGATTTTTATTCCCGGTAAAATATAAAATTAAGGATGACAGTGTTTATGTTGACCTTTTTGAATTTTTGACAACCCAAGTGAACACAAAAAGATTATTCTTATTTTATATTCTCATCCATAAAAATAATATTTATCAAACGGAAATATAAGTACCTATATAAATTGTATTGTTTAATATAATTTTGATGTATTAAATATATATATATATATGATAAATATTTTAAATTGTGTACCTACCTACATGTTTGATAATTTGATAAACTTTGTTAAACTTCATATTCCAAGTTTACCCCTTTGGGTGCATCACTATACTCACTTTCTTGTATAGTATCTATCCTATTGTATACTTTTTTGTGAATTGAATTACTTTGTTGATTATTTTTAACAATATCAAATGCTACAACCTATCGAAATTTTGATTTAACTCAATATTTTGAATTCGATGTTCTAATTATAAAAATTGAAAGTTTGTTAGGTACAAATTTTTCATTTAGTGTGTACCAATACAAGCATATATTAACGAAACTATAATATATGTTATAAAATATTATTTTGAAACAGTAGATACACTAATATCATTGTTATTTCAAAAAGAAATACCCCCAACCTAACATACAGATTTTTATTTTATAGGTATTTAATTACTTTAATAGGGAAGTGTGGTAGTATCCATACTCCTTCCCATAGGTCCCTCTCCGGCTGTGTCGACTTAATATATTATATTGGCTTCCAAATTGACCCTCCCCAGAAAAAAAACTCGCCACCACCAATGGATATGTGAGGCACCTAGAACACGAGAGGTTCACGTGACGTTTATTGATTCCGAGAAAATCAAGTTTAAAGTTATTTGTATTTAATATAATTATTATAGTATAGGTATTATCATATCATCACATATTCGAATGATCGAAAAATAACATTTAGCCACTTTGCGGTAAAGAGACGTAAGTGTGTGTGTGTGTACAGCTGTTGTGGACCCTCGTACCTATTCACCTCTTAATACGTTATGACAATAGACCGGTTTTAATTGATATTGCAACAAATATTTTTTGCAATAAAGATAAATCAGATCCGACTGAATGTCTAGCCGATATATACTAAAAATATTCTGTCTATTTAATTTTACAATGAAATTTGTTTCAATTTTCGAATCTCTTGCAATCTTTTCTCACGTTTTTAAACCGTAGGCGTTTGTCGTTCGTCCGAAATTTTCTAGAACCGCGGAGAGCCCAGCGAGCGATAAGCGTCTATATTTATATATATACGGCGGTAATTAAATTCGACGTAGTGGTACATCGATTCGCGTGCGTGTGCCCGTTGGTGCCTTTGATTGGTATTTCTTTGATCAGTTTGACCGCACAGTGAACGTATGCGACGTAAAGCCTAAAATAAAATCAACTTTAAACAGTAACATTTCAAATTGGATTGCCCCTTACAACGAAAATAAAGAAGTGTTTTCATCAGACGGAAAGGTTATATGTTGACTCGCGTGTAACAAATCTGTGTACACTGTACAAAAAAATATCTAATAGATCATTATTCCAAAACAAGTAAGTTTTGTATTTTATGCTCATACTACATATTATTTTAATAATACATGTGTATTTTTTTCTAGTTCATCGCATAAATGCGTTACAAATGAATATTGAAAAAAAAAAAACAGCTTTTGATTACTTCTCAAAATTCGGAATAGTAAAAATGTATTTTTTGAAGATTTATGTAATTCATTTGTTGTTGCAAATTATTATTCCGTTGCAGAACCTGGGCAATCATGTGTTAAAATCATTTTCGGAAAAACTTACTGGCAAATCGATTCCGAACGAAAGCACATTAAAGAAAAAAATAACATATCAAATATTTATAAAAACGTTATGGGCCAAATAATTAGTGACATTGGAAACAATTACGTTTACATAATTGTTGACGAAACAACCGATCCAAGTGGTTTGTGTAGATAATTTTTTTCATTCCTCATATAACAAAATGTATTATTTTCATTTAGGTTCGGCTATTGCACATTTATCAATTGGTAAATTAGATGGGACGCCTAGTAAATCATATTTAGTTGCATGTAAAGAACTAGGATCCACCAATTATGAAACTATTTGTCAGTTTATTGATTCCTCGTTAAATATACTTCCTGGTATTGGACACAAATTATTACTTTTTATTAGTGATGCTGGTAATTGTATGATCAAACAGCAAAACATTAAAAATATTTTGCCCGAAATTAATTCATATTTACATGTATGGCGCACGCAGTTAATACAGTTATAAAGAAAATTCAAGAATTGTATCCCAACATCAATAGATTGATTAACAATGGTAATATATTAAGTACCTATTTAAAATTTAAATACATATGTAACTTATGTCGTTTATTTCAGGAAAATAAGCTTTCCTAAAAGCACCATTGAGAATAAATAAATACAGAAAAGAAATGTTGTGTACATCTTTACCACCCGAACCCATTATTACAAGATGGGGTACATGGTTAAATGTTGCACTTTTCTATGCAAATAATTTTGAAGAGTTTAAAAACGCGATTGGAAGTTTAACAAGCAATGCTAAAAGTTTTGAAAAGCTGAAACAGCTTGTACAAAATAATGCAATTAAATGTGGTTTAGCATTCATAAAATTACACTTCTCTGAGTTATCCATGAATCTTAACAATTGGGAAGAATCCAATAGTGAACTACTGAAAAGCATGGATATTTTCAGAAAAATTGAACATTTTTAAACAAATATTTCTGGTCCAAATGAGAAAAAAATTAAAGAAAAATGTATGTTAGTAATTGAAAAAAATAAAGAGTATAAAACTTTAAAGTCCTACTATAAAGTCATGTCAGGTAAAACAAATGTTAATTTAGATATAACGCCTACTTTATTAAATTGTTTTAAATATGCACCAATAACTAGTGTAGAACGTAGTCTTTCTTTTTACGTATTTTTTGGTGTAATATATAATTTTAATATGCAATTTTTGTGTGTTTTAAATGCAATTAAATCCGTTCTTTGGTTATGACATTTGCATTCGAAGACTATTTTAGTGAGAACTAGTATTTGGTACTAGTATATGATACTAGATCGCGGCACATGATGGATAATTTTCTTATATTTCTTTACGACAAAATAAAATGGAATATTTTTAGTTTAACTGTGTTCTTAACTCAGATTTTTTTAAAAATGTCACTTATATCTACCACTATCTACCACATTTGACAAATACAATTAATTAGTTTTAAGTACCTATAATATAAATTAACACTATTGACTCCAATTAAAGCATGACGATGCAAATCTAAAAGTGATGCAGTAGAATAAGTATTTCCAGCTGTTCTTTCATTAACTATTTACTTTATAAATTTTAAAATTATCCAGATTAATAGAAATGCCCAGTCCGAGATGAAAAAACGAATTTGATTCGACCCGAGAAAAATAGTGAAATATAAAAAAAAAAAGTTGAGTGTAACGCAGTGTTTTTTAAATCGTTCAAATTTCGACGAAAATCGTAAAAACCACACTACATTCACGACACACGAACGGTCGCGTGAATTCGTTCATTCAATTTAATAAGTATATCGTTTGCAATGGTTTATTGCTGGGTGTATATAAATTAAATAACTTGTAACTTGCTACTTGACAACTTTTCCAACGACAATAGTGGCACACCTGTCGGCAGTACGTCAGATTTTTTCATTTCATAATGTTATAATATTGCATGCCTACTCACTAATAGTGTTTTGTACATTTATTTGAATGCAATTATATTACCTATATTACACGGGCGTATTTATTTAAGAATGCGTTTACGGCTGGCGATACGTGTACCATCGGGATTACCCTATTGTCGAAATGTACGGGGCGCATGATGATGACGATGAGGATAATGCCCGTACACAGATTTACACCCACCTACTGAATGGCGCAATGATACGGGGGAGAAAATGTGCTCCCGGCGAAATCCAATGATACGTTTCGAACGTCGCCGTAGACAGGATGTGACGACGCGTGCTTGACAACGAAGTTAACGAAACTGCGGGGATAGCCACAATGCGGCGGCAACGCATTAAAGCTAAAAAAAAAAAAAACAAACGGACGTACTTGGCACGGTGGGCGGGCCACTGTTGTAGGTGAGAAGTTGCAGAGAAGGAGAGGGGAGATTTTATGTGTATCTGTACGTAATGATTAATCACTGCTAACGAAAAACGATTCACAGCGGAGTTCGGTTTTGAAAGGCCGTAATATTTACGATTTGAAAATAACACACTTCGTACATTTTCCCGTTTTCCACGATTTTGCCCATTTCTTATGAAAACGCATGGGTAAAAAGACCTCCCTAATGTACCACCTTAGTCAAATATCCTTTCAGAAAAAGTGCTACAATTGAAAATCGGAGCGTAAACTTCTGGTAGAAAAATTGCTCGCAGAAAAAAAATAACATAAACATCATTGTAAAACCAATACACATTTCCTCGCTTCACTCGAAATTTAAATTGTGACATATTTTATATTCTCTGCCGTGACGAATTTTCAACAATATTTAGCTACTGACTATCGCCTATTATTATAGTGGTAGCTATGTCGGTCGAAATCCAATTAGAACTCGTGAGAATTTGCATGTCTTCTCGTTTTTTCATATATAATATTATTATGACATACTTCAATGAAAAAAAGAAAATGTACATACAAGTTTGTATATCATAATATACCTACTATTAGTGTTTACCATTAGGCACGTATATAGGAGGGAGGAGAATCAACCCTCCTTCCGAAAATTAATAATTGCGTAATTTAATTATATAAATTTAATATTTTTTTATGAATATTGATAATATTGATATTATTGTACATTTTTTATAAACCCCCCTCCCCCGAATTTTTTTTGGTGTACGTGCCTGTTTACCACTATTATACCTATTGAAACTAGACCCATTTAATGAAGCTATTTATATGAAATGGATGCCAGAAATCTTGCTTCATTCGTCAACTTTTAGAGTATAATTTGTGGGAGCAATAAAAATTGATATCTGTCATTTTTAATTTAATTAAATCTCTACTGGTGGGTACATAGGTGCCCGAAGGAGATGGGCAACGTGGAGCGTTTGTTCCCTCTCTAGCTTTAATATTTCAATACATTTTTCATATTAAAATAACTTTCTGTTTTTTATTTTTATTTATCGGATCGTACATTGCATCATTGCATAAAGTATAAAATATAAAATCTTGCCCCCCCCATAGAAATATTTCTGTGTGCTCCAATATACGAGTATACGCTTATCATTGAATCGTTTATAATGATTTCAGATCTGGCGGATTATTCATTTTATGCTCTACAAATGGTCGGTTTTAATGAGCTTCATTCGTGTAGCTATCTCAACAATTGTATAGTAATAACACATTGTGATCTGACAAGAATTTAAAATAATACCAACTTCCAGAAATCTAGGTAACAATTTTAAAATTCCTTGCTGTAATAATTCACCGGGCTGTAAATATTATTGTCCGGATATTGTCGTCCGTTATATTATATTTGGTAATTATAGCAGTACGATTAGATTAGGTCATTAGCAAACTTATGTTTTTAGGATTTATTGATCTGATATTGCAACAGAATTTAATAATAATATCATAGTAATAAGTATATACCATACCTAACTTATTGCGCCCATAATTTTACATTTAGGCTGTCGGAGCCAGTTTTCCAAATTTTGTAAAATTTGAAAATTATTTTTAACTTTTTTTGACAACCTTAAATTTAATAATTTTTCATTAATCTACTGCCCGATATCTACTTGGGGAGAACTGGATAAGGGTTTTACGTACGAAAATGACATCTCGGGAAAACATCAATTTCAATTTTTATTTTTTTGTTACCTATTTCAATGAACAAAACTTTTTATAGGGGTCACATATGGTTTTGATTTTTGATTAATGTGTATAATTTGTTGTGCAATGGCATAAAGAAAGAGTAAAAAAATAACGAAAATTCGAATTGTTCTGACGCTGAATACAATTTCTATAAATTTTAATTTTGAAAATCAGTGTTCAATGCCATCTAGAGAAAGTGTATTTTCAAATAAAAAAAAAAAAATGTATCAGATTCTAACCTATTCTACGAGGTGTTAGAGTTTCTCTCGTGAGGCGTGTTTTTGTACGATCGTGGTCAGTAGCGTGCCTAAGAATTTTTAATGGGAGGGGATATATCAAACAAGAATCGTAAAATCGTCTTCTCTACCCAAATTACTATATGAGAATTAGTAATTTAAAAGTTGGATCATAAAAGACAGCCAATTTCTAATAAACGCATCAAGCTTTTCCTCGTAAGTTGGTTGAAATATATGCAATTCGTTACTAAATAACTCATATTTTTTTGTATTTTTAGGCCAATAGGGGGGGAATATAATTCTTAACCTCCCCCTCCTGCATATGCCACTGGTCGTGGTCCTGACAACATATTACATAGTATTAATGGATAAGAAGCGGTGATTGACTTTATATTTTTCCACAATTATTTTTATAGCTCATGTATAGTGAACAATTTTTTTTTTTTCTGGAAAGGTTAACTGAACCGACTGTCTCTATGTCCCGTAAACCGTAATATATGTTGGTTCCCCGTCGACCCGCCAAGAAAAATTATCGCGTCGCCACAATAATAGTATCGAAATATACTACGAACAATATTTGTTTAAGCGTAAAATTTATTTATATTATCGAACGGCTAGTTGGGATGGAAATAAGACTTTACTTTTCGACCAAACATGAAATTAATTAGTATAACACATTAATTAAAGTACCATCGAGTTCTAATTGTCTAACCGTTTAACGTTTTTACTGAACTGAAACTGTACCGGAGAAAGTTGATTGTAATTTGTAATCTTAAGTGATCTTAAATAGGAAAAAATTCAATTTTACTTGCATACCTCATCCAAAACACGCACTAATTTTGAATTTTCTTTGTTTATTTCTCTAAGTTCTGTGCAATTCGATAAACTCCGCCCATACCAATTAAAACACAGGCATCTTAAAAATGTTGAATTTAAATAAAATTTAAAATAATTAATGATTCAATTTGATTAATTCAATTTTAACTATATTCTACGTCTGGAATTATTAAACACAAGACGGAATACAGATCAAATTATTCGCCATGATTTAAAATTTTGGTACCTCTACTATAAATACGGGAAAAGTTGAGTTATCTTCCACAAAACAGCTAAATGTTTGGAAACTGATAAATTTATCTCATTTTACTGAATAATAAACTGTATCTAATTGGCAACTCACATAGTGAACAGTTCACTTTATATTTATATTTAATCAAGTTGTTTACGTATAATACTCGTATAAAACGTTATACATTTTCGCCAGCTTAGGTAGAATGTTAATTACTGCAATAATAATTTTTTTTTTAAAAAAACCCGATTTTATGTTAATTATGTTCATAAATCGAGAATATTTTAATTGTATGTGTGGATCGCCGTTTGGAAATGTGAAATGCGGTCTGTCCGTCAATAACAGACAGAAAACTGCGCGAAAATAAGAAAACACTTAGTGAGAAAGAAAGGCCGCTGCAAATAATCTAAGCGTGGCCGGCGTGGAGTGGGATCACTGCATCGTGCAATATGTTAATATTTTCTTATCGTCGTCAGTGTTATTTGATATAATAATCTACAGTCAGATAGATGCATACAGTACAGTCAAGTTAAACAATATTTTTAGTTTAGTGAACTTTGTACACATCTACTGTACCTAATAATAATAATATACAGGAGACGCTGCGTATCAAAAACCATCACTTGTTTATTGTGTAATATTTGGCGTATTTTTGGTTAACAGTTTGCTATAATATAGCAAATTATTATATTTGGTTGCAATATCGTCGAACAGTGGCGGTGAAATGGGGGGGGGATAAGCGATACGTGTCCTCCTCATTAAGTAATTTTTTTTAAATATTTTTAATAATATACAGAGTGATTTTTTTTTAAGCGTGCCTTGTGCTCACCCCATTTTATGATTAAATTATTATGTATGAATTCAAATTTTGATGTTTTGAATTTTTAAGTGGAGTGAAAGACGATATTTTGGAATACTTAGATTTTTCGCAACATTTAAGAAGTATCCTGTGACAATACCAACTTTGGTTTTACTAATGCGAGTATATATATTTTAATGTAAATTTTCATTCGGATGATTTGTCTAAAAATGTTGATTGAAATTTGAACGAATAACTTCAGAGTTATATTACTTTAAATGCTAAAGAATAATAACTACTAGCGACGGTTCTGCAGGGGGAGTGCGTTATACGGATCCCCCCCCCCTTTGGCCTTTTATATATTAAAACAAAAACCTGATATATATCTATGTTTTACATTATTTTATGATTAATAATTGTGGTAACAAAGCGAGAAAAAAATAAACGATTTTAATATTTTTTAGCAACACTAGGTTCCACCTATTCTGTGATATGGTCAGGATTGGGGACAATATGCATCACTAACTAAAATATAGATCGATTTGCAAAACAAAAAAACCGAAAAAGGACTTTTATTTTGTAATATTACATGAAATACATTTTTAAATTTAACAAACTATTTATTTTTTTTATGACTACTACTTTTAAGGATTGTATTTGATGTGAAAAATATTTCGCCCCCCCCCCCCTTAGAATTTGTCTATGACTACCACTTATAACTACACAATTCAAAACACATAAAACAACATTAGTATCCAATCCCCGTAAAAGACTATTTTTAGTAGAATAACTCAGAAACATTTCGTTCAATTTTAATGACAATATTAAAAAAAAAAAAAAAAAAATCATTACATAGGTAGCATAATATGTATTATAACAACATATAGGTTCTCATTCGAAAAAAACAATATTATTATCACAGGATACTCCTTAAAATAACTCAACAACATTTTCAATGTTGTGAAAAATCTAAGTATTTAAAAATATTATCGTTCACAGCACTTAAAAATTGCAAAAATCAGAATTTGAATTTTTGCACAATTGAATCACACAAATGAGGTGAGTATACTTAAAAAATTACCCTGTATATTATATTATATCTTCATAGGTATAAAAAAGATTAAGTAAATAATAATAGTTCTTAAAAATCATCCTTATTCCCCTCTCTCCCCAATGGCAAAATCACTCGACTGCCACTTTCGCCGAAACGGGTTTTTTTCGTTTACTCATTTACGGTACCTTGAGTATTTTAATCGAACGCGCTGATAACCAGTAACCGGAGACAGTAAAACGATGGGGTTTTTAATGTTGTTTACCGTTTGAAAATATCGTTCAGTTATCGAACAGTGGCGTATCCAGTGATATTTTTAAACCGTTACGCAGAGTACGCGAAAGGAAAAAAAAAAAAAAACATTTGAAAATCGACAACGTTCGCAGTCTTATCCGTCCGAACTTGTTACCCTGCGAATAACGTGTGTTGGCATTCGAACAACGGTCAGCGGTAAAACAAGTATCGCCGTCCAAAACGGTTTGTTCGCTAAACCGACTAACTAGCATTTATATTGTAGCCGGGTCGCCGAAAACCGCGCTGCCAAAACACGGTTATGACGTTATCGGGTAGGGGAACGCCGAAAGGTGGCGAAAAAAAAAAAAAAAAAAGACCCGCTCGAAACCCCTAGAGTCTCGCCGCACGTCGAAGGGGTTTCCCCGGTGGTCGCCATGGCGACGAAGACGACGCCGCGGCGCCGCCGCCACCGCGTGCGCCGTCGTCGCCGAAAGGGTCGCCGTCATCGTGCGGTTCACGCGGCCCGGCCGGCCGGCAGAGAACGTCCGTCCGCGGCGCCCACCGCCAGTGTTCCGCCGCCGGTACGCCGGCCACTGTTTCGCGCGCCCGAACGACGTGACGTCTCCCGGGAAATCCGCCGAGGACAGTTATTGCGATTGTATCGATACCGTCTCTTTCGGGTGTCGTTCGTCGGACGACGACCACGGGAGTCACGCACGCCCGAACACAATATGATGTTGCCCGGACCGACGACGACCCGTTCCGCACCGGCTGACCTGTCGTAAGTGCGATACATTTATATAATATTACGTGCCTTTAGCTATCGCGTTATTATGCGTGCAGCGCCTATAAATAATATAAGAGTATCTCGAGTGCCCGCGGTATACTATTGTAACAATCGACGGTAGCGCGTAGATCTTCTGTCGTTATGCGTCGGTGTCCTCTTTCGATTGTTTTCGAAAAAATCGCGCGTGCTCCGGAAATGTAATTCGTATTGTTTAACGGCGCGGCGACGAGCACGGTGGTATTATTGTCGTATATCCGCCAAACACGGTTTTTGCCCGGTACTCGATCGCCGAGAACGGCGTACATACTTGTGTAGTGCAGTCCGGTTCCGAACGGTTGACGAACATTCGATGTTGTCTCCGCCGCCTTTTGAACGGATACCGTCGTTACGGGTGAAATATTCCATTGGTCCACGCAGACGAGTGGTCTCTGCGTGAGGTGCCTATAGTCATTATCGCACCAATACCTACGATCGACAATTACGGTTTAAATACCGTTGGTAAACGATGTCGAAACCGCCGCGTACCCGTAATAATGGCTAGGTACACATATGCGCGCGAGTAAAAAACGTGGCGAAATCCGTTTGGCTATTTTTCGTTCATTCATTTTTTCTTATTCCGAACCGGCCGCGGCGTAGGGTCTTGCGATAATAATTCGACAACGGAAACGCAAATCAATCGCCGTACAAAATGTATAAGCTCAGGACGTGGCCGTACCGCTGTACGTTAACAAAGTCGTTGCCGTCGTCGTATTAACCACTCACCGCGCGTGTTGTTCTTCCCTCTCGCGAAACATGTCGTGCGGACGGACGGTCGACTGCCGTATGCACCGCGCCATACAGCCGCTGTTGTCGCGTCACGCGGGCCGTCGCGGACTTTTATCCGGCCTGCCCGGTGTTATTGCGTTATTTGTTTGCCCGGCCGAATTCTGCGCGACGGCATTATCGTCATCGTCGTCTGTCATCCGGTGCGCCCGATTGTTATTGCTGTTATTACTGTTGTTGCGTCGCGAACGGAGCGCCTAACACGTTACCAATTTATAACGCCGCCGGTAAACACGACCGTCTCGCCGCGCGCGCTTATTCGCCGTCCTTGCGGGCATTATTTGGAGACGCGGTAAGGTGTCGTCTATCTGAATAGTTTGTAACTGCTTGATTCGTTTCGAGTGCCCACTCGAACGCAACATATTTGCGTTTATTTTACTGCGGATAACCGCCAACGGTTTACGGTTTACAGTCGTTGTTAATTGTCGTTACCGTAATATTACGCCGATTCCGATAAACGCGCGGTATAATATAGATAATTTTTTCCGAGGGAATTCCTCGCGTCATCGTCGTCTCATTCTTATCTGAACTTTGAAAGTTTATCTATTATAAACGTAACAGTATACCGTTTAAGAACTATCGATTCAACGTGCGACGTTCTCCGCACCACCGGGGTTTGTTAAAATAAACTATTGTGAAATTCGCCTGTATACACTTATTGTGTATCTACCGATAATTATCGCGCACGAAATATGATTAATGTAAACATCAGTCCAATAAGCACTCGCTGTCCTATAGGTATAAATATATTTTACGATATGACGTTCAACCACCAGACGGACTACCGTCCGGACCCGGGTCGTTACTCGGTCGTTACTTTTTACAATCCGACCGCACTCGATAAATGTCCTCCCGATTGTGACGTACACGCGAGCAAGTACATAAAACATGCTCGTAAACGTGCATAAAACGCAATTGTGTGCGGTTTCAGATCGCAACGAGTTGTCTGCAGTTGGACGCACACTTGTACTGTATAATGTACACCGTGAAAAAACTAGGCGGTTACTAAAAAAACCACTTAAAATATCAATATCTATTACCACGAGTCGAACACAAAAAATAAACAATGTGACCCTTTTTAATTTTTACGTAATAATATATTTTAGGCGCATCTACGCAAACATAAGGTGTATAATAGTTTTATTAAAAAAAAAAAAAAAAAAAAAAAATGTATGGTTTATGAATTGTTTATTGGTATAGGCAGATGCAAGTTCCGTGCTGTAGTCTACGTTTTTATTTTATATTGTGGATACAGTTGGATTTTAAACGAGCACCTTAATCTCTATCACAGTCAACCGCCGTCGAGTAATTTATCTTTTATTAAGGGTACTTCGTCTTGTCTGTGACAGCCAAATTAAAATAGTCATAATAACTGTTTTATTATTATTATTTTATCCGTGACGCCAAAGTAACCCAGAAATCAACCGAAATAAATTGAATTTTGTCATAATAAAATATTAAAAATCAAGTGTGAGCCACCCTCTTTAGGAGTTAAATTTCGATGAAAAAAAAAAAAAAAAGGAGACGTCGACATTCCTCTTGTACTGAATGTGACGTGTACAAAGTTTCATTAAAATCGGAACAAAACTAGATTCGTACAGCGGACAGACAAGACAGAATTTAAATTGTATAATATGTTACATTAACTACAATATTATATCTCCGTATTTTTTTTATAACATTCAAGTACTCGTCATATTATACACTTGTTATTTTATTGAATTGATTTTGTTATCGTATTATATCGAATGAAACTTAAGATAACAGTTATCGACGTTGATTTTTAACTCGGGTTTTCAACTATGTTATTTGTGTAATATTCGTAATTTATCTAACTTCAAATTTAATTTTGACCGTAATTTTATAACTACCTACTTAAATGCATTTTTAAATCATAATGAATATAGACTGCGGGGATAATGAAGTCTTAATATTTCATTTTAGATCGTAATATGATTCAAGTAAATTTTGTATAAATAGATATCTCGTAAATAAATAACCGAAACGGATCCAAAGGCAAATCTTATTTTTCATCATTAAATTAATCTTATAAGCTATAGTCAATAACATATTAACTTTAATAATTAAGGTGCAATTTTCAATGGTTTCGCAAAATCTCTGTCTTTCTAACGGTCAATTTATATAGCAAAATTTAATTCGGGGCAAAACAAAAGAAAAAGCCTTTAAAATCTGTTTTAGAGACAAATAAAATTTGTAAATAACACCAACGAGATTTTCTTCAACATTTTGTAATCTATACACTTTATAATTGTTGTTTTATTTCTAAAACCAATTTTTAAAGCCTTCTTGTTTGTTTCACGAAAACGAATTGTTATTATATTGTCCGAGTTAGACAGCTGTATAGCTTCTTAATATATATTAAAGATGTTTAGTAGTAAACAAATACGTATTCAGTGGCAAAGTAGTGGGAATTAAATTAACATTCGAAAACCGGAATATTTTTCAACTATCGTATTATATATGTATCTATACATATTTTTCTAATTAAAAATACCGACAAACCATTGCTCCTCAAGTTATTTAAATGCTCTGATTATCAAATGTTTTTTTAAAATTTTTTTAACTTTTAAAATGCAAATGATACACCTACACGCGTACGTCAATTCAGAATAATTCAGATGCGCCGTTAGATACATATAATTGATGGTTTAAATATAATATCATAATCTAATCGGATGGTAAATATTAATTGCAAGTTTGCAACAAAAGGTATCGCTTATAATACCCAGGGACGGATTGAACCATCGGGCAATCCTGAAATTCCCGGCGGGCCGCGTACTGACGAGTTGAAATGGGCCGCTGGAGCAATCACTATTTTACATAACATATAATATTAAACATTACATATGTATACGCTATGTATAGACGGTTTTTTTTTTTAAAGGTTACTCGACATTTTTTTTTCATAAAAAGCGTCATAAAGCTAGATGGCAATAAACAATCTCATATATACATATAAAAAAAAACAAACCGATATACTTCGCACGATGGGTGGGCCGCCACTGTTATAGGTGAAAAGTGGGGAAGGTGGAGGGGAAATTGAATGCATGAAAATCTATGTATCTGTACGCAAAGATTAATCATTGCTAACGAAAACGATTCTAAGTATGGAGTTCGTTATATGTGTTTTGAAAAGCCGTAATATTTAGAATTTGAAATTAACATATTTCGTACATTTTCCCGTTTTTCCAACGTGTTTTTTCCATTTGTTATTAAAAACCTCGGGAAAATTAAAAAATAAATTTCCTAAAGGATCATTCTAGTCAGATTTCGTTTCAGAAAAAGTGCTACATTCTTGAAAATCGGAGTAAAATTTCTGATAGAAAAGTTGTTCACAAAAAAAAAAAATAAACATTGTAAAACCAACACATTCCTCGCTCCGTTCAGAATCTATAATTAATGATCAATAAACTTAAAACCAACTGAACTAATTTGCAACAACTTGTGTACACATATTATAGGAGGGCTGGAAAAGCAATAGCTAAAGGAAGAATAGAAAATCTATTTTTAAACATTTACAGACAACATTGGTTAATTACAGTGATAGAGACGGGGATGGAAACATAATAATAATACATATCAGAAGCTGAATAATAAATGTAGATAATCTTAAAATCAACTTCTCAGGGCTTGATTATTGATTAACCAATAGACTGAAATGGCAGCAGCCGTAAAATAGGGAGGGGGGAATACAATTACATATTTGGAGATTTGTTGGGCATTCTATATGAAGCCTTAGTCTAAATTATTATGAGCAAAGGTAGTCAATTAGAATGTTGTTTCAATTCACATATAGTATTAATAATGGCAGTATTCCATAGTAAGATATCTGGTACAAAAATAGTGAAACAACAAAAAAAAATAATCAATGATCATTGTAAAATTACAGAATAGATTAATTATAAAATTTGAGTTCCTTATTTTACGTGTACGTATATTAGCGTATTTCACTTCGTATTCACGTGAATTACACTAAAAAACGTAAACACAACTAGTAGATTTACGTGCATTAAGTTAAATGTAAGTACAATTTTTTTTATTTACGTATATACGGACTTCGTTTTCACATAGATACTTATTAGTTCTTTTTTTTAATCGATACTTCTACATAAAACTAATTTACTTAACTCGCTACGCTCAGAATATAAAAAAAAACTTATAAAGAAATAAAAGTCGTTCAATGATTTTGGAAATTTACCACGTCTAGGTAATTCCAATATTATTATTACCAAGTTTCAAATTTCTACGTGTATTTATAACCGAATAACAGCATAAAAACTCCCAAAAATTAGAATTCCTCAAAAGCTCAAAAGTTTTAGCGGTGATACCGTAAGAAATTAAATCAAAAAGCTAACAATAAAGGTATCTTGTTTTAAGCATTTTTTTTTTAGTAGAAAACGTCCGTGTTTTTATAGAATAATGAAATCGTGAAATTGTACGTTTTCCTACGTTTTTCTCACGTAAGTGCTTTTATTTAAAAAAATGGCGTCGAAAACTAAAAAAATAACTCGTTTAAAGTACCACCTAGACAATTTGAGATTTAAGAAAAGTTGCTACACGTAAAAATCGGAGCAAGTTTACTAGAAAAAAACGTGTTCACAAACTAGAACAAAGAAAAAGAAGAAAAAAAAAATAAACAACATTGTAAAACCAATAGCTCCCTCATTACGCTTGGGATCTAAAAATTTGTTTGAACAAATGTATTTTTGTTAAACATTTTTTAGCTATTTCGCATTATCTTACCTATGTTTATTTGATTTTTCTTATACGTATAGTCACTAAAAATTATTAACTTGAAAAATAATTTTAATTTGTATAAAATCCAGTTTACAGATGATATTCTGTGAATGTTTTTAAGAAATTATAATTGAGTTTCTTATTAGAAACAAATTGTTTAATGATGTAATACTTTATAATGCACATAAATGTGTTATTTATAATCACCAATTTTTGTATGGGTACACTTCAATAATTTTCTAATTTTTAACAACCCGGGGGTGAACAACACAAATTTCCGTTGTTTAAAATTATAGTCTAAAAATTAATTTAAATAAAATTACATCGTAAATAAGTACCAATATTTATTAAATAAATTAGTTTTACTTTTTCTATATATATTAGGAAATGTGTTACTATATAATTATGTATAACCACAACAACATTTACAATAATTATTTCAATAATATATCAATATATATAACATCAAAAATTATATAGGTACTGCAGTTCAATGTTAAATCAATAGTGAAATACAAGTTATAGTTAAAAATTTAATAATAATATTGAACGTGGAATATAGACGAAAAATAATATAAGGTGCGTATAGATATGGGTCGCATGTTATAAATAAATTAAATGTTTTGATTGCATGCTAAGTAATTATTACTTTGTAAAAAAACGCATAAAACCATAAAAGTATAATAATCTACAGAAATACTTTAGTGATGAGAAAATGAACAAAAAAAAAAAAAAAATATATTTTATAACAAAATGTCAGTTGTAACTTTGATAATTTTATTACAATTTTTAACTATTCATTTGATACTCTAAATCTTTATAGGTAGGTTATAATTTATAGGGCAAAATATTCCGGTTTTGTGCTTACAAATTTTAATGACTTAAAAGATGAAAAAGAGTTTGCACACATTGTGTGTATTCATTTATGAACAACGTCGCTACGCTCCTCGGATGTATTACTGCTTGGGTAGGTACCCTGATGGGTAGGCCACTGTTGTGGGTTGAAAGTTGGGAAGGTATAGGATGTATTAAAACATAATTTAATTTATATCAGTAAACACTGTATACTTATACGTATTTTTGATTAATTAAAATTAACTATACCGTCTATTAACGTCAATATATAATTCACTATACCATATCTGTTACATATATATATATTGTACATTATTATTTTTATATTCATTGTATCAATTGTAATATAAGATTCAATATTTTAAAATTGCAAATAATTGTTATCTTTTGTATAAAACGATAAAAAAAATCTATCGTTATCATTAAGTTTAGTTTACCATGTCATAACTTTATTACTACTACTACTAATAATAATAATAAAACAAAAAAGAAAATATATATTTGCACGCAACGATAAATGATTTTGAGCGAAGTTCGGTAAAAACTTAAAATGTTTTATCAAATTTAAATTAAAAATTGTACTGTAACTATAAAAATTACAATTATTGTCCGCGTTTTTTCTTCACTAAATTTTATAAACTTTTAAAGAGCCGACCGAGTTTGATCCGCATAAATCGGAAAACAGTATACGGAATTCCGTGATTTTTACGATTTGCATCACTTAAGCAAAATGATGCGAAATATTATCTGTGCAGACGAATTTAAATTATTTCACGAACATTAAAGTTTCAAAAGATGAAAAATTATTATTTTGTTATTGCAGATAGTGTACCTACATATATATACATTATGCCGTTTTTTTGCAATTTTACTAATGCGATTATAAATTATATACCAATATTAAATTGCACAATGAATGCAATAGAAATATTCAGATGTGATTTCAAAATTTGAAGAGAAGTCTTAATAATCGTTACGAATGTACCTGTACAAATAAAAATTACATAGCTACCGGGGCTAGCTAATAAGAGGCTCGATAGCTACAAATATTTCGCATGGAGCACATTCGTGACGCGTACGTATTAGAAAAAATAAAAAGTAAATGATTTGAATGTTACACCTATATTTATGTATATTTTTTTTTCATTTTAAAAGTCACCTCGTGTGTTACGCTGCGATAGTGCGTGATATTGCTTGGATCGATATGCAACTAAAAATAAATTAGTCTTAAGTTCGTGAAATGTACCGAAATAATATTAAACGTAATGTTTTTACATTCGGTAGTTTTCTTTTCGCCGACACGTGATGAACTTATTCGCGTTGTGCAGGCTTTCTGAAGTACCTGAACCATTATGTTGACCTGCACCCCCGCAGTTGTACAATGCATACATATTAACAGATTAATTAATATGTTTATAATTTAGTTGATTATAGTCGTGTAGAATTGACAACGAAGGCTAAAACCATTAGCATTATCCGCCGTCCGGTTTTATATATTATGTAGTCTGCAGCTAGTTAAATTCGTTTAGTCTTGTCCCGCAATACATCGCTATTGCACGAGCACAGTTAACTGTCTGTCTCCGTGAATTATGCATAATAGCACGTAGTAAGTATTTTCCTGCGCGAGAAGAGCTCGACGATTGTGAGTACGTATAATAATATGTATATATACTTACCTATATCATGTACTATATTAATGGCCAATTTCTAATGACGTTCTGCATAGACTTGAGATAGTATTGATGTTTGGCGATTTTCACTGATACATTATAATATAATGTCGCTGTTCCGATATTCTTATACGGGGTATGCCACCGTGTTCGACAGATACTTTTCGACACGTTAATATACGAATTTTTCTTTACCACCCATAATTTTCATTGCCGGGGACGCTCATTTAGAGAAAAATAAAATTATGTGAAATATATTTTCAATATATGTATATCATGTCTGAAGAACAGTTTCTTAGTAACAGCAGTTTTAATTTCTCGAGAAAAAATGTGAAAAACGAGACTATCGAGCAACGCGATTCGAGTTAATAATTTGATTTATTGTGTTATAAATTGTAAACGTTTAAAATTAAAACGACTTTTATTAAAAATTAAATTAATCGGAGATAATATACTTTGCAAAATGGCTATTTTGAAAATTGTTTAAAATTAACGAATAAAAAGTTATTTTTCATTAGTATTTAGGGGATGAAAATACACATTTTTCTATAAATTTATTTTCGCTCAAAAGAAAAACAAACTGAAAAAAAAAACTTTTTTTTTTTTAATTAAATATTAACAGCTCTAGGAAAATCCGTCGAACACGATGATGGGGACACTCTGTATACACGAGTTTTGTGTAAAACATTTAAGTACAGTATCCATTATATATGTATACTTATATTGATTTGGAAAAAAAACACCCTACTGTATACAGTATAGTATATACATACTATACTGTACATGTTTTAAATTATCTATATCTATGTATATTATACTGATAGTGGTTATAATATATTTTCTTATTTTAATTCTCGAAGTAAATATAACATGCATTAGTCTTTCGTGTTTTACGTTCCTATATAATAGTTGCAGCGTTCAGCCTTCTTGCAGTATCGATCGTTTATCTGCAATTCAATTACGCATAATATAACAATAATTTAAGTACAAAAATGGGCCACAGCCGTTTTAATGTTTTATCCGGAGACACTGCAGCACGAGCAGAAGTGTTAAAGATAACATTAAATTTGTAGAATTTTCACCGAATGTTTAGAACTTTCTACATAGAAGTGATACAATTTTTAAATTTTGCTGATGTTTTTGAGTTATTCGTAGCTAAGTGTTTGACATTTTCAAGTTTTAATTTTTGGTTTAATGTGGTGAAAAAAATTGTATCAATATTTGTTTTGTTTTTTTTTGATTAACGATTTAAGTTTAAATTGATGATATAATTCGTTAAAACCACGAGCAATTATTGTAATATATTTTGTATCCAAAAATGGACGAAAATGTCAAATTTATATTTATCAACAGCAGTTTTAACCGTGCTCCGCTCAGAATCGTTATTATTTTGCGACGGATTATCGTTGCACATACAGTAAAAATAAACTTAATTATATCGTAACCATCCTGATTTTTGTTTTTGTTTTTTCCTAAATGTTTGGAACGTATTCGATCGGCTAAAAACGATTAGTATCGACTTACTGTCCGCGACATTATAATATTATATTTCGACGATAAAATCGTGTTGCATACCGTAATCTACTATCGTTGACCTATAAATAAAATAAGAAGCGAAAAGAGCTTGCCGTTTCTAGCATTATAACCGCAACGTAGAAGTAGTTATAATAGCAGAATAATTTATTGTGTCCCGCACACAATACGCATGTAGACGTTCGGTATAATTTACCAATGATAATAATTGACGGCCGCAGTTTACAATAATAGCCATTAGCGTGTCACTTAAGTCGGTATTCCAGCTATATCGTATGTCGTTTTTCGATTGGCCACTGCGGTAATCTTGATACATTTTCAGTAACCAAGACCTGCCGAAAAATGTTTAGAATCGAGCTGATTTCATCTTTTCTCTTGTTTCGGTTACAATGGTCAATTGATTTTTTTGATGTTATATTTTGTATTATATCTGTGGACACGACACTACCTATACATACGCACACGACGTCGCTCGAGTACCGCATTTATAGAAAAATTCACGGTTTACCGTAGTTATGGCTTGTGTCGTCTTTTATATATATTTGTGAAATGTGAATAATCTGGCATTAGGTATTTTAGATTCTGAGCGGAGCGAGGAATGTATTGGTTTTACGATGAAGCTTATTTATTTTAATTTTTTTTTTTATACTTTATACGAAAATTCTACCAGAAATCTTATTAAGATTTTCAAGTGTAGCACCTTTTCTGAAAGGAAATTTTTCTGGGATGGTACTTTAGAAACACTTTTTAGTTAACACTTTTTCGATTAGTAAAAATGATCCAATTTTTCATGCTGTAATTCAAAACATTTTCGTTTGGTGGTACTTTTTTTGCAAACAATTTTCTAGATTCCCAACAGTTTTTCTATACAATTTAAAACTTACAGCAAATGTCGACACATAGATTTTATTTTTATTGATTTTTGGATACCTTGGCTATGAGATAAAAACATGACAAATACTACTCCTCTCAGATATATTTTTTCGTTTGCAATGGTTTATTATTGCATACATTATAAACTATGTTACCTTATATATCTTACAATAAAAGAAATATATTTAATGAGTTTTGAATTAAAATCTGTTCACTTATATTATTATATATATTCCTTTGCATTGAGCTATTTCCTGCTACTTTTAGACACATTTAGCAGCTTTTTCTGGACCAGATGATGAGCTCAATGTTTTATGTGGATTGAAGTGATAACATTTTGATATGAATTTTACTATGTTGTTGTGAGAGGAAGGTGTTCTTTAACTTTGTAAAAATGTGCTTTTTCGGGGCTTCAACTTTCAATCTCTTTCTCAGACATTTGCATGCTCAGATTTCTCGTTTTCTCAAGAAATATCTAGTTTTTAATACCCCTACACTCTACAGGCTAAAATATAAGAATATATATAAGAGAAAATTCGACTCTTTGCCGCTTCGAAGGTTTGCCGCTCACTGGTGTTTTATTTTAATATATTAAATTTTAATATGTATGTTAAATATTTTAATTTTACCGGACAAAAGTTTATACTCAAGTTAATAATAAGTGTAATAATGCAGTGGGTAAACGGTAATAGACTACTATAATTGTTGGTACACCTACCTACCTAAATTTAAAAAGCTGCATAATTCGTGTTAAATTGTTGTAATCACTTTCATTAAAATCGCGAAAACTAATAACGCTGTTGCTTGTTATAATACATTGTTTTAAATTTAATCATAAATAATATTAAATTCGAATTCGCGGCCGCACGGTCATCACCTCCGCGCCAGTTCTCATTGCAATAATAATGGAAATTCGACCATCGTTATTATCGGACCAAGTGGCGGTGACGTGTTGTGGGTAGGTATAGGTATAATACACTTCGGTATAAGTATAGGAATACGAGTTATAACGCTTCCATGACCAACGATTACCCGACCGCGACAGAGGAGAGCGAAATGAAACGGTACCTGCCCATAAAATATTATATTATATGAAGTTGATGCGGTTTTTTTTTTTTTTACTCCATCTAACGCGCATTACTATACCTCCGAAACCGTAGCTGGTACGTATTTTATTCCGGTCTCGGGATTATCGCCCTACTATACGTCTACAATAATGTATATTTAGTATTTATAAATTTTGTTCAATAAATCGCCAGTGCACGCGTATAATATACGTATTAGGTACGTATATACAACACGTTCTTATTATTAAGATACCGTGGACGACCGATCGGATATCAATATAATTATAATAATAATATCATCATAATATAATATTATTCCATTATACTACACGTTAGTGGTTTCTAAACTGTGTACCGAGACCTCTAAGAAAAAAATACATAATATCTACAATTTGTATTGCAATTGAAAATTTCAGGTTCTGAGCGAAGCGGAGTCGTTTCATTGCCTGTGAACAACATTTCGATGACCAGACATTTTGCTCCTATCATTGACATTTGGGGTGGTTTTCCGGTAGAAAATATCTAGTCTTTAATAAGAGCTTTGAGGAAATTATTAATATATAAAACAGGGAAAACGTCGGGATTTGTACGCACTAACGGTTTCTGTTAATTTCCATTTTGTCATATTTTTGTGAAAAATGATCTTAGAGACTCGAAATTTTTACTTGGCACGCATGCAATATTGTACTTATTTAGATGTGACACATATTATACAGCCTGTATAAAACATGATAAATCCACTGACAAATATTTAATTGATAATTCGATTGATAAACATTAATGTTTTTATGTTATTCAATGCGTTAAATGTCGGCCAATAATATAGGAAAATATCAGTACGTTTTGAACAACGTATGATGGAAAAGTGAAAACAGGAAAAAATATCTTTATTATTTATATAGCACGACATTTATGACAAATCGTATGGGTGTCTTATAATAATTGGTTTCTGGGCAGGACAATTGATGCCCGTCACTATAACATTATTTTCTTTATCATTATTTTTTTACTCCTATGAAATAATTATATTTGTGTGTGTATATATATATATATTGGCTGGAGTTCGGTTAGAATTTTAATTTCCAATGGCTCTTTTCTGGGTGTCACCATTCAATTGCGTCAAATAATTGTGTACTATGTTAAGGTCATAGTAAATTGCCTCTGCAGTTAGTAGGTAATGAGATATAATTTGTTTTGTTCTTCCCAAAGTTGAAACAATATTTAATTTGTGTTTATTTTCATTATTCTAATAGATGCTGATAGTCCTGATGTGGGCGTTAATGAGAACAAGAGTTCCTAAATCGTATATATTAGTCCGATAGAGGATGTGTATGAAGATACAAATACGAATAAGATTGATTTTATTTGCCAATAATTATCGACATTTGAATGAGATTTTGTTTTGTGTTCTTTTTAGTGTTTCTTGTTCATAAAGTTGCGTGCCTTAATTTTATTTTGATAATTTGAACAAATGATACAGGTAATATAAATATAATCATTTTCGAAAATTTCAAAAACCTGATAGCTGGTAATAAAGAAATTGTTTGAATATATAATAATTGTATTACAAATTTTAATAATACAGAAATGTGTTTTAAATATTGTTGTGTTATTTAAATAAAATAACTTTTCTACGATAAATCTTGCTCCGATCATCAAATTTGAGGGTTAAGGAGAGTATAGTGATGATGTACAAAAAACCTGTAATGTTATGGCTCTTTATAAAACTCGCATATGATACAGGTTTGGTGACCCAGTCAACATAATAGATATCTTCCGAATATCAATTTCACAGGTTTTTAATTTAGTTTACAATAATTATTAATTGGCTCGTATTGACAAGTTTGTGCATCCGAAATTAAATATATTATAACGGTTAAAAAATACCAGTTTTTTATTACTTGCAAACTCTCTATGAAAAAATTTTGGTCTTGCGAGTTATTTAAATCTGAATAAATACAAACAAATTTAAGAATACCTACGTTCAGTTTTTTAAAATGTTATTTTCGATTTCGAGTGTAGCTAAGCTAGCTATTAATTTCGTGATATTTTTTAATCCCAGAAAAAACACTTTTTCGGTTTGTAATTATTTAATTAATTTTGAAAACATTTTCTAGTTTTTTACAAAATTAAAAAAAGTGACTACGAATGACGGATACTTCGGTTTTATTTTAGATTCTGAGTGGAGCGAGGAATGTATTGGTTTTATAATGATGTTTATTTATATTTTTTTTTGTGAACTATTTTTCCTTCAAAAATTTTGCTTCGATTTTCAAGTACAGCATTTTTATTGAAAGGAAATTTAACTGGAACAGTTCTGTACGGAGATTTTTTTTGATTTTCCCGAGGGTTTTCATAATAAATGAGAAAAAACGTAGAAAAACCGGGAATATTTACGAAATATATTATTTTCAAATCGTAAATACTACGGCCTTTAAAAACATGTGTAACCGAACGCCGCTCAAAATGGTTTTTCGTTAGGAAAGATTAATTTTTGCGTGCAAATATATATTAAAATCCTCTCTATAAATATTATCTTCCCAACTTCTTGTCTACAAGTGGCCCCCACCCACCATGTGAAGTATGTTCGTATCTTTTTTATTTTTGTTGATTTCTTTGTTACCTTGGCTACAAGAGAAAAATCACGGCACATACCATAAACTTTCAAGTTTAACTAGAACAAAGTTTCATAATCATTTTTTGGTTGCAGAGATCTATCGGTACTTTCAGTATATCAACGGAATTGCCCAATATCTCATGTATTCCTAAATTTCACATCGCCAAAACAGTGGTTTACCTATGGTGCGGAGTATAACCGGCTGTTCATTTTTATCAACTTTTAATATCGTTAATATAATTATAGGAATAATTAACAGTGTATTGTTATTCATCATAATACAGAATATTTAAATAGGTATTTAACAAAAATTATCATTCAAACATTTACTATTATTCATACATCCATACACGACGATGGTATGGCGGTTCTTTAATCTTGAAGTTAATTTTGAAAAACATTAATAATAATGTTTTTTTATTATTGTTTATACAATGTTAATTATTCGATGACAGTGTACATTTAAATACAGACAAATTTTTGTTAGTAGTAGTAATTGCGAAAACAACACTTTTATAACGGCGGATATCGATGGAAACGTTATAAAAGACTACTAATTACGTATGATTGGCATCCTATTGTATACAAACACAATAAAAACAAATCTGCAGCTATTAAAAATAATTTGCGAATTTGCGACAACTTACAATGTTCCTATAAGTACAAGTTTATTTGTTTAGTTGATTACATACTTTTTTATTCGTAAATAATTTAGATTTTGATACGCTCGTTTCATTTATATATCGGATGAAGTATTATAAATTAATACCCGATAATTTAATGATACTATGCATCCGTGTACACAGACAAATTCACCTAATATTCGAAATTTGGTATCAAAGAATAATAACTAAATCGACACAAGCGAAACGATTTGTCAAATAATTTGTATAAAACTATACATTTTTGCATTTAATATTTTGAGTGTAGCGATGATGTTATAATAGTGTGTTGGGGATGTAAATTTTTGATTTTCCTTTTAATTTTCTTACTAATAGGGAAAAGTGACGCAATAGGTTTTTTATATAAACGTTTCAAGTTCAAATTATGAAACAAGTCTTAAAAGCCTCGTCATTTCAAAACATATTTAACAGAACTTTGCTCAGAATCGTTTTGCGTAGGTGATGATTCATCGTTGCGTATAGCGATATAAATTGAATAACTTTATATGTGTCCTACATTATAGATTTTGAACGTAACGAGAAATGCATTTGTTTTACTATAATATGTGCTTTTATTATTATTTTTTTTTTTTTATGTTTGTTAACAACTTTTCCACCGGAAATTGTCAGGTGGAAAAATCGCGGAAAATGACGAGCGATATTTTCTATCGAATTTTGGTTCTAGTTAATGTATTGAGAATTTTTTTTATTTTCTTCGTTGATTTCCTAATAATAACAATTTGTATTATAGTCGTAATATGGTTACGGTTGTTTACAGAATATACTGATATATTAGCCTTTTATCGACGTGATAACATTTTCAAAACATTCCGACGACTTTTGAGCTATTTATAGTCACTTTAAATGTTCGAACTGCGGTATTTCACGTAAAATGACGCTGAGCGATAAAGTTATTGTGGCGGTTGTGGTGGTGGTGTGGAGGGGGTTATTTAAGTGGTCGTGTACTACAGCAGTGGCAGTGGCGGTGGTATAGGAGGGATTATTAGGGCGACAGTGCTGTTTTATTATACAATTCATAATTATATTAATATTTCGGTGTAATATGTTTTAAACAATTGTTTAACCGATCTCCGTTCAGAATCGTTTTTTTGTTTGTAATGATTTATCGTTGCGTAAAATGAAATAACCCTATGCATCCTATCTTCCCAACTATATTCCCATCTACAACAGTGACACACCAATTTTTTTTTCATATTATTGTCGTCACATTATATTATTATAATATTAGGTAGGACTTAGGTTCGTGTAAATAGTTTACAGATTTTTAATCGTAGGTACACAGTAAAAGTAGAAAAAAAAAAACATTAAAAGTCTCGGTAAAGAGCATGCGCACAGATGCGCGACGGTTTGGAACGACAGCAAGTCTGGTATAGCAAGACGCTCATTGTGCAGTACAGGTGATCGCGTCTTGCTGAAATGCGGTTCACGCGGTGCATCATAGTCGTCAGTTTTCTGTGCACCGACGAAACTGTTTGAATTCGGAGTGAATAATCTTATATCATATTTTATTTATTTATTTTTTTTTTTTGCGGTGTTTTTTTTTATAACAACGATATTTTTTCTATTAAAGCACTGACAGTATTTAACGCTATAACAGTAGACGTACATGCTTGTATAATGTTATAGTACTATTATGTGTGTGTACTCGCAGTTTTTTTTCTAATCGATCAAATATAATAATATGGTTATTAAAGAACCGTGTAAACCCGACACCGAGAGGTTAGTAACGATAATATTATGCAGGTATACCTATTTAATTTGTTTTTGCGTTATTATCGTAGTTTTTTCGCCGTCATATTTCAAAACTTCAACTAAAATTACTACCAATAAAATAGGTTTTCATTGAGCACCTCGGGTACTTACATCCAGAGTCGAGTTCAATACAAATAATTAATTAATTATTTTATCACCAGTTTATAAACGTATTTAAGGAGATTATCGAATTTAAAGTGGACGATGTTGGTATTAATCAATTTATGATTTTTTTTATTAGTATATTCTAATGAAAAGTATAATTTCTTCACAGTGATAATAGTTTACCTAGGTATTGATTATTTTCGTAATCGATTTCATTTACACATCGGTGCCGATTAATTTCGTCGTTACCAACTATTGTAGAATTGCATTTAGATACATTTTATAGATTAAGTAATATTATTACGAACAAATTTAATTTAATACGTATCAGATATCTGTAGATTCTAATTTTTTTTTTTTTTTGTGATAAAATTATTTTTTGATTTACGCAATAATAATTAGCGTTTTATTCGAAATTTGTAGCACCTCCCTATACACGAAATAAATAAATTTTGAATAGTATAACATGGGTCTTTTTTCTTCGTAAAATTTTCGAATTTTATAATTTGATTTTCATTTCAAAAATTTGCGTTTTAATACTAATATATTATAGATTTTGAGTGTATCGAAGAAGCTATATAGTTTCATTATGTTGAGAGTTTTTTTCGGTTAGTAAAAATATTCCGATTTATTCATTCCATACATTTCTTTTAAGATGCGGATTTTCACCAAATAGTAATTTATTTGAAATATTTACCGAGTTTTTCAGCAGTTCACTCTCTAAGTACTGTTTTTGTTTTTTTTTTGATTTCTACAGTGTTATCTCGGCAATAAGAGAAAATCACGAGTAATATTACTCAAAATCGTTTTTGTTTGCAACTATTTATCGTTGCTTACAGTATATAACCAAATTACATTATACATTCTACCTACCTATTTTATTATTTTTTCAATCAAAGTTGTTTTTAAATTACTACATTAACATTTTTGATTTAATTTAATCTGAACCCGTATCTAATAAACATACGCCAAGTGAATTTAAATTAAAGCTTGTCAATAATAGATGTATGATTGTTTAAAAATATAGATAGTCCAATAATAGTTTGCTAAACAAATTATTAGCGATAAATGTTTGTTTTTTTTGTGGGGGGAGGGATTTGAACTTACTGGATTATAAGAATTTGTTTTTAAAAGGATATAATATTGTCGCAAGCATATTTCCATTGTTAATTGCATTAAGTGTACCGATTATTTTGTATCAGTTAATGGAAAATATATTCCATCGTTATTATTATCATATAATCATTAAACCAATTTGACTTGATACTTGATACTGTTACTACTGGATCGTTTAATGGTTTTAATGCAAAACGGATATAAATAAAAGATAAAGGAACAAGTAGAAATTTTTTTATGAACACTTTATTTATAGTATATTATTATTGTTCTGTTCTACGATTTATAAAACCAGAACATGTTTTAATACATTATTGTTTAGAATGGTTGCAACTTGCACACGTAGTGGACATGGGTCTATCTATATTTTTACAGCAAATCGCAATAATTTATAATATGTCTACACTATTATATTATTATAGTAATGTCTTTTTTAACATTTTTATCTTGTTTATTTTCTATGTGGATAGATTTTTACCGAATTAAAAAAAAAATAATAAGAATAACTACCACAATAATAACGCTATTTATTTTTACTAGATCTAGGGACCGTGTTTACACGTTTTTCAATAATCATTAAAAAAATATAGCTGAAGACGTGCTGCACTTTGCTATATAATACTATTAGGACTAAGAGTTTATAGTCCATTTTTTGTTGCGTAATTTGCATATATTTAACTCTTTTTCACGTGTAGTGCGTATTATGTTATGTTTGTATTTCTGGTGCATATTCACATGTGTGTTGAAATTTGAAATTGATATCTAATTCGATCTGAAAACAAATTCGTTTACCTCGAGGTTTTCTTATTTGTTTATTTTTCTTACGTGATCGACAATACTAACCATCACCAACAAATAATATAGTTGAATTTGTTTTCGTATACGTAACGGGTAGACATGTACCAAGCTTCAACAAATAAATTCAAAGAAAAACAATAATTTTACTTCAATATTTACATTATCATATTTCAATAGATACTACAATATTTATAAATATCAGTAATAATCTACCTGATTTGAATTAAAATTGAATTTGTATACTTAATAAATCAATCAAATTTTAACAAATAAAGTGGTTTTTAATAATAGAAACATGTTAGGTAATAATAATGATTTCGCAAAATAGGTTTGTATTTTATGATTTTTGAGCATATTTGGAAATTTGAGTAGGTATAAACGAATGCATAAATATTATGTACACTTAAAAATAATTTGGGGTACGGTCACGTTCCAAGCTCGAATTATTTACTTTTGAATTTCATAATAGTGGATTTATTTTAAAGAATATTGTTTTTGCAACGTAAATTGGTGAGTAACCATTTTATAACTACCATTTTGTTTTAAATAATAACTCCTATAATATAGTTCCATGCGATATTATTAGGTATAATAATTGATGCGTGTATTAATAGGCACCTACTTGTTCTATATAGGCATTTCAAAAAAGCATAACATTTCACTCGTTACTTATTTTATTTTAAAGTAATCGTGTAAAGAAAAATAAATAATATAATTTCATCAAACATACTAGGCAATTAAACTAAATATGCCACGGTGTATGGTTAAATAGCACGGAGTACTTGCGTATGTATATTTCATACCCAACACGTTTAATTCATTTTATAATTATAAATAGGTACATTTCGTAAATTTTAATAAATAAATAAATACTGTTTTCCGTTAATTGTAAACGTTTTAATTTGTTAGCTTATGTTTCGAACACTTCATTTCGTATTTAATTTAAAGTTGTATAATAAATTATACGCATTAATTGTATTCGAACAATCAACTACTGCATGGATACATCTAGTATAATATTATTATGTTCCCAATCTTTAAAACGAATATGTATTGCGTAGACCAACCTCCTAAATTAAATTACAATTATTAAAAGTTATGCGACACGATTGTTAATCATTAATTTCCGTTATCAATTAATAATAAAATTAATTAACTAACGTTTTTTGAGAAACCATAAGTTCGTAGTAATTAATTAGTAGTAGTTAATAGTAATACTATTGTGTATACTTTAATTATTATTGTATATCCGAACGGAGAAAAATAAGTCATTGGTTTACAATAAAAATGTATATGCATTTTTTAAGCGAATTTTCAATAAGCACTTATCAAAATTTACATCCGTTGGAATTAATAAGATAATCGCAGAATACGCAAATCGGTACCTATTATTACATAATTTTTAGTATTGATGTACGTATTTCGATTTATTAGGACAATACGATGTATAATAAATAATAAACTAATAAGTTAGATCATCATCAACTAATTTAATTAAAACTGATAAAATAAATTTGTGTTTAGATTACGCTGTATACCAAGACAAAGGTATCCCAGCAGTTCCATCGACTTAACATCTTTTCAGGACTCCACTCATGGTCATGACTTCAATCAAGGTCACAGTAGAGTAATCATGACTAGGAAAACCGAACGGAGGATATTTGTCGCTCCGACAAAATTGGGACAGGTGCGTTATTATTAAACATTGTATTTTAAACTTAATAAGTCAACTAGATCAAATATCAGGTGAAAACGATAAAATAATGGATTTGGCGGGGTAGGGTGGAGGGATGTATATTTTATAGTCTGTAGTCCATACTTCAGTTATTTAAATATGTAAATAACCTCTTATTTGATACTTCTTATATTTAAAAAGGTTTAAAATTGATTGTATTTAAACAATTTTATTTACGGGGATTTACGACACTTAACTAAGATATCTTGAAACTATGTTTTCAACTCTAATTCGTTTTATCATATGTAAAACGGAAAATACTTTAAATAGATTTTTGAATAGGTAATTTTCAAAAATACAATTAAGTTTTGTAACGATTCACAGTAAATCAATTCAATGTTTATTTTAAACATTTCCTGGTAAAGAATCTCTAGAATCCTAATCCATTATCAAAATTTAAACCCATCAAATACAATTCCTACAGTTGTATCTGGCTTTTAAGTCTAAATTAGGACTTACGATTTCATGTAAACGTAAATACACGAATACACGTGTAATTGTGAAACTCATGTATTGATCCGTGTATTTAATAATACACGTATATTTAATAATAATCATGTACAATATGTATGTACGATTCCTTTTTTACTCCAATATTTTGTTTTAAAAAATAAGTGTTTGATGCTGAGGACGGGTGGGCCACTGTTGTAGGTATATTAAATATACGGACAATATTAAATACATTGATTAATACACGTGTATTTAAATACCCGTAGGAAATCGTAAGCCTTAGTCTAATTCGACTAAAATGTACGTAGTCATTAATCCCCTTAACTTTTAATTTAAACATTTTAAATCAAAAGGGTAAAATAAAATGGATTTATGATCATCAATCATTGATATTGTATAGGCAGGCACATCAAAGAAATATTATATTTCTTTTAAATTTGTATATTATTTTTCAAAATATAATCCATAATGTTTTCTTATAAACTATTAATCCTATTACTCATTAGGTTATACTATATTATTATGGTAATTATATTAATATTATTATGATATTAAATAATTGACATTTCGTTGGTCATACGAATTTCTGAAATTTATCTAATACACATTTGGCCTAAATGGAAAGTATACTGATTTATAAAGTTTAAAATGTTTAAGAATTCTAATTAAGCATTGAATGATGGAAATAATTCATGGTATTTATTGATAATCTTTTTAGAAACCCAAATTTGAAACGCTCACCAAAGAAACCGTGCAGACATTCCGAGGTAACAAAACAGAAAGGAAAGTGACTTCTGAAACGAAAAACATCGAAGAAACCATTGATAACAAATTAGGTGTGTTCAAAGAATGTTAAACTCATAAGTGTATAGAAATATTTTTATTTAACAAGTGACATTATTTTTCCTTGTGCTATATTACATCTACTCGTATTTTAATATATTGAATATATTTTGCTAGTTAATGTTAATATGTTTAATTGAATTGGTATTACAGCTTATATTTTCTATGACAATGACACTGAAAATGTTTGACATCTTCTTATTTATCTAATCTTCACGCAACGGTTGATTTCCTAATTTCGTTCCAGAAATAATTGTCATCTCGTATAAGAAACATATTATTTGTTACGCATATTATATAGGTTTTGTGTGCGTTTTTTCATCGAAACTTTATTATGTAAACTATCAAAAACGACAATGTTAATCTCATAAAAAAATATTTGCTGTTGACATTATAAGAATGTTTGTTTTATTGTTTTTGTAGATGGATCAGATGATTTCCTATCGTCGTTGTCGTCCAGGTCTTCAACTTCATCTCCCGAGTTAAAAACATCGTACAAACAAGTAAGTCTGTTTTGATAAATATTATTAATTGAAAAGTAAATATAATTTTCCTTTCAAACTAAACATTATATTTCACTTTTGTTTTTTGTTTTGTATTTTTTGTTTTTTCGTTTTGATTGGTGTTTACTCTTTTATCCATAAAATCATTGATGGCCAGTTTTTAAGCTAATAACAATTATTGGGTACAAATAATAGTATTTATTTATATTTGTGTAGTTAATTTAATTAAAAATTATGTTCATTCGACGGTCATATAATATATATAAGTACCTTTATGACTTTATATAATATTAGTATACCTACCTGTGAATATTAACATTATTAAAAACAAAAACAATAGAGATAGAGAGATCATAAACCGTTTTAGGAATTATTTTACACCAATATTAATAATATTTATTAAAAGTATACCTATCATATATTATTCAACTTTTATGGAATGTTTACAATACAATATGTGTTTTTTTCACAAATAAAGCGGAAATTATATCTTTACTGAACCACCTTTGAAGCGATCTTGTATGTATTTATGACTGTAATAGGATGTGTTAATTATACTCAAGATTGATATACTGAAAGTATCACGAAAGTGACAATTGTGGATGTTTGATATGCGCATGCACACTACCTTGTGATCACGTATCGATATTAAGACACATATTATACAGAAACCTTGTCCATGCAATGTCGACAGATCTGCACAAGCAGTCGCGTTAAATAAAATATAGGCAAGGACATATAATCGCCAAGCTTGCAATTTGAGCACGGATAACATAATAATTTGTTTGTAATTCTGAAATTCAAAATCAGATAAGTGACTAGGAAGAATAATTGTTACGACAAATTGGTTGCATGTATACCATATTAAATTCGTGGCAACATTTATTTAAATAATAACTTTACTATTATCGTAGGTTGGTATCTAAAGCGTCACCGTACATACGAATTTAAATATTTAAAATAGGTATAACAATAATTATTATTGAATTTTTATTCACTACCAGGTTAATATTCATTACAAATATAGGCAAGTACCTGTACTAATATTTCATTACTGTGCAACGGTGGCAATACTTTTAAATAAGTGCACCTATGCACCTAATAGGTAGGTATGTGATAAAAAAGAAAAAAAAAAATTAAATAAGACACTATGTTAAGACATCAGTGTATCATTTTCGGATCGAATAAACTAATATCGTATTCATTACGCGTATGTCCTTAATCATATTATTACCTATCTACTGAAAAACGTTGAACGCAGAATGCAGAATTGCGTAAGAATTGGAACCTATTGTTTTGATACGCAAATATAACTGTCATTTTAATAAGAAATTATGCAACTATGATGCGTGATGACTGATAAGTATCGATGACTATCAGAAAAACCGATGGAGACAATTTAACTTTAATACAATTGAACGTTTCTCAAAATAAACGATATAAATTAATACTACAAGATAAATAATTAATATTATGTTCGTCTTATGTAAATAAAAAAATTGTGGAATTTAACTGGATATAATGGAAAAATCGTATTTTCATTGTTTTGTGTGTACTTCTTCGTATTATACTCAAATTAAATAAAATACCTATTAAATAATAGACCTGCCTAATTTCTTTATAATGGTCAACGCCAAATAGGTAATCATTAGAAAACTGTTCAACTCCCTTGACTATGGCAGATTATTTGATTATTGATAATTAATTTGGTATATCCTTAAATGTACAGTTGTAAATGTACAATTATATTATATATATATATATATATATATATAATATAAATAATAAGCATTAATAATTGTATAATAATAATAGTTATTTTATTTTATTTTAATATTGTGTAATTGGGTACCTATATGTTATTAAAAATACATAATTTTAGTAATTTTGTTTTTACTTTATTATTTTATTACATCTAAAATGCTTATATTTTGTTTGTTTCAGAAGTGTACCGTTTTAAAATCGCAGAAAAAAGTACTCATCGACAATAATACGTTTATACAGGAATGTCTAGAAGCACACAATCAATATCGAAAAAAACACGTGGTTCCTCCTATGACCCTAAGTAAAAAAGTAAATATCTTTGATGCCATTTATCAATATAACTCTGGTGTAAACATTTCGTTATATGGTAGTTTTATTAAAACGTTGCTTTTTTCATCTGCTCACACTAAAAGAAACGTATGGAAATATTTTATAGGCAAAGTTATTCTCTGCAGCTATACTATTATACGTACAAATACAATATAATAATATATTATACAAAATAATTTACAAAATCTAACAAATGCAATAACTTTTTTTGTATTCAATAATATTGTTTTTGTTTGTGTGTGTGTAATAATTACCAAAGCTTTGTGCTAAAGTTCTTATATTTTTTAAAACTAGTAATAAAAAATTTGGTATTAATAATGTTTACTAATGGGTTGCTAATTTTGTACAATTTTTTGAGTTTAAGAAAAAGTACCTACTTATAGTAGTATGATCAAATTTATTATTTATTAATTATACGTATATTGATTAGTATTTTAGTAATTATGTCAATGACAACATATTTACATTACGTTAACCTCGAAAAATAGTCGAAAATTAACGACTTATCATGTAAACATTAACATAAACAGTTTTAATACCAACATTTGATTTCAAAAAAAAAAAAAAAAAAAACGTTCAAAATGACTGTTGGAATTTCTAAAAATAATTATAACACAAGGCTCCAGTAATAATATTATTACAATAAACTATTGAATAGAACAAACGTCACCTCTCTGTGATTCACTCTGTATGTACCTACCCATATTATTAACGTTACATAAATGATACACATGTACACACACACAGACATACACATAATATAATATAGAATTTTCCTTTCCATATCATTTTGGCTGTTGAGCTTCGTAATAGAAAAATTCGGATAGATTACATGTTGACACGACAACAATACTTTACTGCTCGTGTGTTGAACGATGAGGAAGGCCATTAAAACTGTTGTCGCAGTATATAGAGTTTCCGAAGTTAAGTATGACGACTAGGTTCCTTTTTTATAGTGGGGGAGAAAAACCACACAACAAAACGTGACAACTGTGCTTTCACTTCGTGGTCAGCAATGAATGAAAAAAAAACTGTTTTATGTAAATATTCCTTGTTTCTCTTGTTACTCTTTTTACTATCGCACTTATTATTATTGTGAAAATATGATTGACGTACATTAAAAACTATATTATATTATTCTATAATATCATTCTATAATATCATTCTATAATATATTATTGTATACTATAGGAATACGAATGAAGAATTAACATTGTTAGTTTATTAATTGTTGTATTACTAAATATTCAATAATAGTTAACATGTATAAGTACTATACACTTATTAGTCTAAATATTACAACGTTACGATATATTTATTATTATTGTAATAAACATGATGTATTTTTGCTACACTACGCTTACCATCGTATAATAATTTTATTTTCGAATTTGCTTTTGAAATTGAGTTTTGTATTCATTCAATTTTTAATGGTACGAATATATGATTGTATAATAACTATAATCAGAGCCAACTGCAGTGTGCCAGGCCGAGTTCCAGCAATCATGCCAGTATATCTATCTACAGTTTACCGAACCAATTCACTCGGTTTTTCTCACTCTGGTGTATTTGCTTCCTCTTTTAATAATTTTGAAATTTGAAATATTTAAAATAAGTTTAAGTAGATTAGAATACTGCGAGAAATTGAACCGGTTTAAAAGAGAAGAGTTTCAAAGTTTGCATTTTTTGTTACTCATTACACACTCACTTACTCATTGTCAAAATTATAAGGCACTCCCCGTATAAGTAACGTTAAATTTGACACAAAGGGAAGGTATTAAAAAACAACTAAAGGGAAAAATTTCAAATTCTATTCGATTTAACAAAAGAAAATATAAAACATATATAATCCCTTCAGTGCCTCGTAAAAAAGACAACTCTCGCAATGTTGAATCTAACAAAAAGGAATGATATTCCCAACAAAAATCTAACCGACAAAAATAAGTTTAAGTTCCAGATAGTCGCTCCCAAAAGAGTCAGCCTACAAAATTAGTGATATCTACATTGTGGCCCAAGTATGTTTTATGTTTCATTCAGGAACTGGCCAAGTGTGCAGATATAAAAATAAAACAATAGTATTTCTCTATCGGTTATGGACTAAGAAAAAAAAAGACTTAGCAAAACTGTGGATATTACTACTTTGTTAGGAGGCGGTCTGGGACTTGTCCCTTTTTTCATGGCTAGGTTTTTGTTGATAACAATTTACCGAATCGTCGTATTCTTGGACATAAAATAAAAAATTAATTAGATTTCGATATACTTAGGCTATTTGTCATAATATAATATATTATAATTCTCCAATATCATAATAATAAAAACAAACACTATTAAAATATGTATTGTACTTGTCTATACACAGCTATGTAAATACGCTGAAGAATGGGCAAATTATTTGAGCGTCAAAGGTTTACTGGAGCACAGACCTTCGTCGCCGTACGGGGAAAATTTGTTTTGCTCTTGGACGTCGCTACCAAATCACAGAATAGAGGGCAGGGAACCGGTGGACAGCTGGTACGAAGAAATCAAATATCACCCGTTCGGCCGTGAACCGACTACCCTAAAATCAGGTGACTAGCTATTATTGCGGTCGTGTTAGAAATTATTTTCTCTTTATAAGATTTGAAAGCCAATGAGACTGAATACGTTGTAAAAATAAAAACAAAGGTATAATAATTACATATTATTATGTGGAGAATATTTGGCACTAGCTCATTAATCAACGTGATGCGATAACAGATTATTATTGCGTACATTTGCGATTATTTCAGGGCCCCAAGAGTCTATATAATATCACCACTAACAATAATAATAATAATGGGCAATTGAAAAACCGTCGAAAGCCTTTAAATTTGTGTGTGCAACCGGCTCGGTTACGCCATGCGCTTAATATTTTCGGGTATAAATTATCAACAGAAATCAACGATGGTTGTTTTCCATCTGCACGGCACGACGCATACGAATCATTTGTGATTGCTTATACTGCGGTACAATAATATAATACGCAACAATAATAATAATAATTGTATACACTCTAACCAGCAACCGGGTATTATAATATTAGATAATAGTGAGGACCGATATCGCTGTGGGTTTTTGTTATGATGGTTGGTACTCTGCCGTACACGTTTACTGTACGCAATATTCAACAAAGAAAAATGTAATTTAAAACTCATCGTAGATATTATGTTGACGGTTTTATTTTAAACGAAAACATTTAATGGTTATATTATATACATTATACAGAGTATAACACGAAGGTCTGACACTTGAAAGGATTTTTGTTCTGTTCGATATTTTTTTTTGAATTTTATAAAAATCATTAACAAAACTATTGTCCATGGAAAAATCGGTGAATCTATGGATGTTATGTAGTAATGATAATTAATATAATTACTTTAAACTTCAAACAATTGTATAAAATTAACGATTCGTCATTAGTACAAATATTTATAACAGCAAAAAGTTGTTTCAAAATATATTTGTAAAATGGCTATCTTGGATTTTGTAAAAATATACATTTTCATCTTTGGTATTAAAAAAAAACTTAAGAAAATATAAAATAGAGAAATCATAACGCAAGGCTCTAGTAATTATAACTAGAAAAAACCTTAAAAATACTAAACAAAATAAAAATTATTTTAGGTGTCATATTTTCGTGTTACAGTGTACATACAAATCGTACTTATTCTGTTAATATTACTTATTCATTTAAAATTAACAACTATCCAGGGACCTTATGCATATTCGTTTTTTTATGTGTCTCGCATGTATTATGGTAACAAGGGAATTTCGCACTTCAACGAATGTGAATTGCGACTCTGTGGGTTAATTTAGGGCAAAATTATATATTATGCATCCAAAAAAAAAAAAAAAAGAGTATTTATTTTATTATGCCTCAACCGAATAACTTTTTTAATTATTTTAAACTATTTTATTTTCATATTTTATCGAGAAAAAATACATATTTTAATTTAACTTAATTTATCTTAGTTTTAACCGTTCATAAATTATTAAGAAACGAAAATTTAAAAAAAAATCATTAGGTCGAGGCATAATAATTCTCTTGAAAAAAAAATGTATAATGGGCGCCTTTGTTTTAAACTCAACCAGAGAGGCGGAATTTTTGAAGTGCGTCAGAATGCATTTGTTGCAATATTTCACGCGAGGCAGACAGAGAAAAGAAATTATGTGAAGGGGCCTCTTTAAAGGACGCTATACACCTGTATTTTCGGTTTTTGTCCATCTAACGGGCAAGTACGTGTTTTCGTAGGTAATTCCAATAGTACTCAGGATCTCATAGATTTAAAACGAAATTTATTCCACCAAATTAATGACGAAAAAATATATCAAACCATTTTTGTTATACGTTTATTAGAGTCTACAGGGTACTGCTTGAAATACGAAAATACATTTTCACTACATTTTTCGTTAGACAGATAGAGCTGACAAAAACCGGCGTCACATCCTCCCATAATAATTTAATGTTTGATATACGTATAAGTAGGGGTATAAATAATATTTCGCAAAATCATATAAGTTAAAAAATCCTACAAAGGCGTATGAAGGACCAATGTCAGAAACAAAAAAAAATTGTCGGGAAATTACATTTTAAAATTAGTATTTGTCAAAAAATTATATTTAGGTATCAATTTTCCAAAAATCTAACGTAAAATCAATTATTATTGAACTACATTAAAAACAAAAATAAATGTTGACTTTAGCCTTTCTTGCAACAAGTCGCAGTATATCTGTGACTACATGCTATATGCATGTATATAATATATTATAAAAATAACTATGAACGTAAACTTTCTATCGAATTATCATTTTTTATTATACCTATATAGTTTGAATTGATGATGAGATATATAAAACTGTACAGCTATTTCCACTTTACGATTTACCTTTATTTGTCTTATTTATTGTAATTTGTAGTTGAACAGCTATAATTATAGTACGTTTTAGTAGGTATATATATATAAATGCTATTTATATATATATGCTTATATAGTTAATAACTATTATAAACTATATCATTTTTTTTTAAGCATTATTATTATTATTATTATTATTATTTAAGTATAGTGTTTTGAGATTCGTGCAACTATTACCGAACTCAGTTCGTTTATGTGGGAAATGAAAAGCCGTGACCGGCCAACCGTCTGAGATTTTACAGTGACGCGTTGTCCGGAGCGCATAATAACATACTGCATCGCGTCCCAGACCAGGTCGCTTGTTATGCCTCACCCGGTATACGATTACGTTTTGAATAGTTGAACTTTTTACCAATTTTTAATGTTGTTAATGGTGTCTGCTCGACGATACTGCAGGATTCGATTCCGACAATCGAAATAAAACGAATGTTTTTTTTTTTTTTAATTGTATTTTTCTCTTATGACCTACACACGACCTTGTTTTCGTACAACAAATCGTGGTTTATTTTCAATTAAACTTCCGAAATTCCCGAGCGAATGAAGTTGACGGAAATCCTGATCACAAAGCAATATTATTAACGTACTTGTTTTTCGATCGTGCATTTCGGGCGGCACATGACGAGCAATGGGTTCAAAACCGAGTGCATCATGTTAATACATCTGGAGAGGTTTTGTTAATTCATGTTTTATTTAGCAAAGGATTTTAACCTAACTAGGGATACCCCTTAATCCTCTTCTAATCCTGTATTTATTCTATGCAATACATCGCGCTTACCTACTGTAAAAGTTTAACCACATCACGACATTATGTAAATATTAATTTATGTTATTATTAACGTTTATTTTTTTCGTATTTTTTTTTCTTAATAGCATCTCAAATTATTATAATTTATTCATGTTATTTGCAGGTCATTTTTCACAAGTCATATGGATGACCAGCAAAGAAATGGGGGTCGGCGTAGCGTCAAGCAGATCCGGCCAGATATTCGTGGTCGCCTGTTATGATCCCGCTGGAAATTTTCTCGGTCAGTTTAGAGAAAACGTTCCCCCAATCGGGTAAAATCAAATAACAATATACTTATAATAATAAATATAAAATACTAAAAATATATGTATTTATTTTAACCAATGACTCGTACACAACGAATCAGATGGAATAGATACATATAGAGATACCCATATATTATATTATATCGTAACGTTTTGGTTTTAGCGGTTTTAAGAATACACCACTCGGCCCTCTTGTTTTACAATCTCCGTACACTGACGATCAGTTGTATAAAGACAGTTTAAAACTACATAATGACTACCGGTTGAAACACGGTTCCGGACCACTGACTCTGAACAAAATAGTGAGTAATATTACGCGTACCTTGGTATTACACTAACGTAGATAGACTTACTACTGCGTTAATGTTTCTAATATAATGCGTCTTTAACTTAAAAATATTTTCTTTGTCGAATATAATGTTGGGTACCTATACAATTATTTTAGCATTATTGTTAATAATTTTATGTTTTTAGTTATGCCGGAACGCACTGACATGGGCGAAGACTTTGGCTAAAGACGATAAGTTCATGCATCAGCCAGACAATCCTTTTGGCGAGAACTTGTTTAGCATGTGGTCATCGAATCAGGTGACGGCCAAAGATGCGATTTGTAACTGGTACAAAGAAGGGAAAAATTACGATTACTCGAGAGAACCGAGAATTCTTAAATCGGGTAATGACTGCGGTGTACATTATACGTACCTACATTGCGCGAGGTTCATTAAACGTTTTCGCAGTATATTATTATAAATTAAGATTATATAGAAAGTCTTTAGTATGTCGTCGCGTTAGCTGTTCTTCGTTAAGACACTAACTGCAGTCTATATTAAATCGATGTGAATAATTATTATTGACAGTATTATTATATACCCCTTTACTTTATAATGTCACGTTTTATCAATATTCTTGTGGTATAAATCGTAATAGGTGACTGTATAACTTATTCGATATTTTTTACGTAAACATTTAAAAATATTATAAATTCACATTGTAGTGTCATCATCACAAATTGCGAACATATTTCGATAGTAGTATACTCGTATATTATTCCGGTAAGACCGCTATTTTCTCAAATGGGGACGCGCTAATATTACTTTCATTATAATTCAATATAATATAATACAATAATGTAATGTTTTTGTGAAATCCGAAAGATCACGACGTTGCAGTGAACAGTTTTACTAGGTTTCTGTCGATTTGCGCGTTAATTTTTTTCTATAAAGCAGTTTTAACTGTTTTAAGACGAGTAAAAAAATTATAATTCTGTATACGAACCGTTTTAATTACAGGACACTTTACCCAGCTAGTATGGAAGAGCACCACGTCCATGGGCATAGCGATGGTTAAAGGCAAGTCTGGAAGAATTGTGATCGTCGCTAATTATAATCCACCCGGCAATGTAATGGGACAGTTTATTGATAACGTTTTAAGGCCTTGTTAAGTTATTTTCTTTTCTTTACCAAAAATTCTATAAGCATTTTATTTTCCTATTTAAATTTGAAGTTTGTATTCGATTTAATTTTGTTTATTTATTATAATTATTATTATCTATATAGGATATACAAAAATATTACTATTTATTGTCTTTCATTAGAACACAGAAATGTATTCATTATTATTTATGATTATTAGCAGTATAATAGGTAAACACATACAGTTTTGCGTAGTCGACTATATTGTTATATTTATATTGTAATTTATTGTCAAATCAAAATTTTCAAATTAATACATAATTATTTTTGCCAGACTAAGTTTTATTGAAATTTAAAAAAAAAAATAAAATAACAAACCCTTTCATTACTACTGTCCACTTTAATGGACTCGATTTTTAGTCATTACTGTGGACCAATATTTTAATTAAATAATTGATTAAATTAATAATGAATTGGTTAATACATTTACATATATGTGTACTATTAGTAAATAATATATTTGACTGTGTGCTGTGCATTATTTTCATAGTAGCCCTATTGTAGTATGTGTGTGTGCCGTGTATAATTCTATTAGTATTTAACCCTGAAGTCTTCACACAAAAAATATTTTATTTTTCTATCTTAACGATTATTTTTTTATTGTGATGTTACTAAATATTGTAAACAATAGAATAGAATAAGAAATGCTATTTTGCTATTGGTACGTAAAAAAAAAAATGAATTGATCAAACAACGGTTATTTTTATTAACAATTTAAACTCTGTTTTAATAGTTTTACAAGTGACAGGCTGTTACATATTAATAATACCTAGGTACCTAACAAAACATAATAGAAAATTATTTTAAATAGTTGGCCAATATTTTGTAAATATATTTGATTTATTATTTTTCACCATTCCTCTCTCTTTCTCGTTATTTTTGCAAATATTATTAATTTATAAGTACAAATTGGATGTTCTTAAAAATCTATAAAAAAGCACTTGATAATGTCAAAAATGCCTTGGAAAAAATACTTAAAAAATATTTAAAAAGCACAAAAACATATATAATGGATCTTAACTATAGGGGGACGAACGAAATAATTAAATTTAATATAAATGATCGATAAGAAAAAAGACGGATATACTTAGCACGATGGATAAACCACTATTGTAGATGAAAAGTTGGGAAGGTAGGATATAGAGGGAAATTTAATGTATGTCTGTAAGCAAAAATTAATCATTGCTAACAACAAACGATTCTGAGCGGAGCTCGGTTAATAGTAGGTATTGGTTTTTCAAAAATATACATATCATATTATAGTAAAATAAATATTATATTGAAACAGTTTGTGTGGACCAGTAACTAGATTTGTTCCAAATCATTTTTTACTAAAACAATTTTCGCCAAAATTGTATACTTAAATTCTTATAAAAAAAATATACTACATTAAATTAAATTTGTTTTTTTTTGACTGAAAAGTACGATTTATAATTAATCTCCTGTTTAATTTAAGAGTATTTTCGTTTCGTCTAAACATTTTATCCACAGAGTACCTACCAAATAAAAATTACTCACAAAATTAAATAAATATATTTTATTATATATATATAATATATTTTATAATTTTTATAAATAGCTTAAATATGGCTCAGATGTTTTTACAGTTAACCAAGTAAAATAGGCAAATATTAATATAATTAATAAAATAAATTAAATTATTATTATAATTAAATTAAATAATTAATATAAGTTTTTTGTTAAATTTCAAGTTTCTACGAATATTTTTAACTAAATCATAACAAATAACACAATTGGAAATAATAAAAGCCATTATTTACGTAAATTTTTCATTTTTCTTATGTTTTCTCCCGGATATTTCCAGATATTATGAAAATCGCTTGGAAAATCAAAAAATTACCTCCTAAAGTACTTCTCGTATCTAGACAATATTTCCTTTCAGAAATGGTGCCACAGGTACATATCGGGGCAAGATTTCTGGTATACATTTTTGTCACAGAATAAAAAAAAATAAATACACATTTTAGTAAAACCATTAGTAAATACATTTTTCGCTATACTCAGAATCTAAAAAAATATGTGAAATAACATATTGATTATATTTACTTCTGTACCAAAGACTATGCCAAATGTTAATATAAGTCCCCCCTCAGAGACGCGCCTGCCAGTAGAGAGATTATGCCCCACACATTGCATTGCAATATTGTTTTAGTGTTTATTTTTATGTACGGTACGGACTTTATGTTAAGTCTCCCCCATGGGTTGTTTTTTTTTATTATTATTTAGGTTATTTTCAAGTATTTTATAGTTCTAATAAATATTATAGGCACTTAATAATAAAAATAATTAATAGCCCTCAACATTTTTTTCTGTACCTCGGACATTGTAAGTACATCACAGATATGTTTTCATGTATTTAAAATTTTAAGATGTAGGTGTACCTAATGTCTTCTCAACATTTCTGTTTTGTTTATGAAGGGACACCATAGGGAGAACATTAAATAACACAAACAATTTAATTACGACACAAAAACAGTATCGATAACTTGTTATTAATTATAATACCGATAGTAATAGCAATATAGTCATGAATTTACAATCGATGTGACAATGTTTGATAAAAAAAAAGTATATATATCTAAATACATTTTGATATCACAAATAAATATACAGCAATATATAATAGGCTAAAAAGTATCAGACCCAAAAACTATTTTTGTATTTCTGTATAGTAGCAAAATACTAGTGTATTATGTAGTAGGAAAACTGTATGTGTACGCAATACAAATTGTATAACCTACATATTGTGTAGTTATTCTGGTTTTGGTTAGTACTAAACCGGAGATTTTGGCACATAATTACAAAATAATTTTTTGTTTTTAATCGCTACGATTAATTCCGGTAAATTTTTTTTTTTTATTGAAATTGTATTGTTTATATTTATTTTTTATTTTTTTGCATCTGTGAACAACTCTTCTGTCAGATCTCTTACTCCAATTTTCAAGTGTAGCACCTTTTCTGAAAGGAAATTTGTCTAGTTGGCGCATTGGAATGTCATTTTTTGTAGTTTTTTGTAATTTTTTTTATAATTGGAGAAAAACCTGGAAAGTTTACGAAATAATTGTTTATTATTATCGGTTTTGCCTTTTTTTTGTCTTTCGGCAAAAAAATAATCGTAAAATCCTAGATAATTTTATAGAATTTATGTGACACTTTCCAACACACGTTAAATTCTATTATCAATCGGTTGATTTTTTTAACTTTTTAACCATTTTGATGCTTTTTTATTATTTTTTATTTAGGTTTTTAATGTTTACGAATATAATTGTTTGGCCAAATAGAAATGCTTAAAAATTGTACACGATGTTCATCGTTAGTTGTAATTTATTAATAGTCAAAACAAAAAATTGTGTGTAAAATAGTAGTTTTTTTTACATTGTAAGTGCAAATTTTAACGAATATCGTAAAAATAATGGCATTTAAAAACATATTTAACCGAACTTTGTTCATAATCATATTTTATTAACAATGATTTATCGTTCAGTTCAGAAATAATTTTTTTTTTATATTATACAGAAGTTCTCTGTGTTATATTGAAGCTGTAGGATTTACCAAAAATATATCTTTATGGAAGTTAAACATGTATTCTTTTAATATGCACAATAATCCTGTTTGAATGGCATAATTTAGTCAAGACATCAGAGTCGTCTGCGCGCAAAGAGCGGAGTGGTTAAGATTTCTAATCGTTTCCCTATAAGGATGCAAACTGCGTGGAAGGAATGATATATGATGTATTATATATTGTGTTCGTCGAATACTGTTTCATAAAAATGTTTGTGAATTTTGTTATAGTTCAAGCATCTGCCGGTATGGGCATTATGGGGAAAAAAAATACATGAGCTCAAGTTTTCTTCCAAGAAAAAATTGTCGTCGTACCGTAATGGTATGTTTTTTTTTGAATATATTGTTGGATTTTCTCTTCTTTTTATGAATGCCTACTCACACTACAACGTTAGATCTTGACCAATATGTTATCTTACCAGAATTATATAACTAGATAGATAATTCTTGTGAGTTTGTCAATAAATATCAAGTAGACCACCGACCGCATTAACCCATGTATATTTTCTCGTGTATCTAAATTGCAACAAAAGTAGGTAATTTACACAGACGAGTACATGTTTTGCCAACCTCCGGCCCCCCCTTTGGGGATTGTCATTTTTTTTTTTCAACACTTAGTATGCAATTATTATCCATCATAAATAAGTAACTATTGTTATATTTCTTTTAATATAAGCATGGATTACTAATTTTAAAATTTCGTCATAATTCATAATTATTCTTATAAGTTACAATAAAATCATAATGTTGTTAGGAAAAAAATTGTTTACGAATCTACTGAAAATTAACAATACAACAGTTAAAAAATGTTGACATATTATACTAACTCCCAGACATTTATTTATAATAATTAAAATTAATAATCCGTTATCATCAAAAAATAATTTAAATAATTTATTATACAGAAATTACATCAATTTATAAACAGAATGCATTTCACCAAAGCGAGAATCGTTTCTAAGGAGTAATATTTAGGCAACTAATATGAAATATTCAGTACACTGGGGGGTAATCAATCTTCCTTAAAATTCTTATTATTCCGGAAATCTTTAACTAAAGATTATGTTATTGTATTGGAAAACATTTTTTTCAAAATTTTTGGAGAATTTAAGATACCTACATGGAATTTTCAAATTTTAAAGCAAACTTTTGAGTTTATAATGACAACTAATATAAATGAATAATTGTTTTATAAAATTCCACGTTAGTTGTACAAATAAGCAGTAATCATATTATTGGCGTCGTTATATATTCAACTTTGAGTATGTTTCCATTTGAAAAGAATGATAATTTTTTTTTACCAGGAAAGAGAATAACAGGGATTTTGAAATTTTTCATATAAATTCGTGCTAACTACATGCTTGTTAAATATTAATTCTTGAGTATATTTTTAAGTTTTACTTTTATGTTCTGAGTGTAGTACAATTTTATGTTGCATATTACATTATTTTGTATATTTATTAGTAGCCAACTATATATAATATTTTATAAATTTACAATTTGTTTTATTCTTTTTGCGTGTTTCAAAATGATAATTTTCGTATTTTATTTATAGTAGTTATATGCAAAATATTATAAATAAACTAGATTTGTAAATTAACACAATTATCGTTGAATAACAACATCCGTGGCCACTACACCATAGCTTATAATATTATAACTGCAGTTCAATATAATTAATACAATGCCTGTATACCTGTATATTATAATACTTTTTAGAAACGTCAACTAATTATAATTAATTATATGTGATTATATACAGCTTCTGGTTTTATACGTAAATACGGATTCGTGTTATTGAATTATGTTTATTTTTTATTTAATTTTTTGTTAACTACTACTAAAAAGGAAAATCGTGATTAAAATCGATTTAAACACTTAGGTCTACCTTCGTACATAGTTAGCGGTGGATTTCCGGGGGGGGGGGATCCAGAAGGTCTATAGACCCTCCCAGATAACGATACAATTTTAATAAAATGATATATAAAAAATATGCATCTGTTAGTAGACATATTTGAAATACATATAATATTTCAGGACTTTCCTACAAAAATCTTGAAAATCCGCCACTGTACATAATAATAATTACTGAAAATATAAATCGCGTATAACCGAAACATTAAAATTATTATGTAAAATATTAAATTAAATATAATTGCATGATCCAATTACCTGAATGTTTACATAAAAACATAAAGTATTTAATTATTCAATACCTATTGGCTTTATTTTATATCGAAGTCGAAGACCTATAGTATTACAACAGTATAGTAATGGAAAATTAGATCATGTCTCTAAGGGGATATTGTTGGCGGTTTTTATATATTTTCACCAATTTCGTAAAATTTGACATATTTTTAATCACCTTGACGATAAAGCTTTTCCACTAATTTACTGTACGGTACAAATTTTTAAGAGGGAGAGATATGCGATTATGACATATTTGACCGAAAATCCAGATAAAACTGAAAAAATCAAATTTAGAATATATTGGTCCCTAAACTAGTCTATGCTGTGCGCTCTACCACGAGTCCGGGATCGTATTTGAATTTTATTTTATTTTTTTGTTAATTAGTTTTTTTTATGCGAGCTCATAAGTTTTAGCCTATACATAATATGAAGCTTGCATTTGAACACAGCCCTGGTAGGAATTTCGTTTGACGGATTTAAATTTTGAAAACTTATTGCGATTATTTACTGTGTTAAGTTTGCATTAATAAATGAATATTTCTATAGCCTAATTGAAATAGTTTTTTTTCTACACGAATAATAAATACATAACTATCTTATCACCAGCGG